CTCCAAGCACCTTGTCCACATCCTCAGGTTTCACCAATTGAAACGAATCCAACAAAATCGGACAGACAGGTGCTCGTTACATCCTCAGAGACCGCCGTTAACATGGTATCCAGGCCCGAACGGATCAAAGCGACTTTTTCCGCGAAGAACCGCGCAAATGCTTCACAGCGGGCCGTCGAGTTGTCAGGGCTCCCATCCGGAGTGGTGGGGTTTAATAGGCCTCTGACAACTCGAAACAGCTCAGCCGGACGGTTCTTTGCGGACGCAATATTGGCCGCAAAGAAAGATTTCTTTGCCACCTTTATTGCCACGGCATATGCCCTTAGCAGGGCAACAAATCCTGCCAGATCCTCGTTGAACCAAGGAGCTGGTTTAGCTCGGCTACTTGAGAGGGGACGTTCTGGAGCGATCGTGTCTATTGCCCTGGCCATCTCCCCGTTCCAGAGGGACACCAGGGCATCAACAGGATCACCAACCGAGGCGGCGGGAAAATCCCCAAGAGCCATCAGGAATCCATTCGGATCCATAAGCCTCCTGGGGCGGACCAACTTAATGGGTCCCCCACCTCTGCAGAGGTTAGGAGGTGCAGTAAGTCTAAAGCTGACCAGATGGTGGTCGGTCCATGGCAACGGAGAGATGGACAACTCCTCAACCCCGCCACCTTGCTCCCATCCTTGGCAGAAAACCAAATCCAATGTGTGTCCAGCACTGTGAGTGGGGCCAGTTACTCGTTGGGACAGCCCCATGGTTGCCATGGAAGACATGAAGTCCTGAGCCGCTCCAACTAGGGTAGTCTCGGCGTGTACATTGAAGTCCCCCAGCACAAGGAGCCGTTGGGACTCCAATGCCAGGCTCGAGACCACCCCTGCTAGCTCAGGTAGGGAGACTGTAGTGCAGCGAGGTGGGCGGTACACTAACAGAATCCCTATTCTGTCCCGGTCACCCACCTTCAGGTGGACACATTCAAAATTAGTTGACTGCGGGATGGGGCCTCTGGTCAGAGGGATTGAATTTTTATAGACTACCGCAACTCCGCCTCCCCGCCCTCCAGGTCTCGATTGGTGCTGTACGGAGAAGCCTGGAGGACAAAGCTGGGTTAAATTTACTCCTCCAACTTCGTCCAGCCAGGTCTCCGTAATGCACGCCAGATCTGCCCGTTCCTCCAGAATTATATCCTGGATGAAAGATGTTTTACCGTTGACAGATCTGGCGTTCAGCAGCACCATCTTCAACCCGGAGGGACCGCCATCCTGGGTACACCCACTTGCCCTGTCAGGAGACCGGTTACAAGTTATTAAATTTTTTGGGTTTCTTTTTCTCTCCCTAGGCCAAATTTGGGTTGTTAATTTTCTACTACTTTTGAGCCGAATTGATGGTCTCCCTTTCCCGCATCTCCCCCTCCCCGTTGTGGTTTCTATGGGGACCCCTCGGCCAGTGGAATGCCCCCCTTCATCCATATTGCACTTCAAGATTGTGACCTCATCCCATAGTTCCTTCCAGGTTGTTTCCTCTATTAATTTCACCTTCCAGTCTTTTCCTGACCCTGCACTGCTGTTTCTAGGATTTTCCCACCCACTCCACCCTCTCTCCCCTTCCCAGTTTGCTAGCAATATTGTTAGCAGGTACCACAGAATGAGGGCAGAAGGTAACTGAGATATTTATAGCAGAAGGTAACTGAGATATTTACGGGAATATACTGTAATTTACTGGAAACCCTGTCCTATTTTGGGGGCGGATTAATGCAGGCTGGCATCACTTTCAGCTGAAATTAAATAAATACCTTGGTGGCTTCTGCTTCACTTTGGTGAGATTTATTCTTGAATATTGGCTTCTTTTTTCTCATCGGGCTAAACACACAGCGGCTTGGATCTCACTATCTACAGCCATTCTAAATTGCTCAACAACAGGAAGGGGAGGAGAGGAGGATGGAGGAGGAAGAGGGTGAGGAGGATGACTACAAAGAGAAAGGAGGAGGAGGAGGGAGGAGGATGAGGAAGAGTTTGCTGGAACTGCACCAGTTCCTGATCCCTTTGTTTGGCTTTCTCGGCCATAGTTTTAGAGCTGTTACTGTTGTTGTTAGTTTTTTTTTTAGGGTGGAGCTTAGGAAAACCCTTCCTGTTTTGTATCCGCCATTTTATTTGCCTTTTTGCCTGAGGAAAAGGGAGCCCTTTTGTGTCAGTGCATTGGCCACACCCCCTTTTGCATGAGGAAAAGGGAGCCTTTGTGACAGTTGGTTGACCACGCCCCTTTTCTGAGGTAAAGGAGCCATTTTATAGCACAGACCACCCGGGAATCCTTGAGGCAGGACGTGTCTTCAGTCAGTCCCGAAAATTCAGGCTTGGAAAAGCCATTTCAAATCAATTTAACATAGCCAGTTTTGCTTACCATCAGTAACTACAGCCAGTAGCTTTAACTTAACCAGTTGTGCTTCAGCATCAACCAGCTACTATACGACAAATACTTCAATCTATTAGTTGAACAACTGGTTATCGTCTTGGGTTTTGGGTGCATCAGAGGCCCCATACGCCAGAGACCGAGAGCAAGGAGAACTGACATTTCTACTCCTCAGGAAAATCCATGTCTGGCAGATTCAGAATCATCAAGTTATCTTTCAAGTTTTCAATATTAACTTGGTTGTGGGGAAATCAAGGGCGTGCCTGGGTGGAGTGAGGCCCAAATCCTGTTAAGAAATTGTTACCTATTCCTCAAAGCAACAGCATGGACGTTAATTCTGTGGGGCTCCTTGTTCCAAAAGAAGGAGGGAGAGCGTCTAAGGATAAAGGCCGAGATATAAGGGCTGAGGCAGAGGCTGCCAAAGATAGTAAACCTTATTTACTTGTGTCTAATGTACTGTACAATCTAATGTGTACCTCCATTAAAAAAAAAACCCTGAAACTGACCCCGACCGCGGCAGAGACTCCCGCCTTCAAGCTGGTGTGAACTGCAGCAGGGAGTTCCGCAATTCCTTGAAGCAAAAATTGGAAGACTGATGAAATGTGCCCCAGTCAACAGCTCAAACTAGAACTGCTTTCAGCTTCTTTTTACTTTCCCCCAAACCCTGACTTTGTAACTAATCCCTAATAAAGGTACTTGAGTTTTGCAACTTTAAAACGTTTCCGCTTGATACTTTGTGTCCTTTCCTTGCCTGAACCTTTTCTTTACATGAAATAAACCCTTTCCAGGCTCCGGAGAGCCGTGAGCCTGACGGGGATGCCTTTCCGGCGTCCCCGGGACGCAGGAACCGCGTCTGCCAAAACCGCGGATACCGAAACCGCCATTTTGGGTCCCCGTATCCATGAGAATTTCAAAATGGCGGATCGGCTCCGTTTTAATTTTGTATTTTTCTATGATTAATTCTAAGCATGACTACTATCTCCCTTTTCTCATTCTGGACCGCTCCGCCCGAGAAATAATCACTTTGTTTTAAAGAATATATTTTGACAGAAAACAGCTGATTGTCAATCTCTGCCGGCTCCGTGTGGCCAGCCAGCTTCTCCCCGCTGCTGCTCGATTCCTGCCCGGCCCCGCAGCCGGGGACTTGCTGCGGTTGCACCCAGGCGACCTCGGAGGAAAGGCCAGGCAGAAGGCCCGGTCCTTGGGAGGGAGTTATAGTTCCCCAAGGACCAACCCATGAATTTTGCCATCAATCGACTCAGCGCCCATCTGCTACAATAAACCAAGGAAAAATGACTTTCTGCCACTTGCTTTTGACTGCAAGTCACCTCCGTTTCCCCGGACCTTCCCCTGAACTATGGGACTTCAAGTTTTCAAATAAAAAATCAATTCTTTCATTAAATGTTTGAAATGTGGGATGGGAATGGGGTTTTTCTATATGAATTATGTACTGATGGTAAATGCATGAAATATCCTTTGTTTTCCCGCCTTTCCCGTTGCCTTTTTGCTCTAAAAAATGTGACCAAGGACTGTTGAAATGCCTGAGGGGGATCCCAGCCTCCCCCAAAACATGTTTGATTATTTCCCATCTTCGTGAACAATAGCAAGTTGGGATTTCCTTTCTTGCCCTCTGAGTTCGTCTAGCAAGGAAGGAAGCCCCTCTTGGACATTTTGATTGATTCACAAGGTCCCCTGCCCCGATCCTGTTGTCTTCTTCACCACGACCCATCAAGGACACTCCTTATCAGGGGCCAAAGCAGGAAAACTCTTCTTAAACAAATCAACCCCTGCCAGCCAAGACAAAGCCCCGAAACTCCAGCTGGCTGGCAAGGGATAATCCCATCATTTCTCCTTTGTTCGCCGCTCGTCCAGCCTCCTCTCCTCTGATTCATCAATCATCGGAGGCGAGAGGAGCGCGCCGATTGGTCCTCCAAAGGCAGAGAAGCACGCTGATTGGCCCAGAGCGGGCCGGGCCGCCAAGCCTCCTCCCAGCTGTTCCGGCCCCAGCCAATCAGCGAGAAGCCGGCCGGCGAGGGGCGGGCGGGAGTTTTGAAATGTTTTCTTTTGCATTTTGCCTATTAAAATGCCTGTATTCTTTGTGTTGGTATGCTTGTAGAGGAAATACCCCTACACTTGCATCCGATTGCAGCTGAATCGCAAATAAAACACCTCAGTCGTCAGAACTTCTTCCGCTTTGGTGAGGATTTATTATTTTAATATTTTTGCGGCTGGAATTGGCTTCGCCTGCCCTCACCAAGGTCCAGAGACCCTCTTTGGTGCGGTCTTCGGGATCTCCTCACCTGGGGAGACCCTCCTAAAAGCGGCTCGATATCAAAACCAAAACAAACAAACAAACAAAAAAGGGTTTCCTGCTGAATGTAATGCACAGCGGCCAAAGGTGCCCTTTTTCGTCATTGGGCCAGTGCAGTCGCTTCCTGCTTAGAATCCCTTCTTTAAACACAAAAGTGTTAGACCATCAAAGCTTCCAGCGACCAATAATAATAATCACAAGAACAACTTTATTCTTGTATCCCGCCATCATCTCCCCAAAGTACACAATATGTAAGAAGTAAAAAAAAAACATTTTTATATCTTAATACAGCTTATACATAAAATCATTGAGCATGTTAAAATTTTGCATAGTAATCTGAAATAAAAATAAACATGAAAATAAAATGCTTCCCATCAAGTTTTTAACTTTATCCCCTTGAAACATGTTATGCTTATGATTGTATTACAATTTTCTATCTAACTATATTCTGTTAATTATTTATGTATTTACTATATTTATACCTCACCCTTCTCACCCCGAAGGGGACTCAAAACTGCTTACAAACTACTTATTCTTCTTCTTATTGTTATTATTATTATTTATTATTATTATTACTACCCGTATATTCCGGCATATAAGACGACTGGGCGTATAATACGACCCCCAACTTTTCCCAGTTAAAATATAGAGTTAAGACGACTCCCATGCATAAGACTACACCCGTGTATAAGACGACCCCTGACTTTTGAGAAGGTTTTAATGAGTTAAAAAGTAGTCTTATATGCCAGAATATACTGTACTTTATATCCCACACCCTTTTCTTGTGCCACCTCCACCTGGACCAACTCAATAAATTTTTCCCATATTTTCAAAAAGTCTGCTTGTTTACATATTCCCCTTTTAATTTTAATATTGCAAGCTTATCATTAATTGCTATATTCCATTTCTTTGGAGGCTTTTAAACAGAGGCTGGATGGCCCTCTGTCAGGGGTGCTTTGAATGCAATATTCCTGCTTCTTGGCAGAATGGGGCTGGACTGGATGGCCCACGAGTTCTCTTCCAACTCTAGGATTCTATGATTCTTGTCCATTTAAATATTCAATTTTTTCCCTAAATCTATTTCTTATCGTAATAATAACAACAACAACAATTTATTTCTGTCCCGCTCCATCTCCCAAAAGGGACTCAGGGTGGTATACAACAAAGAATCGGTAAACATTCAATGCCTAGAAAACATACATAATAAAACACTTTATATAATAAACTATCAAATAAAAAACATAAAAATCTACTTATAAAAAAACTCAAAATAGCACATGAGAAATTTAAAGATAGAGTGTAAAATAATTGGGACACGTTTCTCTAGTTTAAAACACATTTAAAGCACATCATAATGTTAACAATAGGCCACCCGGAGAAAGGTCAGTCTCCTTCAGCTGAGTCACAATTTAAAGAAAGTGCTAATCCTCCCCCCCCCCCCACCCCACTGCTCTAAAGATCTCTCCAAATCCAAATTTCTCCAATACCAGGTTTAAGCATTTTTATGTTTGTGATGAACTACATGCATCAGCTATAAAGGAAACTACATAAGAATTCTTTATACAGTAAAGATTATAGGATTAAGGTAAAGGTTGTCCCCTGACATTAAGTCCAGTCATGTCTGACTCTGGGGTGTGGTGCTCATCTCCATTTCTAAGCTGAAGAGCCGGCGTTGTCCATAGACACCTCCAAGGTCATGTTGCTGGCATGACTGCATGGAGCGCCCGTACCTTCCCACCGGAGTGGTACCTATTGATCTACTCACATTTGCATGTTTTCAAACTGCTAGGTTGGCAGAAGCTAGGGCTGACAGCAGTAGAGCCCCCGGTGGCGCAGTGGGTTAAAGCACTGAGCTGCTGAGCTTGTTGATCGAAAGGCCGCAGGTTCGATTCCGGGGAGTGGCATGAGCTTCCGCTGTCAGCCCTAGCTTCTGCCAACCTAGCAGTTCGAAAACATGCAAATGTGAGTAGTTCACACTCCAGGTTTTTATAGGGTTTGGCTCTTATAACTGTGATGATGTTTTTTTTTTATTTTATTTATTGCAGCTTTAACATATTCAGTATTTAAACATTCTTCTACTTATCACTTCTCATTAGCAATTGTACAGAACATGTATGTCTTGATACCTATAATATTTCATTCTCCTGCTTCAATACATCCAACCACCCAGTGCTAACCCTTCACCCCCGACCAGCCAATTACAATATTTATTCCCAAAAATCAGTTGTTTCTATTACAGGTTTGGTCCCCTTACCTTCTATATATACATATTCTATCAATTTCCCCCAAATCTTCCCAAAATCATCTTTTTTTGAGAAACCTCTTTTAACCTTAATGTTTCCTGTCAGTTTATCGTTTATTGCGATGTCCCAGATCTCCCCCCGAGACCACTCTTCCAATTGGCACTCCCCTCCTTCTTTCCATTTTTTAGCTATTAATAATCTTGCTGCTGTTACCAGATTGGCAATTAATTCTTTTAGTTCTTTTGGTATTTTAACAGTGTCAAAAAATGATAGCAGTGCTATCTCTGGTGTTCCTGTTATCTCTATTTGGGTGATTCTTCTTTTTTCTTGAAATACATTTTCCCAAAATTTTTGAACATATTTGCAAGACCACCACATGTGTATATATGTGCCAGTTTCTTGACCGCCCCTCCAGCACTGCTTAGAATGTTTCTTGTCAATTTGATTTAATCTGATTGGTGTGAGGTACCACCTCCACACCACTTTATAATAGTTCTCTTTTATTCTTATTGACATATTTTTTAAAATACGCATATTCCACATTCCTTTCCAGTTTTGTGGGTGTATTACTTTATTACAGTCTAACTCCCACACTCTTTTAAGGTGGTCCTCCTCCTGGACTCCTTCCAGCAGCATTTCGTAGATATCACTTGTTATACCTTTTGTTCTTTCTTTTCCTTCCTTACTTCCCCTTTAGTTAATCATTTCTTCAAATTTGGTAAATTCTCTCTCTCCTTTATATTTCTTTCTTATTTCCCTTAACCATCTTTCAAGTTGTAGAACTTTATACCATCCAATATTCCCTCCTAATAACTGGACCTTTATCTCATCTATATTTTTCATCTTTGATTCCCAATCTTTTAATTTCGTTATTCCTTTTTCCTTAAATTCACTTTCCAACTCCTTTTTGAGATTTATGGGGAAATTATTTGTAATCAACACTGGTGTTAATGGGGATATCGATGGTATTAATTTTTCTTCATATTTAGACCATATTCCCAATATGTTTTTTAGAAAAGGGTTGTCTATTTTGTTATACCATTTCTTGTCTAGATTCCTAGTTTTCCCTATAAAGAAAATATATTCTAGTTTCATATCTATATCTTCACTCTCTTCTTCTAACCATTCTAAATCCTTTTGACCCATAATCCCTTCAACAATATACCTTAACTGGTTTGCTATATAGTATAGTTTTAAGTTTGGTATTCCCAGACCTCCCTTCTTTTGTAGTTTATACCATTTTGCTTTGTTAATTCTAACTCTTTTGTTCTCGTTGCAGAAGGTGTTTATCATATTCTGCCACTTTGTAATTTCTCCGGCTGAGATTTTAATAGGTAGCATCCTAAACAAAAAGTTTATTTTAGGTAAAATTTTCATCTTTATTAGAGCTATTCTACCAAACCATGACAATTTGAGCTTAGCAAATTTAGCCAGAGTATCCTTCACATTTTTCCTTAATTTGATTAGATTCTCCTCTTCTAATTTATCAATTTCTTTAGAAATATTAATTCCTAGATACTTTATTGAGTTCTTTATTTTTAATCTGCCCAATCTCCCTTCTCTTAGTTTTTCTTCCTCATCTTTAGTATGGTTAAATAATAAGATTTCCGATTTATCCCAATTAACTTTAAGGCCTGTAATTTCTCCAAACTCTGTTAAATGTGCTTCTATTCTTTTTATCTGTTCTAATGGATTTCTGAAGGTTAGTAGTGTATCATCTGCAAATAAACATATCTTGTATCTTCCCTCCTTCCCTATCCCCTTTATATGTTTATCCTCTCGTATCATATTTGCTAGCATTTCTATGACTATTGCGAACAGGGTAGGAGAGAGGGGGCATCCTTGTCTTGTTCCTCGAGTCAATCTTATTTTCCCAGTAAGGCCATCGTTTACTTGTATAGTTGCATAGTTGGTTGAATATAGTCTCTCAATCAGTCCTCTAAATCTCTCTCCTAAACCAAATTTTTCTAATATTTTTTTAATGCCGGCCATGAGACACAATCAAATGCTTTAAATATGTCTAGGGCCAATATCCCTGCTTTAATATTCTTTTTCTTAATTGTATGAATCACATTTAGTACTCTTCCCACTGGGTTTGACATTTGTCTACCAGGAATAAATCCACATTGATCTTTATTAATATAATTATATATAAAGTTATTTAATCTCTTTGCCATTATTGCCGTCAATATTTTAGCATCCTGATTTATAAGGGCAATAGGTCTATATGAACCAGGATCTTTAGGATCCTTATTTGTTTTTAGAATTAATATGATCCTTGATTCCTGCCATGATGAAGGGATCTGTTCTCCTTCCATTATCCTATTATATAGTTCTTTTAATTTTGGTACTAAAATTGATTTAAATTTTTTATAATATTCCGGTCCTAGCCCATCCATTCCAGGAGTCTTCCCTCCTTTCAATTTATCTATAGCGTCTCCTATCTCTTTTTCTGATACTAACTGTTCCATACTCATTTTATCCATCTCCTGTAATTTTATTTTCCAGTATTTATCTATAACCTCCTCTATTTTGTTGTTAGGGTTATCCACTGCTGTATATAATTTTTGATAAAATTCTTGGAAGACAGCTAGCTTTTCTTTCATTGATATAATTTCCCTACCCCACTTATCTTTTATAGTTCCTATCTCTTTTTCTGATACTAACTGTTCCATACTCATTTTATCCATCTCCTGTAATTTTATTTTCCAGTATTTATCTATAACCTCCTCTATTTTGTTGTTAGGGTTATCCACTGCTGTATATAATTTTTGATAAAATTCTTGGAAGACAGCTAGCTTTTCTTTCATTGATATAATTTCCCTACCCCACTTATCTTTTATAGTTCCAATTGTGTTCTTATTCTTCTTCTCTTGTGCTGCTTTAGCTAGCATCCTAGAGTTCCGATTGCTATATTCAAAATATTCCCTTTTTGTGTATATTAAATCTCTCTGTACTTTTTCCAAGTCGTGTTTATCCAATTCTTTCCTTTTGGCCATTGCTTTAAGATAACTTTGTTTATCTTTTTCCTTTATGTATCTCTTTTCTAGTTCTTGGATGTCTAATTCTAAATTCCTTCTCTCTGCTTCTTGCTCTCTTCTTAGATTGCATGCTTCTTTTATGCACAGGCCCCTTGATACTGCTTTCATCGCATCCCACACAGTTGCATAAGAGCATTGGTTGTTATCATTAATTTCCCAAATATCTCCTAATTCTTTGGTTATTTTCCCCACTATCTTACTATTCTCTAATACTGCATTTCCTATCTTCCAGTTCTTATGTTTGGTAATCCTTCTTTATTTGGAGATCCAAGCTTATTAATGCATGGTCTGAACATCTTATTACCCCTATTCTAGTATCTAGTACTTTGGGCAGTACCTGTTGTGAAACAAAAAAGTAATCAATTCTAGAAAAGATTTGATGAGCTGTCGAATGGAATGTAAATCTTTTCTCATTCCCCTTTAACGTTCTCCAAACATCAACCATATTTTTATTCCTTATTATTCTATTTAGAGTTGTTCTATTTTGCATTTTTCCTTTCTTTGTGTGGTGGGATTTATCCATTTCCTCATCCATTATTCCATTGAAATCCCCTCCTATGATCAAATACCCTTTTTGTATTCCCTCTATTTCTTTAAATATTGTTTCATAAAATTCCACTTGGTTAGTGTTTGGAGCATATACATTAGCAAAAGTGAAATCCTCATTCCCCATTGTCCCTTGTATGATAATATATCTTCCTTGCTCATCTATCTTTGTTTCCTTTATATTGAAACCACATTGATTTTGGATTATAATTGCCACACCTCTCGATTTAGATGTTCCATATGATTTTATATACGTTACAGATCCCCGCATCTTAAGCTCGTTCACCTTTGGTTTGGATTGGTGTGTCTCTTGTAAGAATACAAGATGAGCTTTAGCTTTATAAATCAAATCTGCAATGGTTTTCCTTTTATAAATCGAGCCCAAACCTTTACAGTTCAAAGATACGATCCTCAGGTGTTCCCCCATTCCTTTACCATTCTACTTATCCTCTTACTTGGCTGGTCCCTAATTCGTGCTCCCCACTGCTTTCCCCCCCTCTTCCTCCCTTCCCTCCCTTCCTTTGTGAAGTGCTCTTCTCCCCCTATTCCTTTCACCCCACTATGTTCAAAGACTACTTGTCTCGAACCTGGTTTACTCCAAACCATTTTGTGGGGTGGGGGGAGAGGACCCATCCTCCATCTGAGTGCACCCATTCCGATATCTCCCAAGGTATTCTTATATTGCCTTAACTAGTAGGATTACATATTTCATACTAATGATTAGTCAGTCCTTCTCACAGTCTCTTTCATTCCTGTCTTGGTCCATATTAGTCTTCTTTTCCAGTCGCCAGATCCGGTTTCCCTTTCTCTTTCTCCCCTCCCTTCTTTCCTATCTGTGTTGTATCTGTTGTCCCATTTGTCAAATTCAGTTCATTCAGCAATACTAGACCTTGATCTAGAGACGTAATTTTATAGTTATTATTTCTCCAGCGAAACCTCAAGAAAACCGGGTAACCCCAGTTGTACTGAATTTTCTGGCTTTGTAAAATGGTGGTACATTGGCGAATGGATTTCCGCCACTCCAAAGTTTCAGGGCACAGATCTGGAAAAATCTGTATCGGTGTCTCTTGGTATTTTAGTGAGGATGCTTGTCTTCGTAGTGCTTTCATTATCTTTTCTTTGTAGTAATAATTCCCAAATCTGACCAAAATGTCACGAGGAAAAGAGGTTGTTTTTTTAAATCCCACTCTATGGATTCTCTCAAACCAGGCTTCTTCACAGTCTGTTTCGGAATTCTGTTTAAGCCATGTCATTATTTCTCTTTTTAACATCCCAGGATTTTCTCCATTTATCTCTGGGAAATTCCTTATTCGAATGTTCATTCTTCTATCTCTGTCCATTAAATTTATTACCTTCAAGTCCATTCTTTGAAGGCTTTTTTGAGATTGTTTTATCTCTGCTGTGTTTGCTACCAATTGTACTTCCGCTGCTGTTACTCTTACATCCAAGTCTTGGTTTTTCTTTTCCAGTTTCTCTGAGGTTGCTTGTAAATTTTTTATTTGATTTTCTAGCCCGGTGATCTTAGTTGTAATTTCTTGAGTGCTGTTTAAGATCAAATCTTTGATCCCTTGAATCTGCTGTAGTAGTTCTTTATTTGTGATTTCCTCTGATTCATCCTTTCCTCCATTTCGTGCTGTTGCCATTGTGGCTGATTTATAGCTCCTTCCCTGGGATGAGCAATCAGTGAGATATTCAGCCGATTCTGTCTCCTGTGCTCTTTCCCAGCTTCGGTCGGAGGGGGAGGGCCGGCGTCGTAGGTAATAATTAATTTGTCTTTGCTCAGCCCTTCCTCTCTGTTTGGGCTGGGTTTTCTTCCCTCGTTTCATAAAGCTTTATTTTGCCACTCTTTGCTAAGTTGCTAGTCTCAGTTTGGTCTTTTCACCATTGAGAGACGCTCAGCCTTCCAGCCTTCCAGGAGCAAAACCGAAAGTGATTTATTTTACCTTGTTATCTTCTCTTTCCCGACAACAAAGAAATTTATGGGTGGCTTAACAACTCACCCAGGCAGAAAGTCTCTTTTTACTCACTGTGAGTCCATTCCTACTAGTTAATTTTCTTATTTTCTTTTCCCCTTCATGGGAGCTCCGGGTTTAGCGTCCACTCATCAGGCTGAGGCTCCACCCCCCCTCTATAATTCAATTCTAGGGCTCTAGAATATCAAGGAGAACCCAAGAAATGGATATAGATCTCCATATATGCAGTTGAGAAAGTGGTATATTTCTGGATATTGAATAGGAAGCATGTCTTCTGCTAATCTAGAGGCTGGGAATGCATCTACACTGTAGAATCATGGGAGCTGTTAGTTTGCAGAGCCAGCAGCACTACTTGGCAGAGACATCTAAAAACATCATAATACTATAGTTACCATGATTGCGTAGCATTGAGCCATGGCAATTAGTGATGTCAAACTGCATTAAATCTACAGCATAGATGCTACTTTTAAACATGGAGTAATTGATTCAAACTTCAGGAAAAGAGAGTCTCCCTAAGCATTAGGAAGATATTTCTGAAAGTAAGAGCTGTTTAGTAGTAGTATATGCTGCCTTGGAATGTGGTGGAGTCTCCTTCTGTGGAGATTTTAAAGCAGAGGTTGGATTGTGTGCTTTGATTATGTATTTCTACATGGTTGGGGCTTGGACTGGATGGCCCAACTCTATGATTCTATGATTATGTTTCAGAGCAATAGAACGTATATACCCATGCATAATTTTAGAGTAATTTTAGCATAACTATCATGGCTGGATTTCACACTAGTTTCTTTTCAAATTTTTTATGTTGTTACAAGAGCCTAAAGAATCAATTGCAGGGCAAGGACATTTGTCCCCATTCTCTCTTCATTACATCTTTGTTCCATAGAGAACTATTAGTATATCATGCTGCTGGTTTTGCCATTTGTTCTATAATACAGAAATCAAAACCTGCATGTTACATAATATTGAATTGGGAAATGTAATAATCAAAATGACGCTATATAGTTTTATTCTAAAATAATGTTACTCTTCCTGTGGGCTATGCTACTGTAGCATGTTTAATAATCATACTATTTATTTATCAGGCATAGTTGATTCATATAACTAATATAAAAACATTGATGACTACTAGATCCAGCAATACTGGGATAATACATTTTTTACAATGACAACAACATTAAAATATATGCTTGTGCATAAATTGACCTCATGTATAAGTCAAGGACAGACTTGTGAGCCAAAATCATGGATTTGAATATGACTGATGAATAATTATAATTATTATTATTATCCTGCTTCACTTTCTTAAAAACTCTCAAAGTTGCTTAGATCATTCTACACTGCCATTTTCTCACCCTGGTATTCAAAGGGGCCACAAGCAAGCTCACAGTGTCAGTCATAGAGGAAGTTGTTGCTTCTTTTAGAGTCTTTCAAAACATGACTGTATACAGTAAATTTTCCGTTTCACATATAGACAAGATTGAAAACCTTTCTATCTGTTCCCTCCACTTATGAATTAGGTTATGTATTCCACGGCGTCAGTTGAAATAAAAGATACCAATCCTTTCTCTGTTTATCAGAGGGATCCAAACAGAAATTATCAACACAGAGGGATTATCCAGTTACTTCAGCATTTCAAATGGAAATGGATTGGATTCTTTGCTGCAAGTGATGAGATATTAGAATGGCTCAGAAAGAAAATGCTTGCAGAATTTTCTATCAATAGCATCTGTTTTGCTGTCTTGTTATCATTCGGCAGTGTCCCTTATGATGCTCACAAAGGAGGCTACATGAAAAACATTGCAGAAATTTCTGAGAAAATAATGAACACTAAAGCCAATGTTTTGGTCTTTTATGGAGGGACGTTCCCCATAATACCATTCAGATGGTGGCTTAATGACAAACTGAATCGAGCAGTGCCAAAGTCAAAAGGCAAAGTTTGGATTTTGACAGCTGGAATGGAGTTAAAAAATATTATCTACAAGAAGAGCTGGGATACACAAGACTTCCATGGTGCTATGTCTTTTGCAGTACACTTCAATGATCTTACAGGATTTCACCAATTTCTACAGAAAAGAAATCCTCCTAGTACATATGGAGATGGCTTCATTAAGGAGTTTTGGACTCAGGCTTTTGGCTGCATTTTCCAGAATTATCCTGGAGGCGATGTGAGTGGAGATATCTGCACCGGAGAAGAGAATCTGGAGAACCTTCCTGAACATATTTTCCCAATGAGCATAACAGGCCAGAGCTACAGCATATACAATGCTGTTTATGCTTTAGCTCATGCTTTACATGCCATGTTTTCCTCCAGATACAGGAACAAAGCAAAGGTGAAGGCTGACAGAAAGGAGCCTCAGAATCAAGTGGTTTGGGAAGTAATTACAATTTTATGTCACTTCTGATACTAATGCACATCAGTGTTTGTGCACCATTGTTTATGTTAGGACCTGGTGTATCTTGTGCAAGAGTTGTGGTTATTGGGTGTTGGGTTACTGGACACTGGTTGCAATGCCATCACCTTTAATGTATGAATCCACTGTGAGAGAAGATTACTTTTGGTGAGAGATGAGGTGGTACATTTTAAAGGAAGTAGAAAACAGATAATATTCAGAAGGAGATGTGTTTATTAATAAAAAGACAATTTATTTTTCCAAAAAGTTCAGCAATAAAGGTAGTGTAAACTGCTACCAGCAGTTATATTTCAGTCATTCCATGCCAAGTGGTCTAAAATTTACCTGTAGCACCGGTCAGGTGTTAAACTAGGTTCCCCAAAATTTGAGATCTTTAACTGCAACAGTTGCAGTCAAATTTTGGGAAACCTAGTTTAACACCTGACTGGCACTACAGCTAAAATGTGAACAAAATTGGAGACATGATGGTGGGAAGGTTTAGACCACTTAGCATGAAATGATCCATTTTGCATCTCTTGTGCCTATATAGCTCAACGTATGTGGATAAAAAGTTTATGTGCATGTCGGACAGCCCATTGTGCCTTTACAGTGCTTAGTACCTGAAAGTAACATATAGTGTCAGTGCACATTCAGCCACCTTTCTGCATACTGTAACATGCTATCATTGTATATGTAACATTATACTGCTATCAACCAGCTTGGACCCTTATGGCACATTATGCCAAAAAAATATTCCACTTGCATAATGCAATGTACACTTATACATATCAGTAGCAGGATGCATGCCATGTGATGTGAAATATCATTCTGACAGAAAGCAAAGACATTGAAACTGTTTGCAATTGTTGATGCATGCGGAAAACAAAGTTATTTTTCACAAATATTCTTCATACCTATATAATATCTATATTCTCTCTTTCTGTCTCTCTCTCTCTCTCTCTCTCTCTCTCACACACACACACACTATACTTGCCCTGTGTGTTTATTGCATTTTCTGATGTTCACCACTTGGAAACCTCCAGATCCAAGCAGTCCCTACATATTTTATAAATGAATAGATAAAAAGATATCAGTAACAGAAAAGAGGTGACATGCTCCAGATTTGTAGTATCTTCTCCTGAGTCCCTGTTTCAGGTTCTAAGAACATCTTTCACAATTGTTTAAATTTATTTATTTGGAACATTTCTATCCCGTTCTTCTCAACCTCCGAAGAGGGAGTCAGGATGGATACCAACAGGCACTATTCAATACCAATACAATATAATAACATAGCATAAAATAAAATTAACATAAATTAAAACAGTCATAAATGTACATTAAAACAGTTTGCACACTAGTGATATACATTTCTCCCTTTATTCATCTCATCACTTTGAAATTGCTGTGACAAGTCTGTCTGTCAAATAAATCCTTTCATTTAACATTGTTATAAGCAAAACCAAAATCTGTTTTCTTTCAAAAATCCAGCTACATCTCTTTTTGGAATCTGTGTCATTCAACAACAGTGCTGGAGAAAAGGTTTGTTTTAATCAGAATGCTGAACTTATTGGTGGATTTGATATCATAAATTGGGTCACCTTTCCAAATAACTCTTTCGTTGGAGTAAAAGTTGGAAAGATAGATCCATGGGCACCACCAGAGGAAGAATTCAGCATTAATGAGGATGACATTGTGTGGCATAGCTGGTTTAATCAGGTACAAATACAAGTCTTTGGAATAGCCTTTCCATTTTGAAATAGTATACATGTTGTCATACTGGTATTTCCTTGTTTTAAGTAAGTGCAAACTGTGTTTATACCATGGTCCGAACTGGCAAGCAAGTCATGCCTCAGTATATTAAAGGTTAGCATCCTCTTCAGTGAAACTTTTTGTATCAGTATTTAAATGACTTTTCAAAACTTCAGATTCCATTTCTCTGGGAATTCTTCTGCAGTTAGGTGAATATTTGATGATAATTGGATTGCTCATTTGATAACGCTTTCAGCTTGTGTTGGACAATCAGAAGATTCAATGCATACAGAAATAACCATGTGGCCCAGGTGCTATGCACCTAACTTGATACATGAAAGGAGTAAGGTGAACCTTTTTAATCCATGTAATACCCTCAAAAACCCCTTTATGGTCTTAATTTGCAAATCACTGTAGTATGAGCTTCTGTAATTGCTTTAGGACTGGGTAAGAATCCCCCTTCCTTTTTACAACTTGTTTATACCCTATTGGGAGGACTTGGGTATTGGCTTAGGTTTGTGTCCATAAATAGGTTTTCACTGGCAAGTTTGGGAGGGTAGGGAATACAAGTTAGTGTACACCTTGACACCACCTTTGAATAAAGGGTGGAGCTCTGGAATGCTCCCCCTGTGACATAGGGGAGGGGGTTGTGAAGAAGACTCCCCTTGGGAACAAATGAGAGGTTTGTTCTCACTCATAAGCTCCGGTGTCTTGAAGGGAGTGCCCTGGGTTGGCTTTCCAGAAATGACTGCACACGTTGAGCAACCCAGAATTTTGGATTGACTATGGAATCAGGTGTTTATTCAAGGATGGGCTAAGGAGGCCATCAGGAGTTAGCCCCTGGCCTCAGCTGAGACCAACATGAGGTTATTCTCCCACTGACATTTTTGTTTATCTCCAGATACTACAAATGTTAAGACATTTTAAATTTTCTATGTTTAACGTAGGTCTTTGTATCTTGTCTCATTATTTCATGCCTGGTAATCAAAGGTCCCCAACAGATTTCTGGCCATCATGCAGAAAGCCAGATCTATAATCCAGCCAACTGAACATGTGCTCACAAATACAGAAACAAAATTCTGAAAAATCTTACTATATACTATGTTGTCTTCTGAATCTTAACTATTCCAGTTCATTTTATTCTGCTCTTTAATTGGTGAGCAGGTGCAGCCCCACTCTGTGTGTAATGCCAATTGTCAACCTGGTTACAGGATGGAAAAGAAAGAAGGAGAACCACCCTGTTGCTATGACTGCATTCCATGTCCAAAAGGGTTCATATCTGACAAAGAAGGTAAGCTTAAAAACAACAAATATGTTTGTTTGAATCCTATTAGTAGTTCCATTTAGTATAATCAAGCCATTTAAATGTCAGAGGGCCCTCCTACACTGCCATATAATCCAGATAATTAAATCAGATAATCTACATTATCTGCTTTGAACTGGAATATATGAGTCCACACTGCCATATAATCTGGTTCAAAGCAGATAATCTGGATTTTATATGGCAGTGTAGAAGGGGCTTGAGAGTTCATTCATTCATTCATTTATTCATTCATCATTCAATGACAGTCTGTCATTCCATGATGGTTGAGACTACAAATAAGGTTCCATGTCTTAAAGGTTTGATATTGGACAAATAACATAATAATTAAATAACAGGGAGAAATCCAATAATGCTTGTTATACCTTTGTTCTTCAGTGTTGCCAGTTTGCAAATGATAGAAACATAAATGGGAAATCCATAAACATGGAAGAGAAGGAGGAAGTGGGGAAGGAAGCCAAAAGTACAATATGATAGGCCATGCTAGAGAAGGGGGCATTTCTACAACTCAGGCCAAAAGCTCTGAGAATAAACCCTCTTTTCCTGGAATGAAATGTTTTGTTCATCTCAAGATTAGAAATGTTTTGAATATTGTCCTTCATTTAATTGCTCTTCAAGGTTTCCACATCCAAATTAAAAGATCTCACTTTCAAATTGGGTCTTCTTATCAGAAATGATGTTTGTTTCCTCCTTTCAAGACAAAAGAGTGTGTGAGAGGACTATGTGTGTCTATATGTACAATATTTGGTTGTTCCATGACCTCATGCAACAGTTTGTGCAATGTTTTCTTATGTTAGCATAGGGTTTTGATAGGATTCTAGCCAAAATGCAACACTTGTTCACAATGACAATACCTCTTTCTTTTTCACAGATTTGGTTGATTGTTTCAAATGCCCAGATGATCAATATGCCGACATGGACCAAATATCATGTATTCCTAAGACTATAACCTTCTTATCTTATCAAGGCTCTCTGGGCATCAGTTTAGCCATTTGTGCCCTTTCATTTTCTTTCACTGTGGTTTTGATGATAATATTGTTTGTGAAGCATCATAATACCCCCATTGTGAAAGCCAACAATCGCAAGCTTACCTACACTCTGCTTATCTTGCTCCTCCTCTGCTTCCTCTGTGCATTGCTCTTCATCGGCCAACCCAATGAGATAACATGCCTTCTTCGTCGAACTGCTTTCAGCATTATCTTCACAATGGCTCTTTCTACCATAATGGCAAAAACTCTCACAGTGGTCCTAGCTTTCATGGCCATACAGCCAAGATCCAAGATCAAGAAATGGATTGGGAAAAAATTGACCAACTCCATTGTTCTTTCTTGCACCATGATCCAAGCAGGCATATGTTTTTTGTGGGTGACAACCTCTCCCGCATTCCCAGAGACTGATATGCATTCTTTGACAAAAGAAATTGTGCTGCAGTGTCATGAGTCATCACCCACAATATTTTTTGTTGTGTTGGGCTACATGGGGTTTATGGCCTTTGCCACTTTCAGTCTGGCTTTTTTAGCTCGGAGGCTTCCGGACACTTTTAATGAAGCCAAATGTATTACTTTCAGCATGTTGTTGTTTTGCAGTGTTTGGATGTCATTTGTTCCAAGCTACTTGAGCACTAAAGGGACTTCTGTTACAGCTGTGGAAATTTTCTCTATTTTAGCCTCCAGTGCTGGGTTACTTGGTAGCCTCTTTTTCCCCAAATGCTACATTATTTTGTGGAAGCCTGAACTGAACAAGAAGGAGTTCTTCTTAAGGAGAAAGCACTGAATCTTTGTTGCAGCATGGCTTCCTATAATCCATTCATAATATGCCAATCTCAAAAAGAAATGCTTAGGATGAGCAGATTGGCCATCTCTCTCTGATAACAGTTTTCAGATAAATCAATTTTCTTGTGTGCATTGTTCTTTCTCTGAACAATTTTACTTCCTTGTATGCTTTTCTGTATGTATATCTTAATACTGTATAAATAAATAAACTCTTTCAAAACACTAACTATACCATTTTTAGTTTCATATAATGAAAAACATCCCAAAATGCATTCTCGTGGTGAATCTTGCTATCCTAGAAATGGAAGTACGAAGTTTAGATGGTGGAATAGAGAGTATGCTTATCAAATTTTGATTAAAAAAAGGAAATGTGAACACGGAATTTTATAAAGCATTCTTTTCTCCCATTTGGGAAAAGATGAAAGATGTGAAAGATTTATTTTGTCTTGAGGTTCATTTTAAGGTTTGTTTAATGAAAATGTATTACTTCCTCATGGAAATCCAATTTATGTGATATTAATGTGAGCTAGCAGTCACTTGGAAGCTGTGAGTAGGTGGAGAGAGAGAGAGACAGCATTTTTCTGGTTAAACGTATATTCATCATAGAAATAGATACTGACATCAAAGTGGACCAAGGGTTTTGTGTGCGAATCCATAAATCCCAAAGGATAAGAGTTCAACTTCAAGAAAGAACTACGCATCTTTTATTAATTGTGTTCATTCATAAATTGGTCCCTTTGTGGCCAATTTCTAAGTTGGTTTTAACACTGTGATTTTATGAGTTAAGCTGCAATTGTCATTCTGCTCCTAGTTGCACAGAGTGCTGGAAAAAAGCATTGGTTTTAGTCTCTTGCCTTCTGGTGGTTCCAGTTTCCTGGGTATTAAAACACTTTGTGCTGCTAAAGTTGCACATAAGATCAGAACGAAGTCCATATTTGACAATTGCATTGCGGATTCACTAAGGTAATATTTAATTTAATCTCCAAATCTAATTTCTAGATGGTTAATATTTATCAGAAAGCTTAAATACACCACGGAATATATATGGGTTATGAAACCAGATTTCTACTCTGAATGGTGCAAATTGAGTTCAAATTGCACTTAGAAGTTGCTTGGCCATATTGGTAAAATGTGTTTATGGAGTGTTGTAGCCTGATTTAATGTACAGCCAGAAAGTGTGTGCTGAACTACAGAGACAAAAAATTAGAAGTACTTCAGGATTTCTTGTTGAAATAGAAACTGTTTCACTACTAATCACTTCCCATGAACAGACAGCTTAATATTTTAGAGCAATCACAGGGCTCTTAGTAAAAGTCTTGAGGTCCTCAAATACAACACACCAGACTTCAGAAGTTTGCAAATCTCCCACATTTTTAATTCACAAAGGGATATAGAAGTTATTTTTCTATTACAGTCAATTGTTTTGGTTTTTCCCCCCAATGCTTAAAGTAACCAGATGCTATTTCAAACTGGTTGTAAAATTGTAATTACTCTTGAAGTACTGCTAGGAATTTCCAATGTGATCATGTAGCTTATTATTTGATGAGGCAAAGCATGGTAGTTATGGAATCATAGTTGTATGTATGTAGTGCAAAATTTACCCAAGTCTTGAGCTGAAAGTGACAAAGTATACAGATTTGGGTGGTTGGGGAGCCCTCAGCCTAAAACAGAAATGGATGAATAGAATTGTCCCTAAACCAATCTGAAGACTTCAGGGAATTTGTAAATAACACCAGACCTAGTACTTAAAACCTAAACTACATAACTTGTAGCTCATGTTTAAATCAAATTAGTCATCAAACTGCCAGGGAGGGAACAACTTTAATCCCATCTTCCCTGTTCTATACTTAGAATGCTGATGATATTTGCCCTTATTTTTCATTGATTTCATGTTTGTGACTTCTTCTGATGCAATAATTAAACAGCATGTGTGCTTGTGTTTTTTTAATGCTGCTTTTTGGGGGTTGTTTTATAGAGTGAAGATTTCCATATATAATGAACTAGAAAAAGAAGCTAACGTATAAAATAAAAGCAAGAAAATTCAAATGATTTCTTCAACTTCAAGAATATGTTTAATCAAGAAGTTATATTATTGATCAGCAGAAAAAAAGTGATTCCTAAATTGTTAAGCAACTCTATGTGAAAATAAAGCAAAAGGGGAAAATGACTCTAGAAGAATAAATTGTGAAATAAATGGTCAAAGAATTTAATTAAGATATGCCATGGAAATATGAGTATGGAAGAAAATGCCACAATTCTGTCTGGATTTATACTTGTGGGGTTTAATGAAACTCACCAATTTCATTTTTTAATCTTTGCATTATTGTTGTTTCTGTACATAATCACCTTAATGACAAATACTATGATTATTCTAATAGTAAAATCTGACCCTGTGCTTAGCACACCTATGTACTTCTTTCTAATGCACTTGGCCTGCTTAGAGGCTTGCTATATGTCAGTCATCATCCCCAAACTATTAGAAAATTTAATGGTGAAACCTAATGTCATTTCCTTCCTGGGATGTGCTGTGCAGATGTTTCTCTTCCTCTTTTTTGGGGTAGCTGAATGCTTTCTGCTGGCTGCAATGGCATTTGACAGGTATGTTGCCATATGTTGCCCTTTGCGTTACACAACAATTATGAGCAGGAATATTTGCTGGAAGATGGTAACTGGTTCATATGTCTGTGGGACTGTCGTTGGGCTCGTCCACACCACTGTCACATTTAGCTTGCCATTTTGTGGTGTGTCCATAGACCACTTCTTCTGCGAGGTGCAGCCATTGTTGGAATTAGTCTGTGGAGACACTTTCCTAAATGAACTTCAAGTCATTGGGGTGGCTCTGATGGCTATAATGCTACCTTTCCTGCTGATAATTCTATCTTACATTGGTATTATCTTCACTATCATCAGAATGCCAGTCTTGGAGAGCAGATATAGAGCTTTCTCCACCTGCTCTTCACATTTAATAGTGGTTGTCCTCTTTTACGGAACAGCTAGTTCTATGTATTTAAAACCCAAATCCAGCTATTCTCCACCAGTGGACAAGCTTTTATCATTTTCTTACACTGTTGTAACTCCTCTGTTAAATCCTATTATCTATAGCCTTAGAAATAAGGAAATCCGGGCATCCCTGAGAAAGTTATTGAAAAAATGAATGCTGTCTCAACAAAAAAGTAGATAGATGTTTGAATAAGTATATTGTGGTAAAATAAATTTTGAAATGACCTCATTGTTGGGATCAATGCTTTTATATGGGTTGTACTGTAAAGCCTTTGTATAACCAGTATGAATTGTAAAATTCCTATGGACCAACCAGTTAATGTATTAAATCATATTTATTGATGCAACAATGAAGTGTTTTACTGAACTACAAAAAATATTCTGTGTTACTATAGTAATTGTTGTTGCTGTGTGCCTTCATGTTATTCCCGACTAATGGTGACCCTAAAAATGAAGAGACTGGAAGAATCCAAATTGCACAAGGTAACTCAATGTGCTTCCACAACATAACAGCGATCAAGGCCAAGTCCAAGGCCTGGTGTTTTGCCCTAATTTGTTGCCAGTCATGGGTCAGGAAGGACCACTACCTGGTATTTAGCTCTCACCAAATCTAACACACACTCAAAAGTTAAGCTATAGTTAATAGTTGCAAATTTAAACTGGTAACAGTTAATAAAGTTGCCCAAATTTGAACCCAATACATCATGTGGTCTCCTTATTTCGGGGGTTGGATGGCAAAGTAACCCAATGTGTTTCCACAATATAACAGGGATTCAAATACTGGTTTCTAGATTTATGCTACAATGTTTAAACCCAATATCTGCTGAAATAGAAACATGGAAGAGAAAGAAATAAAGTGCTCCAAAAACATCAGGAAAGAATGGAATAAAGTTTCCTAAAGGAAGAAGACATAGTTTAGGGAAGACATAGTTTAGGGCACTAGTGGGCAACTGTGACAGGCTAGGGAGATGCCCCTGCCTCCCCTTCACATCCTACTTCAATCCCCATTCCTCTCCCCATGGCATCTATGAACTTAACAGGACATGCCACCATGTTTTAAGCCATAATACATGTTTTGGCATGGGAGAAGACTTTTTCAACTAGAAATCACTTTTGATTTTAAAGAAGGAAGGAAGGGAAGGGAAGAAGAAAAAAGAGGGCATTTTCTTGGTTTATAATGATCTAGGGCTCTGGGATATGGTGAAAAATACTCCCATGTTCTTTGGAGAGCATGGCACAGGGGGGCGGGGGGCAATGTAGATATCAAATCATTTATTTCGGTCATTGACCAGCACAGGAAATAGAGTCACATTTTCATACAAACTTGGTATGTTTGGTACATTAAAAATATAAATATAACTACTGAAGCACAATATGCATGAGGGAGCGGAAGAGAAGGGGAAACAGGGTAAAAACCTACAATGCCCAGATCCATCACCAAATTGTAGATTCAGAGAAGAAGATTACTGGACACACAGTTAACTTTTGGGACTAGTCATTCCCTGATGGATTTTGTATCCTGCTGCACAGAACTTTGCAACATTGTAGGTTGTAGCTGAATTAATATCTGCAAATAGCAATGTAGATACTATTTTAACAAAGTGGGGGGACTTAAAGTCAAAGAAATAGCCCTAGAGGCTGCATGCAACCCATGGACTACAATTTGCCCACCCCTTGACTAGGACTTCAGTATGACTTAAGAGGCTGGTTTTATTGGAACAAAAGTGGAAACTTTACCCGAGTTCTTTGATTGACTTTTGTATAACGTATTACAGCATGCTTCTTTGGCTAGGACTATATCCTAAAGTAATTTCTCCTTTACTTCATCTTTGATGTGAATTAGGATTTATGTCTCTAAATATGAAATGCTTCATTGGTAATGTAATGTAATCTTGAAGAAGAAAAGATCTTAAGAAAAGATAATGGGAGATGAAACAGTTGTGAGTGATTTCATTGTGTTGGGTTTCTCATCATAGTACTTTTGTCTCTATGTTTTCTCACATTATCACCACTTGCTTTTGCCTCTAATCTAGATAGAGTCATATATTTCTTCCATAAAAACCTGTTATATCCTATATATCAGTTAGTATCCCCGACATGCTGGTACGTTTCTGTTTGACTATGCATTTCAGTTTTCAAAAACAGAGAATGGGACTAACAACACACTACTGGCCCACTATATAATTTCACAAGACTTGTTTCCTCCAGATCTGTGGTTCTCAACCTGTGGATCCCCAGATGTTTTGGTAAAATGGCTGGGATTTCTGGGAGTTGTAGGCCAAAACCCATGGGGACCCACAGGTTGAAAACCACTGCTCCAGATGGTCGACTACACAGAACCAAAGACACTGGAGAAATAATTATATTCCCTGTAATTATGCAAAAATACTGTAATTGAGATTTTTTCCCTGTGGCAAAACAGTCAATCAATTTCAGATATTGACAAAAACCTACATAAGTTATGAAACCTGCTATGAATAGCATTTCTGTAATTGAAAGCTGGACTGAGGGAAATTATTGCTAGGTGAGTGAATAATATCTCAGAACAAGATGAAGGGCAGAAATATGTTTTTCTTCTCCAATATTCAGTGGCTCCAAATATATCATATGCCTTCTTTGGTGGACATGAATGAAATTTTCAGTAGATTAGCAAGATATGATATGCTTTTCTTGCTGCTCTTGCTTGTTTCTTGTTTTCAGGCAATCAGCCCAACATCAAAGGGAAACTGGAAAGCAAAAGCACACAGATATAAAGATGGCTATTTTAAGCCAGGTGACTATGTTATTGGTGCAATTTTATCTTTGCTTACTATTGGGCTTCCTGAAGAATTCTTCAATACTTTCCCCATCAGTTATACTGAATATCCCTTTAAGTAAGTCCTTATAGAATGTGGTTGTTTATTTTCTATACTTAATAAGTAATGGGCAATGTTTCTAGATATTTTTAAATATAATTTGTAAAGGCATTTTGAATGTTTAACATACATTTAGTATAGAATATATCAATTGCAGAAAGGTAGTGTGAAAGACAAGTGCTATATCAAAGTTATAAAAATATAACCAAAGCAAAACGGGTAATATAAGGAGTCATTAAAAAGTGCAATGGCAAGACTAATGACAAGGCATTTTCAGCATGGTTTTCCATGTTTTATGTTCCATTTTCATGGTTGCATAAAAATAATTTTTCCTGGACATGGGATAGAGTAGGACTGTTTTAAGCTCTATGTGGTTTGATCCATACTTTTATTTGCTTTTAGTAATTGTGATTTACTTCTCGTTAGAGATAAAAAATAATATTTTAAAAGGTGATTAAAACATATTTTAAACCCTGATGAGAAAAATCCTGCACTGAAAATGAATAGAAATAAATGAGACTATATTATTTCCAATTTAGGGTTGTAAGTAAGAACTGCCAGCATGCCTTGGCTTTCATTTTTGCTGTGGAGGAGATCAACAATCACCCAGACCTCTTATCCAATATCTCACTGGGCTTCCACATCTGCGACAACTTCTTTGAACCGAAATTCAGCTATGAAATAACCCTGTCCCTTTTTTCAATACAAAAAGAAAACATCCCTAATTACAGATGTGGAAGACCATACAAGATCCCTGCTGTTGTTGGAGCACTCAGTTCTGAAACCTCTACTCAGACGGCCACTATTTTAGGTCTCTACAAAGTGTCCCAGGTAGGTGTAGAAGATAAACAATAAAGTACAGCATAGCTGTAGAAAAAATAAATCAAATGCTATTGTGTGGGCTGGCTCTACCGTGAGCAAATTTAGTGCAAAGAAATGACGGGTAATTGTAACTGATATAGCTCAGCTATCAAAGTGGATGTGTTCCTAGGCTTTCCCTCTTTAACAGGAAATTTTGGTATCAGATACAGAAGTAACATGGAAAGAAGAAGGGTAGAGTATTGCACCATGAAAAAGAACAGCTCAACACATCTCAGAACATTTTTTTAAAGTCCAAAATTAAGAATATGCACACATGAATTGAAAGAAATGTAAGCAGTCAAGAAAAACTTGTACAAGGAAGCAAAAAAAAGTTAAACCACTTTATGAGCACTTGAAACTTTGTTCTAAATGCATCATGGAATATATTTTTCTTTTGCCAGCCTCCAATTGTATTTCCAACATGTTGGAAATAACTGATGAGACAGACTTCTCTGCTGCTTCATTTTATCTGTGTTTTCCTATTCAGTAAGGGAATCCAGAAGCAGTTACTGGTTATCAGGCCTGTGGTGGACAGGAGAATACAGTTACACTAGAAGAAGAAGAACTTTATTTTTTTACCTCGCCTCCATCTCCCCGAAGGGACTTGGGGTGGCTTTCATGGGGCCAAGCCCAAGGCAACATACAATTAAAAACAAAACAGTAAAATATTAAAACAACACAAAAATAACATAATCATAAACAATAAAACGAGCATCATAAACAACAACATAGATACTTCAATGTTGGCATGCAGATGCACTGCTGCACGCTAATATTGCATGGCTGTGTTTGTAGAATCCTTCTTCATCTTTTCAATACTGGTTCTGCTAAAAAATAATATTCTAGGTAGTTTTACTCAAAGGGAAGAGTGAGTTGCTTCAGAACCAACCTGTCTGTTCTATAGTACAGTGAAACTGAAGGTGGGCAATAGTATCGATTGGATAGTGGCACTCCATCTTAGGTAATAAAGAGTTCGGGATAAACTCTGGATATGCTACTAAATGCAAAGATCTGTAGGTTTGGAGGAAGTAGCATCTTTCCAGAGTATTAGTGCCATTTTTCATCCTTAGATAAACTTATTTTCAGAACCAGGCAACTATAGATAACTAGTAGGGCTGGGCGGTTTCGTTTCGTTAATTCGTAATTCGTTAATAATTCGTTAATTTTTTCAATTACAAAACGATAACGAACCATTCTGGAGCAATTATTAAAAAAAACGAATTTTCAAAAACGTTTTGTAAATGCTTCGTATTTCGATATTGTATTCGTTTCGTTATTGTTTTGAGGTCGTTTCGTTATTATTTCCGCATGTCTGGGCCACTTTTATGGTTTAATTAGTGAAAAAAAATTATAATATCACACCAACAGTCAACAACAGAGGGAGAGGGAAGCTTCAGAAGGTTTTGGAGGTTTTTTAGCGTATTTCGCGGTCGCGTCCGCCATTAACGAATCGATTCGTTATTGTTTCGGTAATCGATTCGTTAATTTTTTACCATTTACGAAATTTCGTAAATATCGAACTTTTTAAAAGGAAATTTTTGTAATTATTTTAAATATCGAAACAAAAAAAACCCCAAATACAAATCGATTTTAGAAACAAATTTTTCCGTTGTTACCCAGGCCTAATAACTAGCACTTGGTCAGAGACCTTCATTTATGCTTCAAGTGAACCTAGCAAATTGTTACATTGTAGGGCCAGCAGACGGTGCATCTACACTGTAGAATTAATGCAATTTAACACCATTGTAACTGTCAAGGCTTAATGCTATAGAATCATAGGAGTTGAAGTTGTACAGGGCCGTTACTGTTCTCTGCCAAAGAGTGCTGGTGCTCCACTAAACTGCGGCTTACAGGATCCCACAGCATTGAGCCAGGGGCAGTTAAAGAGGTGTCAAACTGCATGAATGTGAAGCCACTCTGAGTCCCCCTAGGGGTTGAGAAGGGAAGGGTACAAATATAGTAAGAAAATAAATATACTCTACAGTGTAGATGCACCTAGAGCACTGGCTCTCAACCTGTGGGTCTCCAGGTGTTTTGGCCTACAGCTCCCAGAAACCCAGCCAGTTTATCAGTGGATAGGATTTCTGGGAGTTGGGGACCTACAGGTTGGTCCCCAACTCCCAGACCTACAGGTTGGAACCACTGATCTAGAGACTAGGATTGGATCAACACTGCAATATATTTCAGTTTTGGAATCCAGATTATATTTATTATTTATTCAGGACGGCTACCAGCAGGCACCATTCAGTGCTGAACAATTCACAACATAATATACACTTTACCTATATTAAAAACAGTTATAAATATATTAAAACAATTCGTCATTTCATGTCATCCTCCATGTTAGTTCAACAGTCCATTAAAATTATCTTCACTCCATTGCCATCAGCTAAAAACAGTCTGTTAAAACCATCTATTCTGTGAACATTTGATCCCATAACTAGGGTTTAAGCTTCTTTCAGAAGGTCATGAGGGAGGAGGGCAGATCTAATCTCGTTAGGGAAGGCGTTCCACAGCCGAGGGGCCACCACTGAGAAGGCCCTGTTTTGAATAGATTATGTAGCAATGTAGTTGGTGCCTACGAAATATTATTTGGCATGAACTTTCTTGGATCTCCACCTATTTAAAGAAATGAAAGTAGGGTTGAAATCCACAATATGGTTTGTTATCCTAGAAGATGCAAAAAACACTTGATTGTTTAGGCTGTAATCAATTAACATGGTATCAATTTCCTTGAAAATTAGTCTTTTGGATTCATTTTAAAGCATTAGTGGAAATAATGCCAGCCCACTACAAATTAAAGTGCCATTGATTTTGTTCTATTAAAAAGGGGGAAAATATGGTTGTTGTTTTTTTTTGTATTTTGGAATTGGTTGTGAAAATCACTGTGTTGTTTTTTTTCCAGCTGATTTGTGGCTCAACCCATTCAGCAATGAGTGATAAGATTCGTTACCCCTTTTCCTATCAAATGGTGCCAAATGAAGCTGTTCAGTTTGATGGGATAGTGCAGTTGCTAAGCTATTTCAGCTGGACATGGGTTGGCCTCATTGTTTCAGATGACAACCAAGGGGAAGAGTTTGTGCAAAGCCTAAAATCAGTTCTCACTAGAAACAGCATCTGTGTGGCTTTTACCGAAAAGGCTCCATTTTTCTTTCCACAGACAATTAATGGATCCCCATACTATGAATTCAGTAGTGTCACTGTTTTGAAAAATCTTATTTTTACAAAAGCCAATGTGATTGTTGCATATGGGGCAACATCCCTCATGATTGGGTTAAACATACTGCTCCACAACTATGAACAACTGACAGAGAAGTTCATAGAGAAGGTTTGGGTCACAACAGCACAGTGGGATTTCAGCTCAAAGGTTTTCCTGAATGACTGGGATGTCAAACACTTCCATGGTTCCTTGTCTTTCATGGTCCACAAACACAATGTGCCAAGATTTAAGACTTTTCTCCAGGAATTTAACCCTTACCAGCATCATAATAGTAATTTCCTTCAATACTTCTGGCATGATGCATTTGATTGTATAAGTCCTGATTTCTACAACAACACACAAAAATTCAAAATTTGTACAGGGGAGGAAAAGCTGGAGAGTCTTCCTCAGACTGTATTTGAAATGGACATGTCTGGTGACAGCTATAGTATCTATAATGCTGTTTATGCCTTGGCATATGCTTTGGATTCATTAGAAAATCCAAAATTGAGTAATCGGCCACTACAGTCATGGAAGGTAATGGACAAAACTGGTTAACTATTTTATACTTCAATCACTTTTGGTAAATAATAAAGATCTCTCTTCCCAACTAGCTTCACTGGTTTTTGAGAAAAATCCATTTCAACAATAGTGCTGGGGAAGAGATGTTTTTCAATGACAACATGGAATTGTCCACTGGATATGACATACTGAACTGGGTTGTTTTCCCCAATAAATCCTTTATGAAAGTAAGAATTGGAGCAATGGATTCCAAGCCTTCCTCAGACCAAAAGTTTACTATTAAGGAAGATGCCATTACATGGCCTAATGCTTTCAACCAGGTGGGTTTTCCAGTTTTGAACATTTCACTGCAGCTTTAGAAATTATTGGAGAAATTACATTTCACAGGAGCATTTTTGGTAATCGCATTTGGATGGCTCTATGAGAATTGTATCTTCCCCCCTAGATATCAACAAAACATTGGGGGGTGGGGGAGAAAAGGAAACTCATGTTTTCTTATCTGTTTACATTAGAATTAAATAGAAAACTGCCTGAGTCATTAAAGTGCTGCATTACTGGAAGTGCAATAGAAAATTTCAGGTTATGTTGAATAAAATCAATGTATTCAATTAAACTGACGCTTCTTCCATTTATGATTAGACAGTGCCTGAGTCAACTTGTACTGAGAGATGCCATCCAGGGTACAACATGAAGATTCTTGAAGGACAGCCACCTTGCTGCTATCATTGCTTATGTTGCCCCGAAGGAACAATTTCAAACCAAACTGGTAAGTGATTCCAGGATCAATGAAAATAAAATAGAACTTTGAAAATAAATATTAGAATAAAGATTTGAGTAAAATTTGTTTAAAACCAGCTTGGTTGGTACTATTGCCAATTACAGATCAGATAATGTAGTTTTGTCATCATGGTATCATTGCTTGTCTCACAGTCCACATGTCAAAAGCAGCCTTCCCATTCACTTTTAAATCTTTTAAATCAACAAGCCTCCCCAACAGATAGGCAGATTGGTTAACAACAACAACAACAACAACAACAACAACAACAACAACAACAACAACTTTATTTCTAGACCGCACTTCTCTCCCTATACAAACACTCAATGCCTTACAAAGTAACAAGCAACATGAGGAATAGTACAAAATAATAAACAATAATTAACAGTGAACTTATAATGAAATAATTAAATGTTGTAGTGAGGACTAGGTAGTAATAAACCCAATTAGACAATTAGACAATAAACTAGGACATGTGTAAACATTAAATAAGGTAAAGGTTTCCCCTGACATTAAGTCTGATTTGGGGTGGGGGTGGTGGTGCTCATCTCCATTTCTAAGACAAAGAGCCAGCGTTATCCATCCAAGGTCATGTGGCCAGCATGGAGTGACTGCATGGAGTGTTGTTACCTTCCTGCCATAGTGGTACCTATTGGTCTACTCATATTTGCATGTTTTTGAACTGCTAGGTTGGCAGAAGCAGGGGCTAACAGCGAGAGCTCACCCCACTCCCTGGATTTGCAAGTTCAGCAGATCAGCGGTTTAACCTGCTGCATCACTGGGGGCTCCAAAAGCATTATTTATTAACACTAGCTTGGGGACCCGGTGGTGCCTGGGTTATTAGAAGAAGGGACTGTTTGTTTTGGGATGTTAGGTAATATCACTGAAGTTTGGTCCAGATCGGTAAGTGCTCTCTGGATAAGGCTGAACCACGACTCCCAGATTCCCAGAGCAATCACCCCCAAACTCTGACAGTAGTTGCAGTTGGCCATGTTGGGTCTGTGTACCAAGTTTGGTCCAGATCTGTTGTTGGCTGGATTCAGGGACAAACAGGTTGCTTGGTCCTCCCAATGAGGACCACAGTGAGTCTTCATGATTGGTAGACAGTTGGGATAATAGCGTACTGTCACGGTGGTAAAGTGCTCTACTAGGATTCCAGTCAATGTACTAAAGTAAAATATATGGAAAGAAGGCTATAGTTTTGAAATGAATTAATTCAGCATATATAACCATTCATACATTTTTGAATGGCTTATCTAAGTGTTCCTTTCTTTCCATTCTATGGCAATATCATGTTAGACACAAAACATTAGTGTAATACAATGTTGTATAGTTGTAATTTTAATACTAAACATATTAAGAGTTGTGAAACTTAATACAGCTCATCAACCACTGGTCTCCCAAGTGTTTGACGCATTTCTTTGTTCAGTTCAGTGTCTCTACAATCTAAGTAAACCAATACGCATGTCTACTTGTTTGCTTTGCCAATGTATAAAGCAGGGCTTCTCAACCACAGGTCCCTGAGTTCTGAGACAGGTCTTTAGGAGTTCCTTGGGAGATCCTGATCATGATATTTTCTTTGAGCTATAGATGTAATCAATTTTTTTGCAATAGTTCTTTGAGGCCTGGAAATTATTTGAAGGCTTCCTCGGGGTTAAAAGGTTTGAGAAAGCCTGGTACAGATAACATTGCACAGGAAGATCTTTCTTCTTTTTCAGATGCACATTATTGTTACAAATGTTCAGAAGAGGAGCGTCCAAACAAGAAACAAAACAGATGTGTTCCCAAAGTCATCACTTTTCTTACTTATGACGAACCTTTGGGGATCAGTCTGCTGTCTGCTGCAGTTTTCTTGTCTCTACTCACAGCCTCAGTATTTGGAATATTTATTAGACACCAGAATACACCAATTGTCAAAGCGACAAATCGGGACCTTACTTATCTTCTGCTAATTTCAATTTTCCTCTGCTTCCTTTGCTCCTTGATATTCATTGGACAACCCAGCATAGTAACTTGCCTTCTTAGACAGGTTGCTTTTGGCAACATCTTTACTTTTGCACTTTCTTGTGTGTTGGCCAAAACAATGACTGTGATCATAGCATTCATAGCCACAAATCCTGGGGGGAAAATAATTAAATGGGTTGCCAAAAAATTATCCAACTACATTATCTTTATTTTTTCTGCTATCCAAGTTGGAATTTGTGCCATCTGGCTAGGCACCTCTCCTCCATTCCCAGAGACGGATAAAGTCTCGCAACCTGCAGAAATTGTAGCACAATGTAATGAGGGCTCATCTACCATGTTCTACATTGTCCTAGGGTACCTGGGCTTTCTGGGCAGTGTTAGTTTCACCCTAGCCTATCTAGCAAGGGAACTACCTGACGCATTCAATGAAGCCAAATTTATCACCTTCAGTATGCTAGTGTTTTGCAGTGTCTGGATAACCTTTATTCCAACCTATCTGAGTACCAAAGGCAAGTACATGGTAGCTGTGGAAATCTTCTCTATTTTGGCCTCGAGTGTTGGATTACTGAGTTTTATTTTTGCTCCTAAAGTGTACATTATCTTGCTGAAACCAAACATGAACATTAAGGACCACTTGTTTAAGAAAGGGAAGTCAATAAAATAACCTTCTGCACATAATCTCATAATGATACATGGACTAGATGCCCATGTGGTCTCTTCCAACTCTATGATTAAATGATTCTATAAATGCTCTTCACTGAAGGAAAGAACTGAAATAGACCATATGATGTATATGTAGAAATGTGTTACTCATCAATGCATACATCTGAAAATATGCATTATGAATAAGATGTGTGAGTGAATTGTAGTACTTTAAAGTTAGTAAACACACATTCACACAAATATATTTTCCAAATGTGATATTGCCTTGTTCATTTGCCTATTTGAATGATACATAATATCTGTGTTTTAACAATAATATATGAATGAACTGTTGCCCACAGAAACAACTACTTCTCTCCCTTCTTTTTGTCTCTCAAGCAAGCAAACAAGTTTTAAATAAAGTTTAATTGCTTATTATAGTTGTATGCAACTTTAAATAATAAAAAACTCAAAACAATTTACAGTGTAAAATGGAACAACATTTATATGTATAATGTAGGTGTAAACTGATTTTAAAGGGTATCTAAAACAGAATATAGTCTTTGTACATTCAGTCCTTCAGATCTGCAAGTTTAACTTTTGAAGATTTGATTATTTGCAGAGCAGATCTCGTTAATACATCATCTCTAAGAATGCCTACGTCTTCTAGTGTCATGCTGGAGGACCTAGATGATCCCAAAGAGATGTTTGCTAAGGTTAAAAGGACTGACATTCCAGAAGCATACCTACGTCTTTAAATGCTATTCTCATATCTCCATTTACAAGATCTTCTGTAGACATCCTCTGGCAACATGGCCATCTGCTTTGGTTATAAGCATTCAATCTTGTTTAATATATACATCAGTTTACTGAGAGAGGTCATTTGGAGTTTTGAGTTTGAGTGCAATGAGTGTGCTGATGATGGTCAGCTTTATTTTTTTAGTGGATTTAGAGGCAGCAAGGTCTGGAAGCAGGCACTGAGGAAGCTTCATTGTTCCCATCAAGTGTGTTTGACAGAATGGTGGGACAGAAAGAGGATTTGCTTCAGAAGATCTTGGAGTTTTCATCATAAAGGGAGATATTGGCGTATGATTCAAAGACATGGCTATGTTAGTCTTTGAAGCGAGCTTAAGTCCCCATGCCCTGTCCAAAACAAATGGGTTTTTTTGTTGGTTTCCCTATGGTAACTTCCATGCTGACAGGGGGCCACCAAACCCCCTCCAAAAAAATCCCTTAAAATAAGAAGAAACTTACCAGGTGCCATGAGACCTCTCTGGCAGGTATCTCGATGTGTAGAAATGATGTGCCCGAAGACAGGGCAGTTCTGGCACATCATTTCTATGCACCAGGAGGCTTGCCAAAGAGGCCTCATGGCACCCAGTAAATTTCTTCTTATTTTAAGGGCTTTTTTTCAGAGGTTGGGGTTGGGAAGGGTTGTGACCTCTTCACTTCTACAGGCTCATGGAGCCTGGAGAAGTGAATTGGGCTATGGGGACTGACCCTTCAGAGGTCTCAGGACTACCCGGGGGTCAGTCACCATAGGGACCATACCCCATTAGACACAAGCCTTTCAAGAAGGCCCGTGTCTTATGGAGTATCTAAATAATTCTGGGCAAAGCAGGGTTTACCTGCTTCATCCTGAATTAATTCTCACCTGAGGCGTTGTTTGGGTGCCTCAGGTAAAAGTATGATAGAGCCTGCATTTTGGGCCCTGTTTTGAAGGGCCCTGGAATATCAGTATGCAAGGAATTTTGTAGCACTCTAGAGACTACCTGAGAGAATGACATTTGTAGCCTTAGCTTTCCTAAGACTAAGTTTACTTTCTCAGGCGCATCTGAGATGCATTATTATACCGTATAATGAATTCAGTATGTCCACCTGCATTTCCTTGTCCTGTCTTCCTCAGATGGCTGAGCTAACAAGAATAGGAAAAATATATCTGCTGTAAGAGAAGGGGTTCATGCAGGAGCAGTAGCCTAAATCCCAATAACCAGATTGCCATTATAGGATGAATGGGAAATCTATGTCCTTCAAAAGTTTTGGGATTCCAGATTCCATCATTCTTATATGGAGATATAAATCTCTGACTACTTTCTCCTTCATATGAGGATGAATGAATAAAACAGTTTTCTCCCCTAGTATTCTAAAGGATTGAATATGAGTTATTCTACATGGAAAAAAGTGTATATGTGTGCTTTGCATACAAACTTTCTGTCCAGAAACAGGTTGCAGGTTATCCACTGTGTAAAAAAAACAACTTTATGTAACCCCTACCCCACCACAAACATGCAAGTTATCCCTTGATGTTTCAGTCATCAGGTGATGATTTGACACATCAATATTTCTATGACAATAAATAAACAATATTATCTTTTGTTCAAAGCAAATAGTCTCTTGAATAATTTTCTCTTCAATGCACCTTTAACTTCTTTATTTCTTAGGCTATAGATTTGTTTATTTATTTATTTATCTTGCTTCTATACCGCTGTTCTCAGCCCGGAGGCGACTCACAGCGGTTCACAGCAATAAAAGACAGCAAAAAATTCAATGCACAATATAAAACAGTTAGCAGTCTAATCCATTACACAATTAATAACAATAAACAATTAACGATTACTACAGTAGCCATTCACTATCATCTCATCATCAAAAACATGATCCAAATTCGTCGTCCATTGATCCATTCCAGTGTTCAGTGTTCATTAACCAATCATTGCTCTTGTTCGAACGCCTGTTCAAATAGCCAGGTCTTCACTTTTTTTCGGAATACCATTAGGGATGGTGCTAGTCTAATGTCGGTAGGAAGGGCGTTCCACAGCCGAGGGGCCACCACCAAGAAGGCCCTATCTCTTGTCCCCGCCAGACGTGCTTGAGAAGCAGGCGGGACTGAGAGCAGGGCCTCCCCGGAAGATCTCAAAGTCCTGGTGGGTTCATAGGCAGAGATGCGGTCGGATAGGTAGCTTGGGCCGAAACCGTTTAGGGCTTTAAAGGCCAATGCCAGTACTTTGAATTGAGCCCGGTAGCAAATCGGTAGCCAGTGGAGTTGGCACAACAGGGGGGTTGTATGCTCCCTGCGCTCCACTCCTGTTAGAATCATGGCTGCTGAGCGTTGGACTAGTTGGAGCTTCCGAGCCATCTTCAAAGGCAACCCCACGTAGAGAGCGTTGCAGTAGTCTAAACGGGATGTAACCAGAGCGTGGACTACCGTGGCCAAGTCAGACTTCCCAAGGTACGGGCGCAGCTGGCGCACAAGCTTTAGCTGTGCAAATGCTCCCCTGGTCACCGCCGAAACCTGGGGTTCCAGGCTCAGCGATGAGTCCAGGGTCACACCCAAGCTGCGAACCTGCGTCTTCAGGGGGAGTGCGGCCCCATCCAACACAGGCTGTAACCCTATGCCCTGTTCGGCCTTGCGACTGACCAGGAGGACCTCTGTCTTGTCTGGATTCAATTTCAATTTGTTCGCCCTCATCCAGACCGTCACAGCGGCCAAGCACCGGTTCAGGACCTGGACAGCCTCCTTAGTAGCAGGTGGAAAGGAGTGACAGAGTTGGACATCATCCGCGTACAGATGACACCGTACCCCGAAACTCCGGATGATCTCCCCCAGCGGCTTCATGTAGATGTTAAACAACATGGGAGACAATATTGAGCCCTGAGGAACCCCACAAGACAAAGGTTGTGGGGTTGAACAGGTGTCTCCCAGTAACACCTTCTGAGATCGACCCTCTAGGAATGACCGGAGCCACTGCAGAACAGTACCTCCAAGACCCATCCCCGTGAGGCGTCCCTGAAGGATACCGTGGTCGATGGTATCAAAGGCCGCTGAGAGGTCCAGCAGCCCCAACAGGGACACACTCCCCCTGTCGAGCTCCCAGCGCAGATCATCCACTAAGGCGACCAAGGCTGTCTCGGTACCATGATGGGGTTTAACATGGGTGTGATTACTGTGTAGGAAAGTGAGAGGATCTTCTTTACATCTGGAGAGTAGCCTGATTTAGGTCTAAAGTAGGTAGATGTGGCTGTTGTATAAAACAAAGTAACCACCACAAGATGAGATGAACATGTAGAGAAGGCTTTATGCCGTCCCTCCATTGAGGGCATTCTCAAGAGGGTTGCTATGATGTGCACATAAGTGAGCAGAATTAAGAAGAAAGGGAACACAATGAAGAGCACAGTGGCTGTAAGAGCTTCAATTTCAAACATATCAGTATCAGCACAAGCTAACTCTAGCACTGGAGGGCTGTCACAAAAAAAGTGGTTGATTACGTTTGGCCCACAGAATGGTAAACTGAATATCCACGTTGTCTGCACAATAGAGACAGAAAAACCTGAGAACCATGAGGAAGCAGCCAGTTGGAAACAAGCAGTTCTGTTCATTATGTATGGATAATGTAAAGGGTTACAGATGGCTACATACCGGTCATATGCCATTGCAGCAAGGAGACAACATTCAGCTGCATCAAAAAAGAAGAAAAAGTACATTTGGGTAGCACAACCGGCATAGGAAATAGTCTTGTTCTCAACCAAGAAATTGACTAGCATCTTTGGGATGATGACCAAATTGAAACAGATCTCTAAGATGGAAAGGTTTCGGAGAAAAAAATACATGGGACTGTGAAGTATGGGGTCCATTGTTGTAACAATTATGATGAAGACATCTCCCAACAGAGTTATTGTGTACATAAAAAGGAAAATGATGAAGAGGGGTACCTGAAAGTCAGGGTAATTTGAAAACCCAATTAGAATGAATTCTGTAACCCTGGTTTGGTTGTCTTTGCTAGCTATCTTTTTCTGCATCATAATTTCCAGTAGTGTCTCAAGTAAAGATGATATGTTCTTTTTTGACGGCCAGTTTTTGGAGAGCTGGTATTGTGGCTGTTTCACTCTTCAGTAACTGAACTAATTTCTTTCCATTAGAATATGCTATAAAAAACAACAGACTGCTGTCAGATATGAGCCAAAACTGGATAATATTTTGAGTCTTAATACCTTGGTTTGTTTTTCATGAAATACTGACTGTGTTAAGAGTGGATTTTTTCATTACCAGTCTTCTCTGTGGTTCCATTTCGTGCCTTCATATAAGATCATAATGTGAAAAAGATTTATGTATGTCTTTGCCAATAAACAACTATATTAAACAGACTACATTTTAAAATTAACCATAATTGTAGTTAAATTTGCTTTTTATTATATATATATATATATATATAGAGAGAGAGAGAGAGAGAGAGAGCACTTGCAAAATGATATTTCAAATCCATTTGTCATGTAATAGTTTCAAAATATTAAATATATGTTTTATGTAAATTATAACATAAATATCACATCTTAAAATATAATATTATGTAGGATGCTAGTTTAGTTATTTCAGTGCTTCCAAACTCTGCTTTTCCAGTTATTAATGAAATGTGCTACTTTGAAATTCCTATTTATCTTTCATATTGCACAGTTATAGCATTATGATTCCAATTTAACTACCATGACTACACCTCACAGAATTTTGGGATTGGCAGTCAGGGGGCTCTACTGTAAACTATTTAACCCAAGATGCCATTTGAGTTAAGTGAAACAACCCTAGTCTTTTAGTCATATTCAGGCCCCGTTAACAGTGCCATATAAAATCCAAATTATTTGAACTGGATTATCTGGCAGTGTAGACTCATATAATCCAATTCAGAGCAGATAATATGGATTTATCTGCTTTAATAATCTGGATTATGTGGCAATGCAGAAGGGGCCTCAGTCTTCAGCACCAACAGCACAAACATATTTTCTTTGCTTATTTTCTTGCTTGCACAGACTAAGATGAAAGTAGTGTTTGCTAAACTCAAATATGTAATAGGTGACATTCTAAACCCAATTCATACCAAGGGTTATAGGAAACACTACCCCATGACAGCAGAATAAGGACTAAATCCTGGCTAAAGTAACATTATATGCGGTGTAGGTGTGGCTTTTGAATGCACCTACACTGTAGAATTAGAACTGCTTCACACTACTGTAACTGATATGGGTCAATGCTATAGAATCATGGGAACTGTGATTTGACAAAGTCTTCCCTGCTAAATAGTGCCAGTACCAAGCCAATCTACAAGTCCCATAATTACTTAGTGGTATAAAATTGCATTACTTCTACAATGTAGAAGTACCTGACTACCATATTTGATTTTCTGTGCATCAGTTTTCAACCTTGCCCAAAGTTTCTACAGCTATACTTTTGGTGAGATTGATTGGTTGGTTGGTTGGTTGAATTTATACCTCACTTTTCTTCCTGGGATAGGACCCAAGATAACCTACAATTATTTAAAGCATGGCCCAGGTAAAAAGTTAAACAAACTAAACAACATTATTTTTAAAGAATATAATTCAAAGCACATGTACAACATAATTACAAAATAAAAGATAAAAAGTTAAAAGGCACAGTTTTATACATACCACAGCTACATAATTTAGATCTCAAGGCTTTCCTGAATAAAAAGGTATTGACGTGCCAGCTGAAAGAAAGCAGCAAGGGGTCAACCAGAATTCCTATAGAAAGGAGTTTTACATCCTCAGAAGGCTCTCTTAATGGCTGTTCCATTTTCTTGGAATCAATGAAGTTTGACACCACTTTAACTGCTATGGCTCAATGCTATCAAATCCTGGTTATAGTTTGGTGAAGCACCAGCACTATTTGGAAGAAAAGGCTAAAAACCATGCCAAATTACAGCTCCCATGGTTTCATAGCACTGAGCCATCCAGGTTTTTTTTTTCCTGTGTCAGAAGCAGCTTGAGAAACTGCAAGCCACTTCTGGTATGAGATAAATGCTGTCTGCAAGGAGGGTGCCCAGCAGAAGTCTGAATGTTTTACCATCCTCTGGGAGGCTTCTCTCATGTCGCCACATGGGAAGCTGGAGCCAACTGATGGGAGCTCACCCCATCTCACGGATTTGAACTGCCCACCTTCAGGTCAGCAGTTCAGCTGGCACAAGGGTTTAACCCAGTGCACCACCGTGGTGCCTAGTCATCCAGGTAAAGTGGTCTTAGGCGGCATTAATTCTATAGTGTGGATGCACTCTAAGAGATCTCTTTCTCATAGACTATTGGTCCATTTTCACCTCTTTTATTTTAATTTTAATTAAACCTATTGTAGTGGTTCTAGAGAAGACAATTATGCTGGGGAAAGTGGAAGGCAAAAGGAAGAGGGGCCGACCAAGGGCAAGATGGATGGATGGCATCCTTGAAGTGACTGGACTGACCTTGAGGGAGCTGGGGGTGGTAACGGCCGACAGGGAGCTCTGGCGTGGGCTGGTCCATGAGGTCACGAAGAGTCGGAGACGACTGAACGAATGAACTGAAGCAGGCTTTTTCTTTCTCTGAGCAATTGCTCAAAGGCTCAGCCAAAATGCTCCGTTTCAGTTCAAATTGCGGACGCAGATGAGTCAGGAAAAACAGCCAACTGGGTTCAGCAAGAATATCAAAGTTTATTTATAGCAGCTGCTAGAGGCTTTTCGACACAACAATGGCGTCTCTGGGAAAAGCCCCTAACATCAAAGGTAGTGTTCTTTTTATACATCAAAAGGGGTTCGGCTTTAAGAGCCGCCCCGAAGATTAAATCATTGGTTAAGAAAGCTGTCAATATTATAGTTATATTAGCAATTAGCTCATATATTTTTAAGTTTCGCTTCGCAATGAGCAAACCCCTTCTTGGAAACATCTCAAGACGCTGACATGCAAAATACAGCTGGAAACATCTGCTGATCTTGGCAAGTTTAAACTTTTAGCCTTGGCCATTTCCTTTCTGCAAAGTTGGCAAGTCTCATGACCGATTTTTCACCTCTTTCACAAAAAACTCATCTTGAGCCTGTCTTTGTCTCCCATATATGGTCAAGCCCATCCGTTCTCTTTTCTACATGCAAACCCCGGCAGCCTTAATAAACAAAAGCTGTACTTTTTGCCTTTTCTATAGCTATACCTTTCTGCATACCTACAGCTATACCTTTCTGCCTTATTACAACAACAAAATTGTAGTGGTTATCTGTTTTTCTATCTTCTCTTTCACAAGTTTTCCCCAAGGAAGCCCACAAAGGCCTTCCTTAACCATCCCATACTCATCTGACCATGATAGAATAATAATTTTTTTGTCATGACTTTTCTCAGCATGATTCGTTTTATTCATTCACCAGTGTTGGGGCAGAGCTATGTGTTCCTGATATTTCCCCTCTTCTTAACAGCCATTCTTAATTGCCATGTTCTGGCAATTATCACTATTGAGGCTACAGTTTAAAATATGAGATCTACTGTGCGAGTGTTGGAGAATCTATTTTTTTCATGCGCTTTATTTATTTATTTATTTATTTATTTATTTATTTAAGGTAAAGGTTAAGCTTTTCCCTTGACATTAAGTCTAGTCGTGTCTGACTTTGGGAGGTGGTGCTCATCTCCTTTTCTAAGCCAAAGAGCCGGAGTTGTTCGTAGACACCTCCAAGGTCATGTGGTTAGCATGACTGCATGGAGTGCCGTTACCTTCCCACAGAAGTGGTACCTATTGGTCTACTCACATTTGCATGTTTTCAAATTCAACTTTTTAAAATCAACTACCTGGATTCTCTTTCAATAGTGAGTCAACTTTCATGCACTTAATTACATCAGTCAGATTTTATTATTTGTTTACCCTGTACAACAATATTGTAACATAAACTCATGTTAAATGCAGATAAACATTGTCTTGTGCTACTGCACCCTCCCAGTCACAAAATGAATATGAAACCCCAGAACTGTTTTATAAAGTTTTCATTCTTGAGCAGGGGGAGGCTTTATTCAAAAAGGTATAGTTAAACTAATTTCAAATCATGTTTGCTGGCATAAGAAGAAGTTCCTTGTGTGTATGCCCTTGACAGGATTCATTTAGTACAACATTCTGGAGTATGATTTTAAGCACATTCAATTCCATATTCTTAATATCTTAGTCAGCTTTGGAGCTCTTGTTATCTTATTGTTTTTACCCAGAGTCAGGATGCCAAGTATGTATACTGGATAGCCGAGTCCTACTCAAGAACATCACCATGCATGTTCTCAAACAGTCGATGCTTTGCACATGCAGCCCCACTATGCTTCACTTTTTCTGAATGCATGCTTAAGCAGTGACCATTTCTATTATTTCTATATTGTAGGTATAGGTAAACTCATAAAGATGTTCATGTCTTCTCTAACAGAAAATGCTACTTATCCTAATGCATACAATCATGTTGTTAAAAGGAAGCCACATGGCTCTTCACTCAGAAGTAAGTAATAAATCAGGCTAAACCTGATGAAAGTGTACACTGATTTGCAACCCATCTGCATATTGACCTAGGAATTCTTCTTCTCAGGATCAGAGTGGTTTATTTCTGAGATGATTTATGAAAGATCTTTGGATTGTCTCAAGGAATTATGTAAGATTTCAGTGACTTAAACATTCAGCTATTATCTATCGTATTAAGCATGCATATATCAAACTTCCCAGTTGAATATCTTAATATAACCCAAAAAACAAAAGCTTAATTGGCAATTTTGTGTAAAACATCCAATAAATATGAATTATGATACAAAGTAATATACATTTAACTTGTTGTGAGCAAATACACCAATTGTTGATCATTGTTAATCTTCCATATCTTTACTTTGTCAATTGAAGATGACTTTATTCATGAATTTCCCAATAGCATTTCTGATCTCTTTGTTTCTCAAGCTGTAAATGACTGGGTTGGCGATTGGTGACACAACAAAATACAACAAAGCAGCTAGGAGTTCCTTGAAGAGAGATGACTCTGAACTTCTCTTCATGTATGTAAACATCCCAGTAAACAGAAATAAAGAAAACACTGTAAGATGGGGCAAACATGTGGAAAAAACTTTGTACCTGCCATGAGAAGTAGGGATTTTTTGGACTGCAGAAAAAATGTGAACGTAGGATCCAATGACTGAAGAGCAGATAATCAAACCAAACACAATGCCACATACAAAGACTGCGGTTTCATTACCAAAGGTGTCAGCACAAGCAAGCTTTAGTACTTTGGGGATATCACAAAAAAACTGATCTACATTGTTTGGACCACAAAATGGCAAAGAACTGATGTTCATGGTGTGTAGCGCCGCATAGACAGTACTGATTATCCAACAAGCAGCTATCATGCTGACACATTTAATTTTATTCATTATCATATGATACTTGAGTGGGTAGCAGATAGCAATGTAACGGTCATATGCCATGATAGTGAGGAGAGCTAGTTCTGCTGAGGCAAAGGTGATTCCCAAAAAGATTTGGCTCATACACCCAGAGAAAGAAATCGATCTGGTTTGTGTCAAGGAGGTGTTCATGGCTTTAGGGATTATGACGGAAATAAAGAAGATATCAAGGATGGATAAATTGGCCAGAAAGAGGTACATGGGTGTGTGAAGATGACTGTCTACAGCTACAATAAGAATGAGGAGAAGGTTTCCAGCCAAGGCTATCAGATAAATCAATAGAAAAAATAGGAAGTATAATACCCGAAGCTCAAACAGATCAGAAAATCCCAGTAGCAAAAATTCAGTCACTGTGGTTGTATTGGAAACTTCTTGTTTCAGGCAGTCTCTATATAGTTAGAAGGAAGGAATCATATTGAGTCAGTGCATTAATTATACAGTTCAATGTAATAGTGATACTTCATTTAATCTAAATGTGGAGATGCACATTGTCAACTCTTAACTATACTATGAACTATGAAGTATGAAAATACTATGAACAACTATAGTATTTTAACAATGTTAAGAATAATTTCAATTTGGTTTTGCTTTGCCATGTTAGGAAAGGCAAAGTAAAGAATTTGTCAAAAATATACAGATGTAAGGTACTGAATCTAGTAAGAATTCTACATGAAATGGATATTTATGGTTCGTAGTGATTTTTTTTAGTCAGGAACAACTTGAGAAACTGCAAGTTGCTTCTCTTGTGAGAGATTTGGCCGTCTGCAAGGACATTGCCCAGGGGATGCCTGGATGTTTGATGTTTTACCATCCTTGTGGGAGGCTTCTCTCATGTCCCCAGATGGGGAGCTGGAACTGACAGAAGGAGCTCAGCCCACTCTCCCTGAATTTGAAACACCGACCTATTGTCCAGAAGACCTGCCAGCACAAGAGTTTAACCCATTGTGCCACCGGGGGCTCTGTTTATAGTGATGTAATTACTACGTTTCATACTCAAAAGTAATATACAAACATTAAAGGTTTGAAATAAATTACAATAGAATTTCTACTTTCAATAACCCATCTTTACAGTGCCCAACATGATTCAAAGTAGGCATGAATACAAATGCAGCTTATATACTATGAAACCTCAGTTAATATGAATATATAATTCAATTAAAACATTTACAATATCATTTTTGAAAAAGCAAGAAATACCACACCTACCTACTTATTAATAGTTTTTTCTCAGTTCTGTCAATTGCAAAATTGTACCTTTTCAGTTGCCAGCATCTCCTTTCAATTATTTAATTAACCTCAGATGAGCCTTATATTTTGTTCCTCTTCCCAATACTGAGGGGGGGGGGGGACCCAGTAACTTTGTGGTTTTTCACACTATGCCTTTCTGATAGATAATCATGTATGTTTCTTTTAAACAGAGGCTGGATGGCCATCTGTCAGGGGTGATTTGAATGCAATATTCCTGCTTCTTGGCAGGGGGTTGGACAGGATGGCCCATGAGGTCTCTTCCAACTCTTTGATTCTATGATTCTATGATTCTTTCAAAGAACTTTGATTGGCCAGCATTTACTCGCTCAGTTTTATTAAAGAAACATCTTTCCTCTTTCATTATTAACTTGATGACTGAACTTATTTCAGAGCATGAGACTCTTTGAAATAATCTAAAATTCTTTTAAAAATGGAAGATGTAATATTGTCTGCTATTTTTGAAATAATTTGAAGCCATATAAAACTCTCATTGAGTAAGGCAGAGAGAAGGAAAAGAAAAAGAGAGCCTGTTTGGAAAGTATTATACATGATAAACAAAAATAAGACACTTACTTTGGGGGTTTGGTGTTGGAACACATCCTTTGGAACATATCTCTTCATAGATCAAACGAAGGAATGCTTCATGAATTCTGGCCATATATTGTATATGGAACGAACCAAGCATTTTTGATAAAAATAGTCAGACTAAACTGTTACTATTAAGATCATCTTGGGAGAACAAAGAAATGACTATGGGGTACTTTGTAAAATATGTTCCTGTGGTTGTTATCTGCCTGACAATATCTGCTCGGTGTTCATAGACCACAGTTACTCAGCTGATGATTCAATGCATTCTCTACCAATACATTTATACAACTTGCCACACAACTTTCTCCCAAGAGTATAGATCTCAATTATGTAGGAAAATTGTCTTTCCCTTTTGGATGCTGCTGAGAAAAAAAAAGAAAAAGATCTTTTGAATAAGCTCACAGAGAATTCTTTTTAATTGTGTTGTTGCATCATTTGCATGAAGAAAAAGGCAGAAATTCAGTTATGATTTTGACATGAATAACTGCTTTTCACAGTGATTTGATGCATAGCAATGAATAAATTGCATTCTTTATTTATGCTGTGTAAAACAATCAGCCAATTTGTATATAGCAATCCATTGTTAAATGCACAGTTATGGAGAACTCTTGGAGGCCAACATTTCTAGCAAGGGTCTATAAAGATATTCTAATTTACTGTCCAGCAGTTGATAATAACTCAGTAATGACAGAGTAGCAAGACTCCAAATGCTGGACTCTTGACTTAGGATGCACTTATACTGTAGGATTAATGGAGTTTGACATTTATTTAACTACCATGGCAAAATGCAACCGAATCATGAGAGTTACAGTTTAGTGAGGAACTTTTTGAGATAAAAGGCTAAAGTTGTTATAAATTACCACATCCATAATTCCATGGCATTGCGCCTGGCAGCTGAAGTAGTATCAAACTTCATTTATTCTACAATGCAGATAAAGCCTCCTTAATGCTTAGTTTACATCTATTGTGGTTGAGGTCTTCTTGGAATAACAAAGATAGCATGCCATCAATCCTATACAAAGTTACTTGGGTGGAAACTCTAGCGAACACATGGAGGGTATTTTTATGTATACAGTTTGCTTGTGGGTCTTCTTATTTAAGGATGAATATACAACAATGAATAAAAGAAGTACCTCACTACCTCTGAGGATGCTTGCCATAGATGCAGGCAAAACGTCAGGAGAGAATGTCTCTAGACCATGGCCAAATAGCCTGAAAAAACCTACAACAACCCAATGAAAGAAGTAATTTGTCTTAAGCCATAAGGCAAAGACTGTGGTGAGAGAGGGACTTTTGAAAGCTCACTTGGAGGCCAGATGGGGATTGGCTGGTTTAAGCCTTCCTCCCCTTCCCGCATGTCATAACAGCCTCCTTTCTCCTTTGTGTGACCCACCCTCAGCATAGTGTGAGTGGTTGTATCAGGGCCAGGTAGGACTTTTTCTCTTCACATTTTGTCTGGATTTTTTGCCAACCCCATACTGTTTCTGTTGGATGTAGAAATTGTCTCGAGATGATGTCACTTAAATACTTTGTCACTAGCATGTTAAAATTTTAATTGGATCCAGTAGACACCAAGACACCCCCTTTGTGGGTGAAGGGTAGGCTTCTGGAAGGCTCTTTCTTGGTTTGATGCCTTGGGGAGCTGGGAAAGGGGCTACCCTGTGGTTTAGGAGGAGTACTCTCTTTAGACTGGCTAGGGCAAGGAACCAAAATAGTTTGCAATGCTCTCAGGTTTGATGTACTGGCCCAGGGTGATGTGTGGAGATAGTCAAAGAACTGATACCCGCCACTCAGCTATACCCATTAGTTGATTTAACCCCTTTTACTGAAAGTTGCAGAAGCTCAAATAATAGGTCAAATAATGGCTGCTTTATACCATTTGTTGTTGTCTGACCTCTTTATTTTTCAATGTGGTTTCCAAGCTGGTCTTATGAGTAACATAGTTTTTCTCATAATAATAATTACTTATTAATTGTATTATATTATCAACTTCATAATATTTCATTTGTGATGTTGTCATTGTGTTCATGTTAGTCAGACTATTGTCTACTTCAGTTGATGAAGATGGCCATTGCTATTTTAATTTCAAGATATGTGGTGTAGTGATTTGAGTGCTAGACTATGACTCTGAGGATCAGGATTTGCATTAGCCATGAAAACCCACTTGGGGACTCTGAGTAATCACATACTGTCACATACTTGTGATAAGTTCACTTTAGGATTACCAATTCAGAAATAACTTGAAGACACACAACAACAATAATGTTTTAATTGTTGTTATTTTGTAAAAAATGTATCTGTAAATAGACCAAATTAATAACACCTCACCTGCCAATGTTATTCCCTCCAGTTTCAGGATCTAAGGGCATCACAAAATCAGAAAAGTATGTCTTTGCACTTGTATTCTTCCATTCCCATTATACATATTCTGTAGAATTTCAAGTGATTTTACAATAATAAGCACAAAGCACTAGACTGCGGCAAAATCTATATACAAATATTCAACAATTGATTGTCACCAGGAACACAAAAAGTAAGCTTGCAAAGCTGAAAAATATGGCGGAATGTGGATTAATGGCAATAATAAAAGCAGAGCCACAAAGAACAAGGAACTTTAATATTTTTATTTACAAGAAAAATTAGTAACAACTGGCCCATATGTATTCAGAAATATGGAAGACTGGATGGGCAGCAAATTCTGATTGTCATCCTTTGCATGAGGTTCTGTGATTATGGAAGGAGATGACAGCCCAGGTCAGATATCATCAAATTCTGGGCCTCCAGCTGTTTGGGCCTCTAATTTCCAGAAGCCCTAGCTAGCTTGTTCAATGGTCAGGAATTTGGGGAATTAGAGGCCTAAACAGTTGGAGACCCAGAGTTTGAGGATACCTGGCTCAGGGCAATGCAAGACTGTTACAGAGTAGATTTCTACCTCCATAAGTGTGCTGTAAGTCTGCAAAAACTGATGTTACCAGCTTTGTTTCCTTAGGGCCCTTCTACAAAGGTTCTAAAATGTGGAAGTTACTGCATTAAAAGGGGGGGGGGCAAATTATGCTGATGGTAAATTTACGCTGATTTGCAGCAACTGATGAAAAACACATTTTTAAAAGGTCCACTCATATCCTAATTCCAGATGGAAAATACACATACTCACATCACTGTATATCCCTGCACTCATAAAAAAATATGAGATTTCCTTCCCTCCCCCCTGTGAAGAATTTTCCAGCACACATCCACTTTTAAAAGCGTGACACACCTGATCAGGTGATTGGGCTGTGAAACAGATACACAGGTGATTTAAAGGAAGCATGAATGGAGAAGGAAGCGTGAATGGAGAATTAGAACTCTCTGAAACTCTTTTTTATGCTTTATAATATTAAACAAAGCTTAAATAAACAATTGGAGGGAAAGAGAAATCCTCCAGAAGTTTTTTTTAAAATCCACTCTGTTTTGCATTAAACCTCATATGCGCAAATGCAAATCTGCTTATATTTATGTTATTATGATAGTTGCATGTGCATTTCAGCTGAACCACAAGCCATTTCTGCTATCTGGACTTCAGGGAAGCGTTGTTCCATTTTTGCACCCCTCCCAAAAATGAACAAGTGCCCAAATGGGCATTTTCGGCCACAGCTGGAAAATGTGCCTAGATTGGCTGCAATGGGGGGGGGGCTTCATAGGCTCCCCTTTCCATCATTTTTAGGGCTATCAAGATGAAAATAGCCACACTTGGAGGACACAGCTACCACTGCTGACCCACCAAGTTTTGTAGTGTTTGGGTTCATCCCCTGATTTTTAGGAATTTCTTTTCTTTCTAGAAATAAAATCTCTTTTAAAAATTCCCAAAAAGGTATCCTTTGCTGGCCCCAGGAGCAGTAGCAGGGCACCATTCTTTCCTGCCAAATGTCACTTTATTCACTAATAACAAACAACAGCAACGTCTTCCAAAGCTTTTGCATTTCTTGTTCTTACAAAATACTGGAAGAGGCCAGCAACCCACCATCCACAAGAAAGTAAGCAAGCAGCTTGTCCCTTTATTAGAAAAACACTTCTGTATGATCCAGAAATTAGTAGGTATTGGTGCTAAGTTTAGGTAGGTAGGTAGGTTTTGCTGTTTGCTGGTATTCCTATAATTATTAATAAAAATAATCTTTTAAAAGTAGATTTAAAAGTAGACCTTGCAACCTCTGAGGATAGCTGCCATAGATGCAGGCAAAACATCAGGAGGGAATGCTTCTAGAACATAGCCAGACAGCCCGAACAACCTACAATAACCCAGTGATTCCGGCCATGAAAGCCTCAGACAATACTTTCATAAGTACTTTCTGAAAGAGAGGAGTGAGGAGATATAAGACAAAAGCTAAAGGCTTTAGTAGAGGCTAAAGGGTGACTCAAAGCTTAGAGCCACCTTAAAAGAAAAGCACATCCACCCAAAAGTCCCCAATTGCCATCCACCCATACTTTCAAACTCTCAGTCCCACTAAAAAAAGAATCAAGAAAATAAAGGAAAATCGAGAAGATTCAATGCTAGAAAGAGGCCAAGTCAAGCCAAAAGTTAAAGCTGAGAGTGAGCAGCAAGGCAATCAGACTGAAGCTCCTCTCTCTAGAGCCAGATGCAACTGAGAAATTGAGGCACTCATCCCATTAAATAGACACAGCTTGCATAAGACCTTCATGACTTTCTTCTATTCTGATTGGCCCAACAGGCAGGGCTCACAGGGAAACTCTGTGATAGTACGCGGCAGCCTCTCCACATGTCACGTGCTCCCAAATAGAGCAAAAAGAGCTCAGTATGGTAGCCCATACTGAGATTCAAATTTTTTGATGGAAAGTTCCCTTATAGAGTTCTTGTGACTATAAATTAAGGAACAGAAGAACCAGCCATGTGTGTAGGGGTAAAGGAAGAATATAAATTTAACAACCCAATAAACATATAAGTTTTAAACAGTATGAAAGTTACTTGATTCATCTCATCCCATTTCTTCTTCTTTTTTCTTTTCCTTAAAACAATGTCAAAATCCTTTTTTTAACTAGCTTCTTTATAGCTTTCTTCACTTCTTTGTTTTTCAGGCTATATATAATGGCATTTAACATTGGGGTTAGAATGCTGTACTGAACTGACACAAGCTTATCTACTGTTTCTGAATAACTTGATGCTGGTTGCATGTACCGAATGAATGCAGTCCCACAAAACAAAAGCACAACCATGAGATGGGAAGTAAAAGTCGAGAATGCCTTCTGCCTTCCATCAGCAGATTGTATCTTGAGAATTGTGCTAATAATACGAATGTAAGAAGCTACAATCAGAAGGAGGGAGGCAAACCCTAGCGCCATGCTGAAAGTGAGAATCACCATTTCATTGGCAAAAGTACTTGTACAAGATAGCTGCAGTAGCAAAGGTAACTCACAGCTGAAATGATTGATGCTGCCAGGAGTACAGAAATGTAAGTGAGTTAGAAAGACAGTATTTACAAGGGAGTTGACAAAGCCTGATATCCATGCACCTAGCACCATTTGGGAGCAAGCTTGGCGGCTGATAATGGTGCTGTATCTTAGTGGGTGACATATAGCAGCATAGCGATCATATGCCATTGCTGAGAGTAAGAAGATCTCTGTCCCAACCATGAAAATAAAGAAAAATATTTGTGCAATGCAGCTATTGAGAGAAATTGTCTTTTCTGTAGCCAGAAGATTCTCAAGCATCTTGGGAACTGTCACAGAGGAAAAGCAAATGTCAATTAAAGATAAGTTGGTAAGGAAGAAATACATAGGTGTGTGCAGCTGTGGATCAACCTTTATCACCAACATAATGAGCACATTTCCTGACAGAGTTATTGTGTATATTAGTAAGAAAATAAAAAATAGGAAAATCTGGAGTGTTGCATCTTTGGTAAAGCCCAATAAATGAAACTTCACTGCAGCTGTTTGGTTTTCCATTGCTCTATTCATGACAGGCCTCTCATCTAGAAAACAAGTGGATGAAAAGAAGATGAAGAATTGCATTCAATAATGAACATAATAGGGAGACAAACAGAATAATTGCACGAGAGCCTTAGATATGTTGATCTGAGTGCATGACCCATCAATCTTCTTGTACCTATTTTTTTCTGAATAACAATATTTTTGTTCGCATCCAAGCATTACATATACAATTAAGTCAACTGAAATACTAGGCCTGGGTAACAATGGAAAAATTTGTTTCTAAAATCGATTCGTTTTTTGGGGTTTTTTTTTGTTTCGATATTTAAAATAATTACAAAATTTTCCTTTTAAAAAAGTTCGATATTTACGAAATTTCGTAAATGTGAAAAAAATTACAAAACATTAACTAATCGATTTCCGAAACAATAACGAATCGATTCGTTAATGGCGGACGCGACCGCGAAATACGCTAAAAAACCTCCAAAAACTTCTGAAGCTTCCCTCTCCCTCTGTTGTTGACTGTTGGTGTGATATTATAATTTTTTTTCACTAATTAAACAAAAAACTTGCCCCAGACATGCGGAAATAATAACGAAACGACCTCAGAACAATAACGAAACGGATACAATAACGAAATACGAAGCATTTACAAAACGTGTTTAAAAATTCGTTTTTTAAAAAATTGCTCCAGAATGGTTCGTTATCGTTTTGTAATTGAAAAAAATAACGAATTATTAACGAATTACGAATTAACGAAACGAAACTGCCCAGCCCTATGAAATACATCTATATTCACATGGAAATTGGTTCATTTTGGAATAAATATATTACAAACCTTGCATTAATCTTTGCAATAACAAAGAATGGAATGTAAACCACTTGTTTACGAAATGCAGCTAGAGATATTCTAATATCCTTGAGTGAAGTCTACATCATGTGAGTAGAACTCTACTCACAAGGAAAGTCTTTATTCTCGTCTTCTTCCCTCTGAAAGCCCCATGTGTTCTCCGAAAGCCTGCTTCACAATTTCTTCCATCCACAAGTAGATTTTCAGATGATGCAGAAAGCTATGGAATAAGGTTTATAGTTATGATACAGATATACTGTTTCCAAGATGACAATAGTGTATCTCTGAATATTGAGTTCTATATTAGGAAACAAGTAGACTTTTAGTTTGATTCAGTTGGGCTCTTCCCTTATTTTTAAGTACAAATCATATTTAGGTTTAGGCTACTTTTCCAGTCGATGTCAACTGGCAGCAAAATCCGGAGAGCTGGGACTTATCACAGTACAATGGAACCTTGTGTACATAAGTCATATGCATATCTGAATAATAATATTATTTTTTTTACTGAGAGAAATTAAGACCTCAAAATAGCATACTGGGAATTTTTTTACACTTCACTACAATTTGTCTCTCCAGTATGAAAATGGCACATACTGAACTTTTCCTATTCAGGTTTTCATAATTTGCTCAAAATGACTCTACACAACACTACTGCCTTTTTCTTTTTGAAGCTAAGCACAGTCCCAACAAACAAAGGTTTGGCTGATGGATAGAAAAATGCAATTAACCCACCAGATGCTTTATCATTTTTGAGCTCATACAATGACATTATATATTGTAGTTTTGCTCAACTAAACAATTTATGGGGGGAAATAATTTTTGCAAATATGAGAACTTCAGACAAGGAGAGGAATTATGCAGTTTTCTCTTAATAGAAAGTACTAGACAAGAGTAAAATTAAATCCTATAGCAGTGATCCTACATCATTTATACATCTTGTAGATTCACAATAAAGTAGTTAAGTAGAAGTTTTGTTACACCACTCCCTGCTGAATAACAAAATTGTGTAAGCAATTTTGTAAGTACAAACTTACCTATAAGGAAGTTTACACATGCATAATGCAAACAGACTACTAATCTATATTTATTAGATAGAAATAAATCAAAGCTACTCACCTAATACAGAAAGTTCTTTTTCTCTGCCTCACGTTCATATTCATGACAAAAAAATCACTTCCATTCAAAGAATGGAATAGACCAAAATTGTTTTGACTCATTTCAGCTCTTTCTTTCACATTTGAACCAACATGGGTCTAAAACAAATATGGATTCTGCATCTTTGTCAATGCTTTCGCTTCTTTTTAGATTGAATAGCAATATCAAAATAAAGAAAGATGTTTCACAGTTTTAAAAATGTTATACTCGGACTTAGGCAAGGTTTACTGCATTTGCACAGAGAGAATCAGAGCAATAAGGAACTCCTGAACATATCCCATCTTGAGAATTCAATTCCCTGGATATTAATTTGTGAGAGCATGTGAGAATTCATGCATTTTGGGAATATCATAATGCTCTTGAGATGTCTTCCTGGATAGTACAATACACAGAAATTTTGTATTAATAGTCAGCTTACTTATTCCTATAAGGGTTTTATCTAACAACTATAGTAGCATGTATGAAGTATCTTCATTTAATCTATTTTGGATGTCTAACTAAAGAATCACATGGTCACCTGTCTCTATATAGGTCTTCACCAAGCTGCTGCTGCTGTTGTTGCTGTTATTCAGGGGAATCGGACTGCTCTACTTTATCACACAAAGAAAGGGTTTAGAATTGAGGTTCAGTTTCTCAAAGGCCAGGAAATATTTTGTTATGTTACAGAAATACACTAAGATAGTAGATGTGCATGGAATTCATTTCTTCCATTTCCTCCTTCCCTTTCTGTACCTTCAATACTTCAGGAGCCCATAACATTAAACACAGTTTTTATTAATTCCCCAGCAAACAAAAAGAAAGCCTTCATTCCCTGAAAACTGCTACAAGTTACCTGTCTTCTTCCAGGAGGTCATCACTCTTCCTTACCTCAAAGTGGGAAGCCTCCTTAAAATGCAAAGAGTGCATGTCTGCTGACATGGTGCAGCCCAAGAGAGAAAGCACATGCGTCTGCCTGCAGTTGAGTGCCTTTCCTCTAGAGTAAGAAACAGCTTTAAGAACTTACCTCCTTGCCTTGGAAAAAAAGTGTGTATGCTGTGCAGGCCTGGGAGAGAAAGCATGCATGCCTGCCTGCAGCTGAGTGCCTCTTCTCTAGAATAGAAACAGCTTAAATGCCTAAAATGATGGGAAGGGAAGCCTGGGGAGCCTGCCCCCCATAATAGGCCAATAGAAATTTCGGCACTCCAGAATGAAAACAGATATCTGCCCTCCCAAATTTGGGAGGCTCCCAAAAAAATGGATCGGGGGCCACATCGAAAGCCAAGACACAAAACGAGTCAATGTTTACCCAGATTGCACAAGCCTATTAGATAGATGTGGGCATCTTTGAGATTCTGCTAGAAGATACCTGTGATGGCACACCAGGGTAGAAGGAAAACTATATGTCTGGCTATTCCCGATGGCTATCAGTATACCCTCTGATGTCCTTCAGTTCTTTAAAAATAAAGACTCTTGAGACAGGATTAAAGTTAACCAAATAAATTTACTGGAAACAAAAGGCAAAGGTAACTTCAGTCAGAGTTCTTGAAAAGTGAATCAAAATAAAATACTACAAAGGCAAAGTTTGTTGATTGAACTTAGTTACACTGGAAATAAACACTTGACTATATTCATAAAATATGAGGTTAAATGCTTGACTATAATTGTCTTCAGAAAGGTACTTGGCTATTGATATAATACAGAACTAAAATGGTAAAGTACAGAACTATAATAACTAAATGATAGAGGTACAAGCTATAATGGTAAAGCACTCTGGGCTATAGTGTCTATATGATAAATACACAGCTAAGATGACTATGTGGTATGTACAGCTATGATGACTATATGCTAAATGAAGGTCTATGAGGTATATACGTGGTATATACAGTTGGTAAATACATGCTATAGAATGCCTGTTTAGATTGCCAGGCCAAGGAACCCAGACAATTTCTGGCCTTCTCCTCCAAAACTCTGGCACAGACTAAAAAAGGAGAGAAAAGTCTTTCAGACAAGTTCTACGGCAAAAACAGCTAAACCAACAGAGCCAGGACTCTAGGGGTTTTTAAGTTCCACCCCTAAAACTAAGCATAAATGGAAAGGTTCACACCAAAGGGAGAACAAAACAAGGAAGTGAAACAGAGGAAGGAAAATGCTAGGGCAAGACATCACAATACCCACCTCTGTCTAGAAAAGTGGTTCACAACTTGTGAGTCCCCAGGTGTTTTGGCCTAAAACTCCCAGAAATCCCAGCCAGTTTACTAGCTGGTAGGATTTCTGGGAGTTGAAGGCCAAAACATCTGGGGACCCACAGGTTGAGAACCACTGGTCGAGAAAGAAACAATGTAGCTTACTCTAATGTCAAAATTCAAACTGATTGACTAAAATGCAAACCAGTCAGAATAAGACACATTTAAACTAGATAGATGTCAGCAGGATATGAGCCAAACCTTTATGTTGATAACACCTAGCTTTGTTAAATATATATTTGTGTAATGATAACCAGGAATTTCTGTGGATGATCAAATAGTGAGTCATTTAAGATTTGAGAGATTGATGCTTTTTTTTTGTCGTGTCAGGAGCGACTTGAGAAACTGCAAGTCACTTCTAGTGTGAGAGAATTGGCCGTCTGCAAGACATTGCCCAGGGGACGCCCGGATGAATTGATGTTTTTATCATCCTTGTGGGAGGCTTCTCTCATGTCCCCGCATGAGGAGCTGGAGCTGATAGAGGGAGCTCATCTGCCTCTCCCTGGATTCGAACCTGCGACCTGTCGGTCTTTAGTCCTGCCGGCACAGGGGTTTAACCCACTGCACCACCGGTCCTTGCTAATAGCCAAGAAGTAATCATAGATGGTAAGAATCTAAACCCTAATATGAATGCCTGATTTTTTTTATATTATATTATCTGCCCCACAACCTCCTTGATTGCATCACATCTTACATTATAAATCTCCTTAGTTCATATGAAAGAGGGGAGCGGGCACAGAAAAAAAATTACCTTAATGTTTATTAGAGGACATAAGGTTCCATTAATTTGACTTAAATGCACTAATAGAGTGAAAATATTTATTCTGTGAGATAAATTCAGATATGTTCATAAATGCTTCAGCTGAAATTCATATTCACTCCATTTAAGTGAATATGAATTTCAGCTGAAAAATGAAGCCCAAGAAATTCACAATGTTATATGAAATCTATCTGTTGTGATATTTTTGTTCACCAAGTTTAATTACTTGTGTCGGTGAAATGTCTCTTCAGTGCATTTTTAAAAAATCCTTTAGGACCAAGGAAAAGTTTCTTCTGAGACTGATTCCTTAAATCACACTTTTGTGTATAAACAAGCCTAAACGCAGCACCATTCAATCATCTAAAGAATTTTAATGTGCTCCTTGTTAATCCTAATTATAACTCTGTTTCATCATCTTTTTTCTTCAGCCTCATATCTAGAAAGCCTCATACTGAACTCTTCACTTGTCATTAAGGGTACTATGGGCAGCCTATCAAAGCTATAAGCAGAATCTAGTACAGTGGAATCTGAAATATCTCTCTATATTTGCTGACATATGACTATATCTCAGAACTGATAAACATTTGCAGTTTTGATAGTAATTTATCATCCATTCTTCACCTGGGAGATTTTAACATTTGCTTTAATTGTGAGTATATATCTTTTGTAGTAAGATGAATAGTATAAGTGCAATTTTCAGTAATTTTATTTACAACTAAACCAGGCAGTTCATTCCAAGCAGTCATAATTCTAAAGTTCATTCCTTTCAAATGGTGTATGTATATGTGTCTGTCTGTCTATCTATCTCACATGAATTCTGGCAGGACACAGAGTTAAAGGGCTGTGTGCTTGCTCAGCCTTTATGTTACCTCTCATAGATTAAATTGTGATATTCATTTTTAATAATGTGTACATGAACATGTGGGTATATATGTGCGCATTTTAGAGATAGAATAATTTTGCCTGTCAAAGGTTACCCATTGTGATAGTAATTTTTAAGCTTCTTGTATGTTAATATAAATATTTACCAACAGTTTGTTTTGTGAAGCAGCAGGATGATATATGGAAGAATGGGGCTCCATAAGTTAATGAAGGTGGATAAATTACTATACTGAAAATACATTAAATATACAACTGACATATACAATAATTAATTATTTCTTCCTTAAAATGTCACATGAATAATTGCTTTTTTCTGTATAATATATTGCCTGCTTAACACTTACATGACTTCATGCAAATGTGTACTAGAAAACAGGAAAGGGAGCAGACTTTGCTATTTCAAATTAGACTTGGTTAAATGTTGAGAGGAAAGAATATAGTAGCACTCTTAAGACTTTATAAAACTTTACTCATAGCAATGTAACACTTCATCGTTCTTATTCATTTTACAGACACAGCAAGTAGACAAGCTTTCTAAAATGCTCAATGAAACAGTACTGACTGAATTCCTCATCTTAGGTTTCTCTAGTCTTCAGGAATTGCAGCTGCTGCTATTCTTCATCTTCCTTGCTATGTATACTTGTACTCTGGTTGGGAACATCTGCATAATTACCATTGCCTGTCTGGATTCTCAGCTTCAGACACCCATGTACTTTTTCTTAGGGAACCTCTCATTTCTGGATATCTGTTACACCACTACCAATGTCCCACAGATGCTGGTGCACCTTGTGTCGGAGAAGAAAAGTATCACATACATTGGGTGTATTGTGCAGCTCTATTTCTTTATCACATTTGTGGGTACTGAATGCGTCCTTCTGGCTGCAATGGCCTATGATCGCTTTGTAGCTATATGCCATCCTCTGAAGTATGCAACCATCATGAGGAAAGTCCTTTGTCGCCAGTTAGCTGGTGCTTGCTGGGCAAGTGGCATTCTTAACTCTGCTGTACACACCTACATGACTTTCCGACTCCCATTCTGTGGATCCAATCATCTCAACTACTTCTTTTGTGATATCCCTCCCTTGCTACTGCTTTCCTGTGGAGACACTTCCCTTAATGAGATAATTTTGCTCATTGTAGGAGTCTTCATAGGATGGGTTCCTTTTGTCTGCATAGTCCTCTCATATGTCTATATCATCTCTACCATTCTGAAGGTACGCTGCAGCGAAAGGAGACTCAAAGCATTCTCTACTTGCACCTCACATCTTACCATTGTTTTTTTGTTTTATGGAAGTGCCATCTTCAACTATGTCCGGCCAATATCAACCTATTCAATAGAAAAAGATAGGCTCATTTCTGTCCTTTACAGCATTGTTACCCCCATGCTAAACCCTTTGATATATACCTTGAGAAACAAAGACATGAAGGTTGCTCTGAAAAAAATATTTCTGATGAAACTGTATTCAAACTGAAAGTGAGGCTGTTTTACTATTTTCTTTACTATTTATTTGAGGTTCACGTCATTTTCAGACTTGCTTCCAGATTAGAACCATCTGAACAAATTTATCATTAAGATCCATTGATTACAATGTTGGGTTTATTCTCAATATGATTAAAGTTGGCATTAACTTCTGTCTCGCAGAGTTCAATACAAGCACCATTAAAACTGAAAGCAAGAATTAAAAAGTATAGTTTTTTTTTCAAAATTAACGTCCATTAAACAGTAAACATGTCACCCACCTCCCCTATGTGTGCTTGCTTCTGTTTACATTTGGGATAGTAAGTTACTCATATTTTCAGGCAAGAGTGTGACTTTTTTTAAAAAATTCTTTTGTATTTGAACCGCAGATGGCAAGTCTCAAAACTATTAAGAGGAAAGTGGTGTGATTCACTCACAGTTTTAGAATACCTTTTCTTTAAAATGTTCAGATCAGGATAAATTCTTCCTCCTCTTACTTCTCCTGAATATGCTTATACTGATAGCCCCAACTGATTATTGAATAGGGCAACTGAATTATAAATATTATTATTAAATAATGAAGTTAGTTTTGCCTTGGGATTATTGAGAATGACTAGGAAAAATCAAAAAAGTATTATAAAGTCTGGGTTTTCTTATGTCTGGGTGAGATATAAGACAGATTTTAGAGATGCTACCTATTATTCTTGTTGAGTATGATTATTTTGCCTTATGCTATGATAAATATCCATTGTTTTCAAACATTAGTGCTGGTTTCTGGGGCAAGATGACAAGCAGTCCAACATTCAAACCACTTTACCACAATAACACCATTAAAGTATAGAATTTACAATCGATGAGCCGAGATAACAAGACTATTATTTTGAATTCATTTCACTAAATAGTCCTATATTTCAGGCGTCTTATTTGGGTTTTTTGCAAAAATAGCTGTTGTTCTCTGATTAATGTACAAATATAGTAGTAACAGTTTAAAAACAAAAACTGAATGAACTTAAGTTAATGTTATAACCATTATAGCCTTATTGCTATGGCATGTGTGAATGCTCCTCTTTTATTGTGGAACTTTTTCTACTTTATTAATTCTTTATTCTCAAGTTTCCCCCCCTCAAGCAATGACTTTTAAGACAGCTGGCATAAATGTCATGTTCCATTGGGATCTAACATAGACCTACGACCCCATCACACTAGGGGATGAATCCACTTTAAATCCGGTTGCTGCCTCTTACAGAATTTTGGGGAGTGTAGTTTAGAGAGGAGCTTTTGACATCCTCACTAAACTACAAACCCCAGAATACTGCAGGAGGCAGAAACCGTATAAGAAGGCATATGTGATTATGCATATGATGTTTCTTTCTCCCTATCTCCACTGTAGAATTAATGCAATTTGACATCACTTTAATTGTCATGGCATAATACTGTGGAATCATGGGAAATGAAGTTTTATAAGGTTTTTAGTCTCCAAGGTTTCATCCCCAAATGCTTATGCCTCCCCAAATTACACCCCAAGATAAAGGTAAGGGGCAAATGTTGTCCTTCTATAGAGCAGGTAGGCATTCTACGCATGATGATCTAGGTCTGAAAGGGAAGAAAAGACTATATTTGCAGGAGATCTTATAACATCAGACAGGATTAGGAACTGTAACACCATCTATCCTAGTCAACACAGGGGCTGATGACAGACTGTAAGGGTAGCACTTAAAATATGACCCCTTGTTCCAGAATGCTCTAGAAATCTAATGAATTGCTCTAGAAATCTACTGAAGACAGAAATATTTCAGAGCATGGTTAAGAAAACCTGATGTTTTCATTTTCATTACATTTCTCAAAATCCTATTTGCTGGAGTCCTCAGAATCATTGCAAATTATGACACTGTTGTTTTCTTCCTGCTTGGAAATGTGTGAAAATGTGACTATTTTTGTATGCAGTGTGCATCACCAAAACATTTGGCTTATAGACTACATCTTTTTCTTATACCATATTTTTAAAGATACTCATGGTTTAATGCACCGCTACTGTCCCCCTGACAGCTGTTGAAAAGTTGTAATATAATCTCAATAATTGCCTGATGTTTTGAATTACAATCCCATCATCCCCAGCTATTCTGAATGGGACTGAATGACTTTATAGGGAATATTGGGAAAGCTTCATCTTGAAGGATGGTAGTCCATAGGAATTTAATTTCCATATATTGTGTAATTCCTCTCTAAACCAACTAACCAAAAACAAGGAGATATACATATCAGTCCTGGGCATATTGTTTGGAATCATATTCCACTAAGTATGTAGTAATATCATAGGAGTGCCATCACACAGTAGAGACCTTAACAGACTTGGTTCAAAGAAAATCCTGCTACTGTGTTAATTTAAAATTATGTCCTAGAGTTTGAACTTGTGTATTTTAAATTGGATGTTTTTAATAAAGGATGGTTTAACTGTTTGATTTTAATTGTGGCTGTTGTTTATAATTGTATGTGTCGGCATCATATGGTTGCCTGTTGTGAAGCCGCCCTGAGTCCCCCTCCGGGGGTGAGAAGTGCAGGGTATAAATGTGTGAAATAAATAAATAAATAGAGTTCATTCAGGTAAAATATTCCAATCCTTTCTATACTTGTTTATTTCTTGAGAGCATATTCTATGTTCTAGAGTGGGATGTACTTTGAGAGTGGCAAAAAGGACAACCGCCTTAACCTTCCTTCTACCTTCCAACTTTTAACTGTTACTCCAGAGAGCCTCTTCTAGTTTAATATGAGAAAACGTTGTCCATAAAGTAAGAGTGGGATATTGCCTTTACTCGCTACATTTTATTTTGAAAAATGTAATCAACATTGCAAAATGATTGAGGCATGAAAGACTTGTCTGAAAGCATCCCTCCCAACAGTGCTTATGTTTACCACACAGCCGTGGGTTGCTATATGTATGGCAGAACTTGTCTATGCAATCCAGGAATGTATTTGAAAGAGAATGATTGCAACCGAACTTCCATGGCTTCATTCCCAAGTATGTACCGATTGGCTTTACATCAAAAATTCCAGAGAAATTCCAGAGAAGTAGCCCAGCTAACATGTTACAACAAAAATGAGAAGAGCATGGCCATTCTTTATATGAAAAAATGGGAGGTAGTTCAAGGATTCATGGAACTAAGGGCACTTCCACATAGTACCAAAATCCACTCTGAAGTGAGATTAAGTAACCCGCTTCAGTGCAGATTCCTGTCCCCACTCCCCCCCMMAAAAACCTGGGATTTCTTGGTGGGGGGGGAGCTACATGTAATTCTGATTAAAATTGGGATAGCATGAAGCCACCTCAAAGCCATCTAATTTCCTCTTAAAAGGTAAGAAATGTACCTGGTAGCCATAACTTTCCTCCTCCTGTCCTCCTAGCACAAGAAAATGACACTGAGGAGATAGGAGGGGCAAAGAAAGACCCCCCCCCTCCCTATCTTCTCATCTGCCATTTCCTCATGCCAGGAGGGTGTGAGGAGGAAAGTTATAACTGCCAGGTACATTTTCTTTAACTTTTAGGGGGAAATTTGGGACTTGGGGGAGGGTGTGAGTGCCATCCAGGAACCCAAAAAGTGCAAGATGGTAATGGAGTCACACCTCCGGGTAGTCCCAGGACTACCCGGAAGTCAGTCTTCAAAGTCCCAATACCCCATTAGACCAGGGAGAGAACATCCGGTGGTTCCCAGGAGTGCCATGTTTTGTTGTCCGGTATTGTGCCAGTGGGCCCCCGTCGGGTCCTTGAGGTATCGGTCAACAGCGGACTGATCGATCTTGATCCAGAACCCATGCCTGGCAGCCACCCCTTTTGTTCCTGTAATCAAGAAATAAGTTGTGGCCAATTTTTTCACCATTTCTGTGTCCGTGTCATCTCTGATTCTGGAGGTGGGAGGAGGGTCACCCATCCGCACGCAACAATGAATATCAGCAGGTGATGATTGCTTTGTGGGTGTATACATTATATCTTTTTTGTAAGTGCTAGTCTTGGTCATGTAAAACACATACACATGGTGTCTGAGAAAATAGCATTTATTATTCCCTAAATATAATTAGCAGAATATTTTTAATTAACATGTATTTCTTTTCAACCTAGCATCCTTTCATCCTGTCAGTCACAGCAGTAGTAGTAGCAGTAGCAGTAATAACAACAGGAATAGTAATACATAACAACTGCCCCTCATTTTTCTTTCTTCCTATTGGGGAAAAAACTTGAGTGTAGAGCTATCCCCATTTGTGGGTCAGCTGTGTGTTCTCACTCATCACATTAATGTCCAATGTATTATCCTTAAGTAAGCTATGTAAAATGTCCCTGCTCTGGATATGAAAATTGTATTAAGTAATGGCTGATGTTACTAACATAAACAAATGCAATTGAAAATGTCACTTAAATAAGCATTATTTGAGTTGTAGCAGATGAAGGAATTGACCATCTTCAACAACATAACACCTCCCTCTCTTCCCCACCTGCTGATTGGGTAGTCCCCACCCCATGGTCATTCCGTGGATTGGAGGAGACCACAGGAGCTCCCTGGCCACTCCTTCATCCTAGCTGTCTCTCATCCACTCCACATTCTTATCCTGGCCATTAAGTGGACATAGGGCTATCCAGCCTTCCTGTTATATTACTGATAATTCTAAGTGATTTCTTGTTGTAGATGTTCATTTGATACAGAAATAAAATATATTGAAATGGTTGCACTCATATCTTCCTTGTAGGCTTCCTGTTTTGGTTATGTTTATTTGACATCAGTAGTTGCAATGCATTCTCCTTCTGATAAATCTACTCACAGCTCTTTTTATCTCCTTGTTACGTACACTATAAATCAAGGGGTTTAGTAAGGGGGTGAAGACCACATAGGAGAGAGAAAGTAAAGGTTGGTTTCCTAGGCCATAACTTGATTGAGGATGAAAATGTGTCAGACATGCAGACCCATAAAACAATGTCACAACAATAATGTGTGATGAGCAAGTGGAGAAAGCTTTCCTTCTCCTTTCCACTGAAGTCATTCTCAAAATGGTGCTGATAATACAAATGTAGGAGACCAGGATCAATAGGAAGGGGCAGATAAAAAGTATAAAGCTTTCTATGAGGGCAAATGTCTGAAACCAGGAAGTGTCTTCACAGACTAACTGTAGAATTGGTGGAGTATCACAGAAAAAATGAGAAATTGCATTGGATTTGCAAAATGGGAAGCTGAGCAACCATGTGCTCTGTACAGTTGCAATGGGAATGACTGAAGCCCAGACAGTTGCCACCAGCAGCAGACAGAATTTCTTGTTCATTTTGGCTACATAATAAAGAGGGTTGCATATAGCAACAAAACGGTCATATGCCATGACAATTAATATGAAGCACTGTATTGATCCAAAAAAGAAGACAAAATATGTTTGGGCCCTGCAACCCAAACAATAAAGAAATGACCTTGTTTTCAGATAGAAGATTCACAAGCAGCTTGGGGATTATAGTGGAAGTCAAGCCAACTTCTGCAAAAGAAAGATGTTGGAGGAAGAAGTACATGGGATTGTGTAAAGTGCTGTCCACAATTATTGTCAAAATTGTGATCAAGTTTACTATCACTGTTGTCAGATAAACAAGAAGAAACACAATGAAGAGAAGGATTTGGAGGTCACCTAGGTTTGAAAATGCCAAAAGAATGAACTCATCGATCATGGTCTCATTGTTCCATGTCATGATTTGAATCTTAAATTCGATGTTACAATTACAGTCAATGAATCAATACATAGACTGACTCTACCAATAATTCCAGATTTTGTTAGGAGCAAAATCCGTTCTTCATGTTTGCTGTGGCTGCCTCAGTTGAGTGCAGAAAGTATTTGTGTCATTGTAGAAGATATTTTTGAATTTTGTCGCTGCTTAGAATCATTTTCATCCACTCACTGAAATATCCTCTTCAACATCTGTTATCATGAAAGGTTAAGTAGAAAAATAACATTTTAAACATTTGTAAAATGAAATGTTTAAGTCTAAATGTTTGATTAAATATAACAATGGAAGGATATATCAATTTGCATGAGAAACAAAGGTAAAAATTCTGACAGTTTCTAAATTCATTTTGATACAATGTATTTATTTATTCATTCATGTATTTAATATGCTGCCTTTCTCCTAGAGTGGACCAAAGGTGGCACCCAAAATTAATGTTAAAAATATTTATAACTCAATCTAAAAACAGTTGCTATCATATCACAGTACATTTTAAAACCAATTGAAACATACAAAAGTTAAAAGATATGTAAAATGTGTCCAATAAAAAGCCACCACTGGATACATATTAAAAGTTTTCACCTTCCAGCAAAAAGAAAAACAAATATGGAACCTATAGAAGGATGTTCCAGAGGGTGAAAGCTGTCATGAAGAAGGCTCTCTATCATGTCCTCACCATATTAGCGAGGTGAAGCATTCCACTTCAACTGGCTTTTCCACCAAAATATAGGGCTGCTGGGGCAAATCCATTGCCCCGTGCACTGCTCCCTCACAGGAACCCTTATCCCATTGAACTGGGAAAGAATCACCCAGGCGGTGCAGAAGTGTGCTGGCTTCATTGAAACCAACACAATACAGGAAGCTTCCCATGTTGAGAGGGAAGAGTTGTATGAGTTGAAGGAGGGCCTCCTCAGGAAGTTCCTTTATATTGTGTGATGAGCAGTGGGCCCATGCATCCTCCAGCTGGAGTGGAGGCGTCGTATGATGCTTCCAGAGGTGTGATGACGTTGCAAGTGAGCCTCTTATGGTGATGGCACCAAGGAAATGTTTTCTGCTGTAGATCTCAAGGTTCTAGCAGGTTGGCATAGGGAGATATGGTCTTTCAGATCACTTAGACCTAAGAGTTATAGGACTTTATAGGTCATGATCGGCACTTTGAACTGTGCCCAAAAACAAGCCAAGAGCCAATGTTCTGTTATCAGGGGAATTATATGCTTATATGAAAATGATAGATTTAATCATGTCCCCTTCCCCAAATGTAAATTGTTGGGAGATAACACATTACCTGAAGCACCAGAAGTGTGGCCACTATAATTCTAATTCAAGCATTTCCTTGAGACCATGTCAATTACATTTTCCTGTACTATATGGGAGAGGGACTCATTTTCCCAGACTGCATCCTCATGTAGTTTAAATTTATCAGGAGGAGAAGTTGGAGAAGAAAGCATCTGAGACTTGCAGAAATTTTAGAAGCATAGAAGCATAGAGTTGGAAGTATCACAAGGGCTATCCACTTTTACCCCCTACCATGCAGGAATACACAGTCAAAGCACTCCTGACAGATTGCAATCCAGATTTTCTTTAAAAACCTTCAGAGGCTAAGATGCACCATTCTCTGAGACAGCATATTTACTGTCAAATAGCTCTGACCATTGGGAAGTTCTTCCTATTAGTAAGGTAGAATTTATTTTCCTGCAATTTGAATCCATTGCTCTGTGTCCTAGTCTCTAGAAAAAAGGCTTGCTCCACCTTCAATATGACCCAGTTTCAATTATTTCAACATGGCTCTCATATCTAGTCATATCTAGTCCAAGCTAAACATACTCAGCTCCCTAAGTTGCTTCTTATAGGGCCTGGAGTTGGTGTGAAGATTGTGCATGCTCAGTGATGATGGAATGCTTAGTTACTGTTGAGAAAGGGTAATGGTAGTTTAAAGGTGTGGAATGTGTTGTTATAAGGGAAGGACAGGCTAGCTGGAGCCTTAAGCAGGATCAATCTGGTGTATTTCCTTACTGTTCTGAGAGTCTACTCAGAGCTGTTGGGAAAGGACAATTGTAGCTTAATGGTGTGGAATGTGGTGTTATAGGGGAAGGTCAGGTTAGCTGGCACCTTAAACAGGATCAATCTGGTGTATTTCCTTACTGAGAGTTTACTCAGAGCTATGTTGAAAAACCTGAAAATGTGCTGTCTGTTTGAGAATCTGAATATTAAGCTGTTTATCATTATTTTCATTTTTTGCTTTATAATTGCATCTTTTTTTCACTTAACCTAGAGAACAAATTTAGGCAAACTCATGTTCATGTGGATTATCAAAACTCAATAAAACACCTTTTTCCAACCAATGATTGGATGACTTATGAATGCATTAGTAACACTAGGGAAATATATTAATAACTGGGATGTACACATCTCTCCATCAACAATTATCAACTGGTGATTGAAAGATCTGTAGGCAAGAATTTTTGATGGACATATGTGTGCATCCCAAAGTAAGAGCAAGAAGCTACAGAAGCCCAGCTAGCTAGCAATTATTTTTTATTGTCGAAGGCTTTCATGGCTGGAATCACTAGGTTCTTGTAGGTTTTTTCGGGCTATAGGGCCATGTTCTAGAGGCATTTCTCCTGACGTTTCGCCTGCATCTATGGCAAGCATCCTCAGAGGTAGTGAGGATGCTCTACCTCTGAGGATGCTTGCCATAGATTTATTTATTTATTTATTTATTTCACAGTTTTGTATACTGAGCTTCTCAACCTTGTTGAGGGACTCAGCCCGGTTTACAGCATAAAAACATATACATTCATTAAAATATCATATATCACAAATTACACATTAACTTTAAAATACACTAAATATAAATATAGGCGCAGGCGAAACGTCAGGAGAAATGCCTCTAGAACATGGCCCTATAGCCCGAAAAAACCTACAAGAACCTAATTATTTTTATTATTTGTTTTTCCTGGTAATTAGAATATTTTTTAATATTTACCCTGGAATTTGGAATCAAGCATATCAGTGGCCAACTGAAATTCACTGATATATTTCCTATTATTGTAGGTTTACTGAGCTGTTAAAAAACTGGATCTCACGGCATTGGTAGAATAATTTTAAAATATTTGATAGGCAAACATTTGTTCTCAGTTACTTTAACTGTCAGTTCTTAAAGTAAGTTAGCATTTTGTCCCTGTTTCAGTAATGATACCATATATATCCCAGAGAGTTTCTTTCCTTTTCATAAATGGAGTCAACATATTTTTTTTCAAAGCAACACACAGCTCTCCATTATAGAGGAAAATAGTATTTCATCTGTTCATAACTTCCCATCAAACCGATCAATCCCCTTCCTTGTGGATTGCAATTCCTCCTCTTCATAATTTTGCCCCTATAGTATGATATATACATCCATAATACCACTTCACATTGACATGTTCTGGACGGAAACTGAAATCACGATTGTAGAAATAAATTACTGTATATATTCACATATAAATCTAATAATTTTATTCAAAAATCAACTGAAAAAATATTCATTGAATTATCTACAGATAAATGTGACTACAGTATCTTAAGCTCTTATCAAAAAAGTAATCAACATTTTAGTGTATCACAGGAGAACCCAAAAGAAGTATTGGTCTGCTCTGCTCTTTCTACTGTGATGCCACTTCTGGTCTTTTTTCCATTTCATATTAATGAATGAATGATATTTGTTTTTCTGACTGACTTATGCTCTTGCATAAAGATTAAAAATTTCAGAATCCTTACCTCAGTAATTGGCAATGGCTTCACAGTAATATCTGATGAAAAGTACCAGTCTCTACTGTCTAAAGCTCTCTATTTCTAATTTCTGGTTCTGATGAGAAAAATGATAAAGATCCCTCTTGGAGGTTAATTAGCATAAGGTAATTAGGAAGGATGTGGTAGACAGAAGATTAGAAGAATAGAAGTACTGCAATCAGCACCGGACCAGCAGAACCTTGGGCCATAATTATGACTCTACTAATTGGTACTTTTCATTGGAGAACTCATTGTCTTCTCTTCCTTGGGGACCAAATTCTTATACACTATATATTCTGATTAGGTCATTCTAAAATGCAACTCAGCTCCTATTGTGAATTGTTACAGGGGATGTATCCAGATAATATGTTCCCCACATATGTTACCTCTGCCAAAGTCCATTTATCTATGCTTTGTACCCTCTACATATTCTGCTGAAGCAGATTATGTACGGGGTACAAATATAGATAAATGGACTGTGGCATATATTGTTTAAGGAAGCCTTTGAATCTGAAATTAAGATTGTCATACATCAACAATGATGAACAATTCAATTTACAAATCAAAAGGAGACACATTATTTTTTGAGACTTGGAAAAAAATGAATCAAAACAACAGAAAAAGATAAACAACTTAGAATGGGCTTAATTTGTATGCTTCATTTTAGAATGAACTTTAAAATAATTGTTGCAGTTTTGAAATTGGAAAATAGAATGTTTTAATCAAATACAGAATATCAATGTACATCTCAGTTATTTAGTATGATGATAACGTATCCTGGAGAGTTCTTTATTTTGAGGTCAACCCAGAGTATTGATCATCCCTGGGATGGTACTTACTGTGTATCCCTGCACTGCTGTGGAGGCAGAAAGGAGTCCTTAACACCAGCCAAGGTTGATACAGAGGTGGGAAGGAGTCCTGACCACACAGACACTCTGAGCCCTTTTTGGTGCCACTAGCAAGCTCTTACCATCTTCCTTCCATTCTCATCATAGTGGTGACCATTACTACAAGTGATGAGTGATGGTCATTAGTCATTTTATGCCTGATGACCACCACTATCATAAGAATAGAAAGGGATGGTATGTGTCATTTTGTTTCCCCAGGCCACCAGAGTCCAGGGAATATGGCATGGCCATGTGAACAGTTGTGTCTGGTTCAGTCTTGGAAGTGGCTGAAGTGAACTGGTAAACCAGCTTTTCTTAACCTGAAATATTGGGGGGGGGGGGTGTCAAACCTTAAAATACCTCCAGGTATCACGGAGCCGAATTCAGTGGGACACCCCTGACTTGTGAACATTGGATTGCAGCCAGAAAGATCCCAATCCATATTTATTCCACAGACACCAGTCTGGAACACTATGGAAAGAGCTGGAAGGAGGATTAATAAACACCTTCCCCATCTCATGACTTTTGCAGCAAACTGAATACAAATAAGCAGAAATGTCCTCTCATCTTCCTGGGAATGGATTATAGGGACATATGATTGGCATAACATATCCCTGTGATGTAATGCTTAGCTTGGCTCATTTTTATCAAAATAATCCATCATCTAATTACTTTAACACCTACAGGCAATTATTATTGTTCCTTTATGATAAAATGCAACAGCTACATTAAATTATCCCATTCGGTTTTAAAAAAAATATTGCAGTCCCCTGAGATGCAAGGAACAATATTACCACCAGTCCCAGATAAAATATGCATAAATCTGATTCAAGATAGAGTGATCAATGTTAGCAGACTTGAAATGTTCTTACATCTTTGATGCTGTTTCAAAGGATGATACCTCTTCGGCCAAGCATTTCAGCTGCAAAATATTGCATAACGAAGCTTGTTTATGCAATGTTGTTGAGGGAGTGCAAAGGATGCCTGCAGTTTTTTTTTACAGAACCAAGACAATAATGCTCTGAGAAATTTCTAAAAGAAATGATAAGGTAAAGAATGGCAGCAACAATCTTATAGTAAGGTCTTTTGGTTTAATGTATCAACATTCAGAGAAGATCTAAGATTCTAAGTGTTCTCTTGCTTCTCACCTGTCAAGCAAATATTTAATCTCCCTTATTCTGCTACTTCTCTGCTTTGTGAAAGTAAGCATGTTTTTCCCTTTTTTCATGATTGCATTTTCATATTCTTTTCAAAGTTGTTTGTGTTTAATGCACAGATTTTTAATCAATGTTTCTCAATGAGAACATAGGGTTGAGCCCATTTGTGAAAGATTTCGTAACACACATAGGTTTGTGTATAATCTGAATTTAAGAAAGAGAATTGGACTTCTCTCTCAGTGTCATGACACCAAAAACTATATTCATGTGTTTGCTAATAGTTTTACAAAGTGTGAAGGAATAGATTTTTTTTTGGCTCATTCTTTTTTGACCACGTATTTGAGTATGCTTTGTGTCCTCCCAGAATAATATGATGGAGAATATCAAATGGGGAAACAAAACAACCATCGCAGAATTCATTCTTTTGGGATTTGGAAATCTTCCAGCACTTCAAACACCTTTATTTCTGTTATTTCTGTTTGTCTACATCATGACTGTTGCTGGAAATCTTACCATAGTCTTGTTAATTGCAACTGACAGACATCGTCAAACTCCCATGTACTTCTTCTTGGGGAACCTGTCCTGTCTGGAGACATCCTACAGTTCAACGATCCTGCCTAGAATGCTAGCCAGTGTCTTCAGTAGAGACAATGCAGTGACATTCAATGGCTGCCTCATACAACTATATTGTTTTGGCTACCTGGCAACTGTAGAATGTTATTTGTTGGCTGTGATGGCCTATGACCGATACCTAGCCATATGCAAACCATTGCACTATGGAACATTTATGAATGTCAAAACTACCATCCGACTGGCAGCAGGGGCATGGATATCTCCCGTCATTGTCCTGGCTGTAGTCATACAATTACTGTCAGGGTTGCATTTTTGTGGCCCCAATGAAATAGATCACTTCTTCTGCGATCTCAGCCCAGTGATCCAGCTCTCTTGTACAGACATTGAATGGACTACACTCACTATCTTCATAATGTCCTCAATAGACACCTTCCCCCCATTTCTACTCACTTTGACATCTTATATTTTTATCATTATCACCATTGGGAGAATTCCCTCCACAAAGGGCAGACAAAAAGCATTTTCTACCTGCTCCTCTTATCTTACCATAGTGACAATTTTTTACGGGACCCTAATTATGGTGTATGTGTTACCCAAAACTGACACCCAGAGAGAACTAAACAAAATATTCTCTGTTTTTTATACAGTACTGACTCCCCTTGCAAATCCCATCATATACAGCTTGAGAAATAAAGAAGTGAAAGAGTCTCTGAAAACAGCGATTGGCAAAATAAATACATTTACAAGAAATTATTATAATCTTTAATACTGATGACAATCTATATATATAAATTTCCTCCTGGCGTCGTATGAGGAAACAAAACTCCAAAACCCCCCAACGAAACTCCACCAAACTTCCCATGCCCCAAGGGCAACCAACAAGGTACAAACTAATCCAGTCAGAAATCAAAAACACACAACAACAACCACAATAAACGGCAAAGCAACTGAGCATGCGCACTACCGCAAACTCCCCGCCGCGCGCACACTCCACACTTTCCTCCCTCCCTTCCGGCAGCGCTCTCCTCTCCTCCTCTTTTCAGACTGAAACACAAAGCGGGGCATCGGGAAAAGGGGCTCCAAAGGGGGGCACCAGCAGCAGCAGCAGCCCACTCCCTCCGGACAGAGTGACCACAAGGACCGCGACGCAGCCAGATCCCTCTCGGTGGGCTTCGGGGTGGACCCTCATCGACCCCCTTTGTCTCGCCCCTCGCCTCACCACAAACAGGCAACCAAGCCCCGCACGCTTCCACCGCCCACACAAACACACACACACACACACGCACCACACTCCTTCCCCCCGCCCCCTTCCCGCACCGTTAACACCCATCCCAACTCCCCCTCCTCCCTCTAACCCAGCTCACGTCACCACCAAGCCATGCCCCCTTCCACTCTGTCTACACCCATCCCTACTCCCCCTCCTCCCCCCCCCCCCCGCGCGGCACACACACACACAGGCTCCCTCACTACCTCTTGGGAAAGCAGCAGCAATGGCAGCAGCAACGGAGCATCCACGCAAGGAAGAAGGGGAGGGGGGGAGGGGGAGGAGGAAGGTCCACGGTGCTTGAATGAAGGACCTTCCTTCTCTCCCTCCCCACACTTCTTTCCTCCCTTTCTTTCCTTTTCTTCCTTCCTTCTCCTTCCTTTCCTTCTTTCCCTCCTTCCCTTCCTTCCTGTCCATCCTTCCTTTCCTTCTTTTCCTCCCTCCCTCCCTTTCCTCCTTCTTTCCCTTGCTTCATTTCCATCCCTCCCTCCTTTCTTCCCCTCCTTCCTTCCTTCTCCTCCTTCCCTCCCTCCCCTTTTCCTTCCTTGACTGTCCCTTCCATTTAATAAGGAAATGAAGGGGAAGGAAATGAAGAATGGGAAAGAGGGAGGAAACGAAGGAGGGACAGGAAGGAAGGAAAAAAGGAGGGGGGAAAGAAGGGAAGGAAGGGGGAAAAAGGAGGGACATGAAGGGAGGGAGGAGAAGGAAGGTGGAACAACCAAAAATATTGTGTATCCACAAGTATTAGTAAATAACAGTTCTTAAATACCACTACTTTGTCAGTACTTTATTTTCCATAACAACACACTACGCCACAGCAACGCGTGGCCGGGTACAGCTAGTATATGATAATAAGCTAAGTTAGAAATCTGTTAACTCCTGTATGCTCAAACTGCAATTGAATCAAAACGTTAATATTCTGGTGACTTTTAAAAGGTGTCATAAAGCTGCAGCTGAAATATATATTTAAAGCCAGGTGATTTTTTTGTCATGATAAACTTAAGGTGTTTTTTTAATATAGCATTTTCAAGTGATTCATTTTGTTGTTGTTGTTGTTGTTTTTTCAGACTAATATATGCAAAAAGAATGAAATCCGTAAAATAAACTATGAAAAATTGCTTGTGTGTTTCTGTGCATTTTTCTGAGGAAAAAGTCCATAGCTTACATGAAAGTCTCAAACCGAAAAAGGAAAAAGAAAGTGTTCTAAGTAAAATATTCATCAAACAGAAAAATATGAGAACATGTTCTATATTAGTATATTTGCAATACTATTATACACATTCATCTGGGAGTGATGTCTATGGAATAGTAAGGGAAGTCCAAGCATATATGCATAGATTTCTGCTATAAAGATTTACAAATTTATCTGGTGCCTCTTTTAGAAGGACTGCAACTCTCAAAAGGTATAGTTGTCCCTCTACATTTGAGAGTTTAACTTTTGCAGATTTGATTATATGGGAATTAGATTACTATATTATCTCTAGGAATCTTTAGTTCCTCTATGACAGCTCTATGGCCAGCTATTAGTGGACATTCTATTTGTAATATAATCTAGGAATATTTGTCTAAGAATTGCTGGTGAATGTTAATCATAGAACTGTCATCTTGGATGACCTACGGATTGCTGGATCAGTGTTTTCTCATGTAAAAAAAGGTTTTTCATTCACATTTTCCACTTTCACTGAGGATCTGTACCCCCAATGCCCATGATCATGGAAGAAAAATGAATTTTCTACAGTTTTATTTTAAAAAGCAGTTATTTTAATTGTCATGACACCAAGAAATAATAAATGACACACTAAATAAGCAGAACATTTTTGTATTTCACTCTCTATACCTAAAGATTGTATTTCACTTTCTGCACCCACACGTGGTAAATGCATATTCCTAATCAACTTCCAGATCATCTCAGGGATGTATTTCCCATTATCCAGTATAAAGAACCATAGCCCAGTCTTGGTACAGCATGGTATCAATATAAAATCACATGATTCGTGGCAATGTCAGATACTTTCTGCAGAAATCTTTTTTTCATTATAGCATTTTACTGTTTCATTGTCCTAAACTTCTGCTTGGCCTAACCTGCTTCCTGCAATTATATGAGGAAAATTAAAGGGGAAAATGAAAAACAACTTTTTGCTTTGAAGACAGAAAAAATGGTTCTCTATGCTGAAGCCAATAAGTTGCAAAGCCAAATGGTGCAATTTTACTAACTCATCAGATGGCCGGTGACCTATGGCAGCAGTATTCTACTTTACAGAAAGGTGTGGGGAATCTGGCACCCCATTCTCTGCATTGCCTGGATCCATGGGAGGGCAATCACATGGGGGAAAGCGTGAGTGTGCAGCTTCCCCCAAAAGATTTAATAGCAACACGGGAACTCTTCTGTATTTCCCTGGTGGCAGTATGCATCAGCTCCACCCTCCTTCACCCATAGAGCCAGTACAACATCATGTGATGGGAGCCAGCTGGCTCTGTGGGTGACCTGGGCTAAAATCGGCTCATGCCAATGGTTTTAGCCCAATGCAATGAGGTTGTTAGACAGTAACACTGGGCAATAAGGATTCAATGAAAAATGTTTCTCATGTCAAGGGTGCATCCTTAGATATATTAGAAAGATGCTCCATCCCTCTACTCTATATATACCCAGCATTTACTACAACCTCTCTCACACACACCCAAAATACAGAAGTGACCAATTATGTCAACAGAAGCCATTTTATGGCAGTTTTTCTTTTAAATCTCTCAGGATTGGGAGAAACAATTGTCATCAGTGGCCAATCATGCCTTTATACTCTGAGGCTTTTCACAACCTTTGTCATTTTAAGTCAAATTTTCAATCTGGCTTCAGGCCTGCTTATTGAATAGAGATAGCTGATTATGGTACAGGTATATCATTGTTCAGCTTGGTGTGCAACACAGAACACAAACTGGATGTAGTGTTTCTTTGGACTATGTCAGCAGCTTTTGATAACAATTATTGTGATATGGGATTTAGGGGTACAGTTCTGCAGTGATTCCATTTTTTAAAATATCTGGGCCACCCAGTATATTTCAATAATTTACTAATGGGTTGGATGAGGATTGGTTTTTGTTGTGTTGAGAAGAACACAAATGACAAAACATCTCACAAAGTCCCTGTGTGTCCTAAAAATGGAAAATATGTTTAAAAGGTCAAAAAGAAATGGAAAAAAAACATTAGTTTGATTCTATTGGAATTAGATATTGAATTACACACTTGGGACTTTCATAGTTCAGATGTGTGTATTTGTTTGCTTGTTAACTTTCTGCGAATGTTCTTAAACTGCATTTTTCCCTTTAAAGTAATGTACTTTGAGAATCCTATTTTGCACCAACAAGTTGGATAGGGAATACTAATATGGTTTTTTAAAATCTTGTCAGCTATGTAACTATGTACACTTAAAAGTTAAATAACACAGAGTGTAATGGAGGATTTTGATGATCTCCTCCTTCCTCCTCCTCCTCTAGTACTTCCTCCTTTTCTTCTCCTTTTTCTTTGATTTATCCCATGTTTTCACCAATACTACAACTCAAGGCCGTTTACAAAATATTAAGACCAATACAAAATAAAATACATGCAAAAGACACCAGTAGAATGATTCAATAAATACAATTAATCCTCTAAAGAATTAATACCATTTTAAAATCCATGAAAAAAAAGTGGAAAACCACGCCAAAGCATTCATTAGTCCATATCTCCTGATAGGTCTTTTCCCCTAATGAAATAAACCCGTGAGAGACATTAGCATCTTTAATAAGGCATACAGTAAGAAATGCACAAATATATCACACAAAACTATACCCACAAAGAAGTGAGAAGAAGAATGCTGCACGACTTGTTTTCTGAGGCAAGACAAAAATAATCTCTTCCGTGCAGCAGAGGTATTTGTCATATTGTTTATTTGGTGCTTGGTGTATATAATATATTATTTTTGAGGCACAATTCTAATCTAAAATATAAATTGCCAAAGTGTAAAAGTAGAAAGTGGAAGGGAAGATGATGAGGGTATCTATTTATTTATGTACTATATTTGTACCCCACCCTTCTCAACCCCTAGGCGTATAACATTATAAATTCTTTTCCACTGTGTTTTTGACTAGACGATTCATCAGAAATTCTGGCTCCCAGTTATGACCCAAAATTCAGTCCCTGCACTTTACTACTTACTGTCCTCTGCCCAAAGTTATAGTGTTTCACCTCATATTGCCCTTATCCTCAATTTTGTCAGCTGGCACTTGCACTTTATCTATCAGCCCTACCCTCAAATGATTTGTACCCCCCCCTCCGCTGCCCAAGACCAGATCTGTTTCATTATTTCAGGTACTGATTATCTGTTTGGTGGTTGTTTTTATACTGTGTTATGCTGTTGTTTGCTTTGTTTTGTTGCTGTTTTATGAATTTTAATGTGTTATATTTTAACTATGTCTGCTCAGGCTTGTCCCCATGTAAGCCACCCGAGTCCGTTAGGGGAGATGGAGGTAGGATACAAACATAAAGCTATTATTATTGTTAATTATTATTATTATTATTATTATTATTATTATTATTATTATTATTTTACTAACACAAAACCACAGTATGTCACAGCAAACGAGATCTATATGTTGGATTTCATGTCACAAAATCACAAGTCGAACACTTTCCAAGCGTCTAGGAGTGTGTGATGTATTTTTGAATGATGCACACAGATCCAAGTAAAGTGGTTTTTTGTAGTTGACAGATCATGATTTTGTCAATGTTTATTGTTTCCAAATGCTGGCTGAGATCTTTTGACATGGCACCCAGTGTGCAGATGATCACTGGGACCACCTGTACTGGTTTACGACAGAGATGATGATGATAATGATGATGATGATGATGATTTTGTATTTATCTATAAAGTGATAGGATCTATAGTGATTCTCGGCTTTCTATCTTTTTCAGTTTGATGTTTGTATGCCACAAAAACACAATGCAGAGAAATCAGAGTGACATCACTGAGTTTATTCTTCAGGGTTTGGGGGAGCTACATTGTCTGCAGACCTTCCTCTTCCTTCTGTTTCTCACCATCTACATTTCAACACTGACTGCCAACATGCTTACCATTCTTCTGATAATGATTGATCAGCACCTCCACACACCCATGTACTACCTTCTGGTGAATTTGTCTTGTTTGGAAATCTTATACAGCTCATCCTTCCTGCCAAAGCTGCTGACCAGTTTGGTGACAGGAGACAAAACCATCTCTGTCAAGGGATGCATTGCACAGTTTTACTTCTTCTCTTTCCTGGGAGCTACAGAGTGTTATCTTCTTTCTGCAATGTCTTATGATCGCTTCTTAGCAATATGCAGACCCCTTCATTATACAACCATTATGAATGGCAAATTCTGTATCCAGTTAGCTGGTGGCTCTTGGATCAATAGTATTTTGTTTACCTCTTTATATTTGCCTTTGGTATTAGAGGGACTACACTATTGTAGTCCCAGTGAAATTGATCACTTCTATTGTGATGCATCTGAGCTGGGCACACTTTCCTGTAGTCGCATCAAAATCTTGCCATTTGTCACGGTGACCCTGGGTTTTATATTCAGTTTCCCTCCTTTTCTTTTGACCATAATCTCCTATGTATATATCATTTCTGCCATTCTGAGAATCCCATCGATCACTGGGCGGCAAAAGGCCTTTTCAACCTGCTCTTCTCACTTGATTGTGGTTTCTATTTTCTATGGTGCAATTGTTGTTGTATATTGTATACCGAAAATGGAAAGAACAAGAATGATGAGAAAAATATTTTCTTTCTTCTACACAGTCCTGCCTCCCATAGCCAACCCCCTCATATATAGTTTGAGGAACAAGGATGTCAAGGAAGCTCTAAGAAAGGCTGTTGGGAAGTTTGTGAAAGGCCATTCCTAATTTTTGAGTTTTAAAATCTGATAGTCCCTTTCATGTTAAAAAAATAATTTCCTGACTAAGGAAAGGACATAGCAATGAACACTATTCAGTCCAAGCTAATCATGGGGTTAAACAGAATTAAAGTCACTGATAGAGGCCATGTAATGTAGTTTGAAACTGCATTATACGAGTCTATAGTGAGCATATAAAGCAAGTTTGACTGCATTATGTAACTTGTAGGTGGGGCCAGAGTTACAAACATGTGCAATTAGGATGGTTCTACTCATAATTAAGACCATTGAGTCCAGTGGGGCCTGCTTTCAAAAAGGTAGTACAGCATTCTCCCTTCAATGGTGGAAACATTTTTTTCCTGCAAGTGGACACTTCTGATTTTGCAGTGTACAGCTACCAGCTCACAAGGAAGTCCACTTTTGTTCAAATTGAGATGACAATTGTTACTAGGGGTGTGCAATTTGGGACAAGTTGGAAAAACTTGTTCCATTGTCAATCCCATTTTCGCCTGGTTTCCCATTCTGTTTTTCAGGAAATTCCTGAAATTGGGAAGGAGAAATGCTGTTTCTTGGATCCATAGCCAGAAGCTCCATTTTTTGCTTCAGGAAGATCTGATCATTGGTTTCAATGGGGAAATGGTGAGGCTCCTCTTTCCATCATTTATGGCTATCAGGATCAAAATGGCCACACTTGGATGACACACTCACCAGTGCAAGCCCCTAAGTTTCAGGATGTTTGGGTCATTTGCTGATTTTTAGGGGGAAAAAATTAAACGAGAGAGGTTCAAAGAAGTGAACTAACAAGAAGGGCTGGGTGGGGGAGGCTGCTGGACTCATGTAGGAACACTCAAGTCAGAAGATAAGGCTGGTAGAGTATTTCAAAGACTGAGAGTCAAAGAGGTGAAAATGGCAAGGGAGGAACTTAAATATCTTCATTTTATTTTACTAGTAATTTTGCTAGGGAGGAGTGGCCCTCCCCCATAGAAAAATAACTAGAATTACTAGAAAATAAAAGCAAGACTGAAAGATGTTTAACTAAGAAAATTTAATCCAAACGAAAGGGGAATTCTCAAAAAGCGATCCATTCCCTAAGCACTAAACAGTAGCACTGAGACATAAGGAACTAGCACGTCTCTCTTTCTCAAACGCCAGCTTTGCAAAAAGACAACACTAAAGAGGGAGTACCCACATGGCTGCTTTTCTCTTGCAGCAGCCGAATACACCCGAATACAGTCAAAAATTGGCTGCCATGTGCCCCGTTATTGCCAGTTTCTGGCTGCTCGCCCTCCTCATATCGGGGGGGGGGGGGATTGGTTGCTGATTTTAGTTGAAACTGCTGAACTACCAAGCCAATATTGTGCACATCCCTAATTGTTACTTAAAACAAAAAACTATATTTTCCATACACATGCTATCGAGCCACAGCACCCCCCCCCCCCCGAAAAGAGTGAAGGCAATAAAGAGATTCCAAAAATTAATATGATTTTTTTCTTTATTTTATATGTATCAACTTGAGATTTTATGTGTAACATGTGACTTTTATGTATGGTGTCAATTCTTAAATGTATAAACTCTATCAAAAGCCTGCATCAAAATGTATCTTGAAGGCAGCTACCTTTCTGTGCCCTCAGTTTGCATAATTTCTTGGGAAAGGAGATCAAGGCAAGGGTTCCTCCAGCTATTTCCCAAGCCAGATAAATATAAAAACCTTTGTGTGGGTATGCTCTTGCTCATTCAACTTTAGGCTGAGAGTATGTTGCTCCCACAGAAGAAGGGGCTCAGCAAACATTAATCCATTTAAGTTTCTGAATGGGCAGCCAAGCCCCCGATTATCTGGAATGGACACCTTTATCTTTAGGCCTTACACTCTTTGTCTCACATGGGACTGGACACTTGGGTTAATCAAAAACTCATCAGCATCACCACATCACAGGACGGTTCCAGACAATGGTAAAGTTCGCTTCAACCTGGGTTTTAAAAACCCGGGGTGGGGCAGACTGTAGTCCGCACACCACACTAAAAGCCCACACTTTCCACGGGCACTGTCTACATGACCTCCCAGTACCTACCAGAAGAACAGGGAGACATCTCCCCCTCCCAAAACCCCTTAAAATGGGGAGGGGTAAAAAAACTTACCAGCCTCCATTAGGCATCACAGCATACTTCCTGGGATTACCAATTATGCTGCGGAACCAAGGGGGGGGGGAATCACTCCTGCCTCCCCCTTGTTTTTTCCTCGCATAATAGTACATTCCAGGGATTGTACTGTGAAGCCTAATGGAGACCGGTAAGTTATTTTTACTTTCCCCTTCCTCTTTTTGAGGGGTTTTGAGAGGGAATGGGACCAATCTCACATCTTCTGGGTTCCAGGAGTCTAGAAGGTATGGGTTGGGTGTTTGGACAGGTCGCAGGGAAGTCCCAAGACTTGGGCCTTTCACAGAGGCACATGTCTAATGGACTATCAAATTAATTCACTATAAACCAGGGTTTTTCTGCTTTGTGGCAAATAAATTCATTTTTCTGTGGGACGCCACCTGGATGCCTCATTTTAAAATGCAAGAGCTCACGCTTTAAAAGGGCTGTCTGGAGGGGCCCACAATTTCCTCCAGGGTTGCACGCTCCTAGGAGGTGTCCCTACAATTGATTGGTCTTTCAAACTGACCAATTACCAACTATATTTCTTCCCACCACAGGAATATCCTTCTGCAGGCTGTGATGTCAAGGCAACCCCTGGGTAATTTCAGCACAGATCTTGGCCTGTCTCTATTTTCAGTCAACCAGGAGAGGGAGCTACATACACTTCCTTAGTAAACCGAACTCCATGTAGGAAGACTGAAGTCCATGTAGGGAGAATTATCTATATGTGACATATTCCTAATTTAAACTATGCTACTCCTGTCATTCAAACAATGGCCAAGAGGCCGATGTGAGAAAATGATTCATAAGGGAGAGAGGGCTAATGTTTCCCACATACCTGTCTTCCCCATGGATATGAGTGGGCAATGTATTGAGTATATCTGTGTGCTTGTTAAGTTCTCTATGCCACCGAACTATTGAAAGAAACTTCTTTGTCAAAGGAATGACAGATTCCTGAGATAGGCATGCTAGAGGAACAAAGGGTCTTTTATAGGTCATCTCAGAACATGTCCCTTCTTCTGTTCATCAGTGAAAGGAAGTGTGATGTCCAATGTGCAAAGAACCACCTGGGCACTGGACTAAGCTGAACTTTAAAGAGTGTTGAGGACCTGAGATATAGGAGGGTTCAATGGCTGTAATTGAAAAGACTTAATAACAGCACTGCATCAATATCTTTCTTGAAGCTGCAATGTTCTGTATCCTTTTATTTATACATAACTCAAGATAAATTGTTATATGCAGAAAGCCAAAATTAAAGCATACATAGGGAATAAATGCCTGCCATAGGAGATGAGTTCAGTTTATTTTTAGAACTGTCCTGGAGAATATACAAGTTCAAATGTTTATGGCCATATAGGGAAGTGCAGTTTCTTTCAAATTATAACAAATGTTTAAAATTTATTTGGTGTATGCTAGTTAGGTAGACCTTGAAGGAGCTGGAGGTGGTGACAGCCAACAGGGAGCTCTGGCGTCGACTGGTCCACGAGTTCACGAAGAGTCGGAAACGACTGAACGAATGAACAACAACATGCTAGTTAGGATTAATCATTGGGTTATACCAGAAACAGCTGTTTTTACTATCCTTCTCCGGTTCATGTATAAATTAAAGTTTACAAATGATAATACAACATTCACAAGACTATCTTTCTAACAAAAATATATTTTACTGCAATGGTTTAGATATCAGTTACATAAAATCTGGACTTGGGTGAATTGGAGCTGCCCACACGTCAAAGCAACCAGGGTTCACTTTGAAATTTCCTGCATGTTTCAGAGTGATATACGGTTCTTTTTATGATGGAGTAAACGTGCAAGTAGTGCTTCTGCTGCTAAACTGGCCATATATCATGTGAACTGCTCATAGTGGATTCAAAGTACATTTTATTCAGCCCATGTAGACATGGTCTTATTCACAAGTAGAGTAAACTCAACAAAACAATTACTCAGTGGTGAATCAACACATTTATTGATCTCATTCATTTAATTAATTTTTTCTTTGGGATTGCCTATAGGTTGTAGGACATTACCTCTGTTGAAAACACACTCTGTTCATTGTCTTGCGCATCATCCTTTGGATTGCTCCATTGACCTCCTTATTCCTTAGACTGTAGATAAGTGGGTTCAGCATGGGTGTGATGACAGTGTACATCAAAGCCAACACTTTGTTACTGTCCTTTGCTTGAATAGACCTAGGCCTTAGATAAATCAAGCTGCCACTCCCATAGTACAGGGTCACCACCATGAGATGAGAAGAGCAGGTAGAAAAGGCTTTTTGACGGCCCTCAGATGACTTCATCTTTAGAATGTTAGAAATAATCAGGATATATGACACAAGGATAAAGAAAAAAGGAGTAAAAATAACTAAAATGGTAGCTGCGAAGAGTTGTATCTCATAAAAAGAAGTGTCAATGCATGAAAGTCTAATTAAAGGTGGGATATCACAGAAAAAATAATCAATTTGATTGGAGCCACAGAATGGCAAGGAGAACACCCAAGATGTCTGAACCAGGGATACCAAGTTCCCAATGAACCAAGAAAGAACTGTCAACGAAATGCAAACTGTATTGTTCATGATGGACATGTACCTCAGTGGTTTGCATATGGCTACATAACGGTCATAGGCCATTACTGCTAAGAGGAAACATTCTGAAGCTCCCAAGAAAAGCAGGAAAAACATTTGTGTGGCACAAGCAATGCGTGATATCTTCTGCTCCACTGAAAAGAAATTCACTAGCATTTGGGGGAGAGTAACTGAAGAATAGCAAACATCTATAAAAGACAAAACTTTGAGGAAAAAATACATTGGTGTGTGAAGCAATGGATCTATCACAATCATGGTGAAAATGAGCATGTTTCCAGCTACCGTTGTTACATAAAGCATCAGAAACACAATGAATAATGGCATCTGCAGGTCAGGATGATCAGTTAGACCCAAAAGGACAAATTCTGCCACTCCTGTTACATTCATTGGCCTTATTCAAAGAAGTTAATTTTTTCTGGGAGGGAAAAGAAAAGAAAACAAAGAATAAACATTTCTTGTTTATTTATGAAATCATTTCAAAGTTCTTTTTAAAACAATGACACAAATATTTTAACATTCTTGCCATTGGAAAATAAAATGAGTAAAGATTGGAGAATGATGGATCAACCCTGAAATGCATTCAGTATATGTTCTCCGCAACAGTATGGCTAGAGAGCCTTGGAAAAAAAACATTCATTGTGATTAAAAACTAGAATTATCCACTAGTCACAAAGTTAAAGCCCTTATTCTTCCTTCCTGCTTTCCCTACTTCCTTTGAATTTTTTGTATATGGAAAGCTTTTGTGTGGATGGATCAATATTTGGAAACATTTTGTATTTATGTTTCTGTGAATTCTAATTGCTTAAAAAACCTGCAGGAGTATTGATGTGGAGATCTAGATTCTATCAGGGGAATGCCACTCTGGATATTTCCCAGCTCTGTCTGAAGCAGTCCAATTTGGATTTCAATTGAAAGCATGTTTGAAAATGCTCCCCACCCTGCACCTCCACAAAGTTGAAAACATTTTTAATTGTAAATTTAATTGTAAATTTTAATTTAATTTTTTTAATTGTAAATTTTCTACTATTGTAAATTTTAGGTTTAAAATGTTATTGTTCATTGAATAAGATCTGCCCTCTCACATATTTTATAAGACTATAACTTGTTTTTTTGGATTGATTTCTCCTCCTATCTTGATATTTTATCTGTTCCAGCTTATTGAGAGCACTAAGATCCATTTCAATTACACAATTTCAAACTTTGATGTCTATGAAAGAAAATAGAAACAGATATTTTCATATTTAATTTCAGATTATCCCTCTGGAATGCAAAGATACTTTTGAACGTTTAGCTTGGTTAGGATAATCTATATCTATAAATTTCCTACTGGCGTCCAACGGGGAAGCAAAACTCTAAAACCCCTCCACAAAACTCTACCAAAATTGCCATGCCCCAAGGACAACCCACTCGGTACAAACTAATCCACTCAGAATTGAAAACAACACAACAACACACAGATAAATCGCCAAAACAACTGAGCATGCGCACTGGAGCAAAGTCCCCAGCGCGCGCGCACACATGGCCGAACGGCCAACGCACCCTCCGCACTTCCCTCCCTCCCTTGCCCCGCCCAGCACGAACACGTCGCCGCCCACACGCACACACACACAAACAACGCAACTTCCCCCGGCCCCCTTCCTTCATCTCCTCCACGCTGCCTCCAAGCCCCGCTCTGCACACTCCAAGCCTCGCCGCGCCGCATCCCCTCCGGAAAGACACGCCCCCTCCCTTCGCCCCACCCCTTCCCTCCGTGACTTACTCCTTCCCTCCTCCCACCACCTCTGGAAAGACACGCCGGAAAGGAGTAAGTCACGGAGGGAAGGGGTGGGGCGAAGGGAGGGGGCGTGTCTTTCCGGAGGGGATGCGGCGCGGCGAGGCTTGGAGTGTGCGGAGCGGGGCTTGGAGGCAGCGTGGGAGGGGTAAGATGAAGGAGGGGGTGGACGGAACCCTTCCCTCCCTTTACTCCTTCCCTCCTCCCTCCCCTCCGGAAAGACACGCCCCCTCCCTTCGCCCCACCCCTTCCCCTGATTGACCCCGGGAAGGAAAGGGGGGGGGCGAAGGGAGGGGGCGTGTCTAACCGGAGAGGGAGGGAGGAGGGAAGGAGTGAGTCACGGAGGAAAGGGGTGGGGCAAAGGGAGGGGGCGTGTCTTCAAAGTCCCCCCCTGAGGGAGATGGGAGTTGTAGTTCACTGACATCCAGACAGCACTGTGGACTCAAACAATGATGGATCCGGACCAAACTTGGCATAAGCATTCAATACGCCCAAATATGAACACAGATGGAGTTTGAGGGAAATAGACCTTGACATTTGGGAGTTGTAGTCACTGGGATTCAGAGTTCACCAACACTCAAAGAGCATCCTGAACCCCACCAATGACAGAATTGGGGCAAACATGCCACACTGAACCCCCATGACCAACAGAAAATACTCAAGTTTACACACAAGCATAAAGAAGGGTGAGGAAGGAGGGATGCAAGAGAGAGAAAGAGAGAGAGAGAGAGAAAGAAGGGAAAGGAAGGAGTGTGAGAGAGAGAAAGAGGGAAAGAGAGCGAGGGAAGGAAGGAAGAGAGGCCAGGCAGAGACTTCAAAACTCTTACTAATGCTAGTAAAATTATATAAAGCAATTATATAAAGCAATTATATAAAGCTAGTGAAATTATATAAAGCAATTCAGTTTTTCCAAACAAGTCTAACATTGTTCTGAAGTTATTTCATTTTTTTAAAAAAATAGCAGTGTTCATTTCCTCAAATCTTTCCCTGCATATTTCCAAAAGCTAATATTTGCACAAAAAATCAGATCCCATAACATTTGGTGGTTAGAAATGATAAAGTTATAAATATGAATTCAACCAGAACATAAAATAGCTTTGATACACCTTTACATTACATCAAGACAGTAACCTCTAACTCAGCTATAGGAAATATATGGAATAAAATTCAGATTCACAATAAATAAATAAATAATCAAAAATAAAAAAATCTGGTAATCATACCCACAGTCTCATATATAGGACTAATTAGTGTAAACATCCTTTCCTTATCAGTAAGATTGCAATGTTACATTCATTTGCTGAGGAGAAGCATTACAGAACTCAGTGAAGCATACTTTTGAGCAGAAATATCATATGCAGGAATATTTTGTAAATGAACATTCAAACATAGAAAATTACAAGTTACCATTGGGGAAATAAGTTAAATGTGAAATTCTTTCCAAGTAATTTTATTTTATTTTAATGTCAAAAATATAATGTATATTGTTGACAACTTTTTGCTTGAGTTCATGTTTCCAGCCATAGGTTTTTAATTTTTTGCGTGTTATTGTCTATATGTCTTCTACTTTCATAATTTTAAAGAACTTTAAAATATATGCCAGTTATATTAATTGCATTTTTTTGCTTATTGCTTTGTTGTTTTTACTAATGTGTTATTGGGCTTGGCCTCATATAAGCCGTCCCGAGTCTCCTTGGGGAGATGGTGGTGGGGTATAAATAAATTATTATTATTATTATTATTATTATTATTATTATTATTATTTCCATAGATATCCTGCTTTCTTAATATACATAAACCTATTTATGAGCCTACAATCATTGTGCATAAACAATAGCAAACATTGCAATTAAGCCTGTTCTTGTGGAAGAGTGGGGGGACCCAAAGGACAATTTTTCAAGTTTTTAGAAAGGTGTCACCTTCTATGCATTTCTTTCTTAAATTAAGAAAGTTAACCTTTTTCATTTTTTTCAAAGCTATTAATTTTAATATGAGAGATATAAGCACATTATTTCTATTCATGTCATTATAACTTGTATATTTCTAGGAGGATTGTTGTCCCATGCATCTTATTGCTGAAAAGTAAATAAATATAATAACAAAGATAATATCAAAAATAAATATAATTGGAAAAATATAATAAATCACAATTCAATAGAAAATCTATTATATTAGACATATTAGATGAACTCTTATTCATTTATTCTAACTGGAGCAGACTTATTGAATCAATAGCTTGATGGAAAAACGAAGACATAGGTCTAATTGAGTCAATAGTTCTGTTCTAGTTGGCAGTAAGAAAAGGACTTAAATCATTATATTCTGTTCATTGTACCTGAACTCCCAAATTAATGGTTCATGGTACAGAATAAGTCAATCTGGTTCTTTATCCCAACACATTTGTATGAAGAATTTCACTTACCAGGTGAATGAAAGCAATAACCACTGTTGAAGATACCACTTTAGCTGAAATTTCTCAAAGAAATGAAGTAGGATTTAGCCAAGAAAGCAAATTAGCATAGCCAGAAGCATCTTAGTCATCTCACTATCCAAATAAAAAGCAATGGAAATGAGAAAACAGGAGGATGGTTTCTTGTTTTTTTGTCTCCTATTATCTTTCTGGTAAAGTTCATCATAATACCTCTGCTTATAGAATGAATCAGTTTATTTCAGAGGGACACTGCACTTCAACTGATGTCTCCAAGGAACAGGAGCACGTAGAAACCCAAGAAACATGACATCTTGACCTTGTTTTACATTACATGTTCTTTTTATTTCCAGAAATAATATTTAACTGTTCAAATTACATCTAATTGAGCGCAGTAATCCATAGCTGTATCACAAAACTAGGCATTCTAATTTACCATTTAGTAGTATGCATAGCTTGCAAAAACCTCTATCCTTGTCCCAAATTTAATTTAATTGTTTATTTACAAAAAAAATTAATTCTCTGATTTGTTCATGAGCACTCTACCCTCTTAAAAATAGGGGATGTCAACATGGTGCCACAGCAGATTTTACCAGATGCATCTGGTCATATTCAGGGCCAGTTGGGAGCATGGAAGTAAAAAAAAAATCTTTCCATTTGTTTTTATATACAGGTAGTGCCCGAGTTACAAACATGTGACTTACAAATGACTCATAGTTAAGAATGGAAGTGAGACAACTGGAAATGAGAGAAATCTACCTCTGTGAAGGGGAATTCTCTTCCTTCCTATGAGTAGATTGTTAGGAATGCCCCAGAGCTAGGGTGAACTGCTGCACCAATTCTGATTTGGAGCTGGATCTTCTGTTCCTGTAAGCAACTCCTGTGTTGTGCTTTTCCTGCACACCATAGCATGGGGAAGATAGGAAGGCACTTACCTGTGTCTAGTTTTGTCCAAAGAACTCCTTGCCATCACTGAGTGCCCTTGCTGATATCATCAAAGGTGCCCTTGTAACTTGGAGAGGAGGATGGGATTGCTCCCCTTCTTTCCCCTCTCCCTTCTTGGAACCATGCAGATCCCTCTGATGACTTTGGGAAATGAGTGTAGTGATTGCCAGTAGGTCTTTATAGTTCAGGCTGGCCTCCTAATGAGTCTCCAGTGTAGACTGACACTGTGATTTCTAATGAAATCAGATGCGGAAAAGCATGAGGGACATCCAGTAGGCCAGAGGTTATGGATTGAAATAAAAGTCTCAATTGATCACTAGAAAGACACTGTAGTGAAGTGCTTTGAAAGTTTCAGAGAAATTAATAGGAATCAAGGATTAAATTCCACACTTCGAAATCAAGCAAAGGGCCACCTAACAAACAGATCAAGTCTGTTGTCCCTCTCACAAACTGAGGATGGAATCTCAGTTGAAATGGATACAAATTACTAGTGTGCCTCAAGATATCCAGAAATAAAGAAGCTACTCTACCTTGTTCAAAAATGTCAAGCTGTATACTGGGCTCAAAGGTGAAGGGTACTACTGAAGATCTCCAGATGAATTGAACTACAATCCTCAGCATGCTTCAGCATTGACTATTCTGGCTAAAGACTATTATATTTTGATCTAAGCTAAATTTATTTAACAAAAGTCTGGTTACCGTCTTCTTAAGCATGAAAGGAATTACATTCCCAGTCTCTGAGAGCTATTTATTTATTTATTCACCCTATTTATACCCTGCCTTTCTCAATCCAAAAGGGGATTCAATGTGGCTTTACATATACGTAACTATTCAATGCTTTAAAACAACATACAATTCAAATGAACAATTAAATTAAAAATTAAATTAATGCACATTAAAACATTTAAAAACATTAATACACTATTCAAAGCAATGCCATCCATAATCGTAATCCGGAGCCATTCCAGTATTCATTGCACATATTCCATATCTATTATTGTGCTACAATTATTCTCCGAAGGATTGGTCCCAAAACCACATTTTCACTTTCCTTTTGAAGGTCAGGAGGGAGGGTGCTGATCTAATGTTGCTGGGGAGGGAGTTCCACAGCCGAGGGGCACCACTAAGAAGGCCCTGTCTCTCCTCCCCACCAGTCATGCCTGCAAAAGAGGTGGGACTGAGAGCAGGGCTTCTCCACACGATCTTAGGGGGAGATACATTTGGATAGGTAAGCTGGGCCAGAACCATTTAGGGCTTTATAGGCTAAAGCCAGCACTTTGAATTGTGCTCAGTAGCACACTGGCAGAGAGTGGAGCTGATGCAATAGGAGGGATGTCCTTTTTTTGTAAGCGACTCCAGTGAGCAGCCTGACTGCTGCCCATTGGATCAATTGAAGCTTCTAAATGGTCTTGAAAGGCAACCCCACATAGAGCGCATTCCAGTAGTCTATTTGAGATGTAACCAGAGCATGGACTACCATGGTAATATGGTTCTATGGCAGTGGTTCTCAACCTGGGATCCCCAGAAGTTTTTGGTCTAAAACTCCCAGAAAGCCTAACAGCTGGTAAACTGGCTTGGATTTGTAGTTGTAGACCAAAAACACCTGGGGACCCCAGGTTGAGAACCACTGTTCTATAGGTTGATGTAACAAAAAAATTAACTCATAAACTTAGATCAATGAGATATAAGATAATAGGAGAGCTGTCCCATCACTTTTGTTAAATGTATGCAGACTCAGTTTGTTTCAATGAGTTCACATTAAATTACCACTGAAGTTCACAACTAACTTTAAACTTTTATCTCTACGTTCACTAATCCATACCCTTGAGATTTTCCTGAAGAGAAATGATTACCCATGGGACACAGTCTGTCTTTAAAACGAGTCTGGCCAATATAACAAGTGAAGCTCTGCCCATGAAAACATGAAAATGATGCTGTATGACTTGTTCACATGGCCAGGTAGGATGTCTTTTCTAAGTGACAGAAATATATTTAACATATTGTTTTGTTTAAACTCCCTGCAAAATGTGTCTTTGAGTTGCATAGCTATGATTTTTGAAAATAAAGATAAAAAGAAAGAATAGTAATGATGGGCGAGGAATCAGATATGAAAACATTTGGTTGGAGATGGCCTTTCTAAAACAAATGGTGCCAATGCTTCTTTTCTTTTTTTAACGGTTTTTTATTTGTTTGTTTTTTACCACAATTGTATTGCAGGTATTAAAAGTTTTCTTCACAATAAAATGTAATATAGTAGTAAAATAGCTTCCCCTTCCTCCTTCCTCTCATCTTCTCTGTTGGCTTCTGATTTCCTTGGTAGGAGAAGTTACTACTGTCAACATGTATGGCAAATATCTTCCAAGGTAACAGTGCTAGGTTAAATCCTCTAAATAAATGTTTCTAAATATTTCTGATGTAAGATTGCTTCTGTTTCAGATTTATTTGAAGCCCTCAGTCCATAGTTGTGTGTCTCTGTCTTTCTTAATAAAGCTTTAAAATGGTTCCCAGTCATTTCCATAGTCGCCTTGGGTTTTTTCTCTGAGCATCATTGCCAATTTATTAATTTATGCCATTTAAAAACAAATTACAGTCCACGTTTTGGCTGTCAGTATCTTTTTCCAATGTTGATGGCAATATTTCTCTATCATGTTTTCCACCTTTGTATATATGGGACAGGAGACCACATTCAGAGAAACCAGAGTGACATCACTGAGTATATTCTTCTGGGTTTTGGGGAACTACCTTATCTACAGACCTTTATGTTCCTTTTCTGCTGCATAGTCTACATTTCAACACTGATTGCCAACTTCCTCGCCATTCTTCTGATAGTAACTGATCAGCACCTTCATACACCCATGTACTACTTTCTGGTGAATTTGTCTTGTTTGGAGATCCTCTCCAGCTCAGCCATTTTGCCCAAGATGCTTGCCTGCTTGGTGACAGGGGACAAAAGCATCTCTTTCAAAGGATGCATAACTCAGTGCTATGTTTTAAATCTTCTAATGGGTACTGAATGTTATCTGCTTTCTGTGATGGCTTATGATCGCTTCTTAGCAATATGCAGACCTCTGCATTATGCAACTCTTATGAATGGCAAATTCTGTATCCAGTTGGTGTGTGGTTCTTGTATTAACAGCATTGTCTTTTCCTCTGTGTATTTACCTTTAGAGCTAGAAGGGCTACATTATTGCGCTTCCCGTGAAATTGACCACTTTTTTTGTGAAGCATACGCAGTGGGGACACTTTCCTGGAGTTGCAGCAGAGTTTTGGCCCTTGTAACATTAACAGTAGCTTTTGTATTTAGCATCCCTCCTTTTCTTTTGACACTGATCTCCTATGTATATATAATTTCTGCCATCTTGAGAATCCCAACTACTACTGGACGGCAAAAGGCCTTTTCAACCTGTTCTTCTCACCTTATTGTTGTTTCTATGTTTTACGGAGCCATTATTATTGTATATTTGATTCCAAAAATGGAAACCACAAAAATTCTGAACAAAATCTTTGCTTTATTGTACACAGTTCTTCCTTCCATAGCCAATCCTCTCATATATAGCCTAAGAAATAAAGATGTCAAGGATGCTTTGAGAAAATTTGTTTGGAAAATTAAACAAAAACATTTCCAGGTTAGAGGTACAAACCCAGATCCTCTCTTTCATGTTCATGTGAAAGAACTCTGTGGCTAGATCCTCCCTCCCCTTTTGTCTTTCCTTCCTTCCCTCTTTCCTCCGTCCCTCCCTCCCTCCATTCCCTTCCACTTCCCCCCCCTCCCTCCCTCTCTCTCTTCCTTCTCATCCTCCCTCCCTTCCCTTTTGTCTTTCTTTCCTTCTCCCATCTCTCCCTCCATTCTATTCCACCCTTCTTTCCTCCTCTTTTTCCTTCCTCCTTTTTCTCCTGGGGGATGTTGCCTCAGAGTTTGGTAGAGTCTCCTTCTCTGGAGGCTTTTCTGCAGAGGTTGTCTATCAGGAGTGCCTTGGTTGTTCCTTCCTGCATGGCAGGGGGTTGGACCGGATGGCCCTTGGTCTCTCCCTTGGTCTCTCCCAACTCTAGGATTCTATATCAGGAGTAGGCAATATGGGGTCTCATATATACACCTTTCCTCTCCTATCCACTATCTCATCCTGACCAAGGCCAACTTTTTTGGGATCCAAACATTTCCTGCCTTCTCTTTAATTTCTGCCTCTGAAAGTGTAGAGGAAGGGGAGGAGAAGGCAGGGAGGGAACTTGAGAAGAAGTCACTCCCTCCCAGCCCGTCCACCCTGCTCTACCCACCATGCAGCCCCCAAGTTAGAAAGTTTCCCTGTGCCTGGACTAGATCAAAGAATATAAATGTGAGCAAAAAGCAACAAATGTTAACTATACTTTATGCTAGTTGGAATTTATTACAATGTCTGCATATATCTATAATATGTAATATCTTTGTTCATTAAAGATATACCTCTAAGAACATGTACCTAAGCATGTTAAACCTATTCAGGAGAAATAAATAGTATTTGCAAAATCTGTTATCTTGCAATAGTCTTTTGACAGTCCACAAAATGAACATCAGTGCAATCTGATCAAACACAGATTTACATGTAAAAGAAACATGTAGTTGGCAATAAAGATGGAATTATAACCTTGGATGTTGATTTAAGAAAAGGATTCAGTATTTAAAAGGTTTCTTCTTTCTTTCTTCTGCATTTTAGGTGGTCTCTTTGCTGACACGTAGTCAGATTTTAAATTCCTATTTATTGTAGAATAATGTACTTTGAAGTAATACTTTATCTTCTATTGTTGTTGTTTATTTGTTCAGTCGCTTCCGACTCTTCATGACCTCATGGACCAGCCCATGCGAGAGCTCCCTGTCAACTGTCACCACCCCCAGCTCCTTCGGAGTCAAGCCAGTTACTTCAAGGAAACCATCCATCCATCTTGCCCTTGGTCAGCCCCTCTTTTTTTTCCCTTCCATTTTCCCCAGCATCATTATCTTCTCTAAACTTTCCTGTCTTCTCATGATGTGGCCAAAGTACTTCATCTTTGCCTCTAATATCTTTCCCTTCAATGAGCAGTTGAACTTTATTTCCTGAATTATGGACTGGTTCTTCTATTGCCACTACTGGATTTCTAGCATCTAGTTATGTTTAGGTTGCTACCTGTTTTGGAAAAAGGAAGATATAAAACTTTTGAATAAAAAATGATTCACAAAATAAATAAATGAAGTCCTTGATAAATATTTTGAGATCTTCTGAAGATGCAGGTAAAACACCAGGAGAAAATGCTGCTAAAACATGACCATACAGCCTGGAAACCACACAACACCCCAATATTTTGAATGCTTTCCTTTACTTCTATTTTTGGTTCCATTGTGACAGAATTTATTTAATATTTAAATTTTACCCCTATTTTTCCCATTTATGCTGAGTGACATTGAAACAGACTTATTTTATATTTAGCCAGGTTTGAACAGCACAAATCTTTGCATACAGAATGATGCACTGATTGTGCTAAGCAGCCTGTGAGTTCAATGGTAGAATTTAACAGTGGAAATGAGTTTGATAGTTCTGATGTATGGGAACAGAGGTTGAAAATGGAACCATTGTTAGTTGCTTCTTCCTGGAATACCCATGCATCAGAATGCTCATCATTACCTTCTGATTCTGTCAAAAGTGGGAAGGATTCATTTCCCGAGGCTTGCACAGGACCCCATAAGTTTGGTTCCACCTCTCTGTGGCCTGCAGAATAGAATTTGCCATCTGTAGTATATGAAACTTTTATTCATTTCAGCCCTCATTCAACCAGTTAAATGTTTATATAATGAGCAGCAGGTTGTTTCCTTAATAAGTAGAGCACAATGAATGTATAGCATGGTCTACAGCTAGGAAAGAGAAAGGCTGGATCTACACTGCCCTATATCCCAGGATATGATCCCAAATTATCTACTTTGAACTGGATTATATGAGTCTACACTCTCATATAATCCAATTCCAAACAAATACCTTGGATTTTATATAACAGTGTAGATGGGGCCTAAGAATTTAAGTAAACTCTCATTTAGATGAAATTTAACTCAAGACCACTCAGCCAAAGGTGCTGCAGGTGATGGTTTTGATGTCTTGCATTGATAGATACCTATTAAAATCAGCTCAGCACACATGGCAAGTCTGGCCACAAGTAGAAAACAGTGACAGCCCAGGTAGCCCTCACACAAGCCTCTCTGAATTCACATGACCCTACTGGCTTACTCCTGTTCTCAGTGTACTATGAGTTCATCTGGTTGCCTTTGGGAGAGGGGGGTGTCCCCTACACTATTCTGTTTCTGTGGGACTGGAGAATTGGCTCCAATGTCGTCTTTAATAAGGCTGTGCAAAAATCTTAAGAGGGTTGAAAATAGTAAGAGATATGTCAAATCCATACTTTTGACCCATGCTATGAAGCACCACCACCCCATACAAATGAATGAAAACATCCAGTTTGCAGTTTCTGTAAGCAAGTACATAATTGTCATAAGTCCCAGTGAGTCAGCTTAGACCAATGTTTCTCACATGTGGATCGGGACCTCTTGGGGGGGGGGTGGCAAGGGGGTGTCAGAGGGGTCATCAAAGACCATCAGAAAACACAGTATTTTCTGTTGGTCATGGGGTTCTGTGTGGGAAGTTTAGCCCAATTCTATCGATGGTGGGGTTGGTGGGGGGGGTTCGGAATACTCTTTGATGAACTATAAATCCCAGATGAACTATAAATCACAGCCATTACAACTCCCAAATGCCAAGGTCTATTTTCCCCAAACTCTAGGAATGATCACATTTGGGCATATTGAGTATTTGTGTCAAGTTGGTCCAGATCCATCATTGTTTGAGTCCACAGTGCTCTCTGGATGTAGGTGGACTAGAACTCCAAAACTCAAGGTCAATGCCCTTCCAGTATTTTCTGTTGGCCATGGGAGTTCTGTGTGCCAAGTTTGGTTCAATTCCATTATTGATGGAATTCAGAATGTTCTTTGATTGTAGGTGAACTATAAATCCCAGCAACTATAACTCCCAAATGTCACATTCTATTTTCCCCAACCCCACCAGTATTCAAATTGGTGATTATTGGGTATTTGTACCAAATTTGGTCCAGTGAATGAAAATACATCCTGCCTATTAGATATTTATGTTACGATTCATAAAAGTAGCAAAATTAAAGTTATGAAGTAGCAACAAAAATAATGTTATGGTTGGGGGGTCAACACAACATGAGGAACTGCATTAAGGGGTCACAGCATTAGGAAGGTTGAAAAACACTGGCTTAAACTTTCAGCACAAGCAAACTCTACTGGGCAGCACAGGCAGACTAGTTAGGTTCTCCTCAGCCTACCAGAGCTGAGGGATGAGGAAAAGGGAGGACACACTCCTGGTGTTTCTAATAAATTCCAAAGCAGACTCAGTGGGATAAAAGGAAAAGGGGAAGGAGTTGCATCACATGCTCTTTCTCATCCAATTGCAGTTTGGCCTTCAAATACTAGTATTCCCTGTGCCAGCTGGGAATGACAGTTGCATCTGTTTTCCCCCCTGCAAACTGTTTCTCCTCTCCTCTCAATAGGAGAGAGAGAAATTTTAAAAAAAATCAGTGGGTGGGTGTTTCTTTCTGAAAGATAGCCGGAATGATGACAGAATTGACACTTTGCTGTGGAGGAATTCCAGGAGGCTGTGGAGGAATTCTTCTCTCGCTGTGGAGGAATTCCAGGAGGCAACTCTTTTGTTTTTTAAAATGTTTTAGGGAAAAACTTTACATTTTCCCTAAAAATCAGCAGATTTGCAAATACATGTGTGCTACAATTGTAGCAAGCTTTATCCTGATATCCCTAAACCCAAGGGAGGGGAGTTCCCTTAGTGTTCCCATTGATGCAAATGGGCGAATAACATAACAAAAAGCTAACTACATTTTCAGAAAAGATCTGACATGGGACCTTTACAATTTTTTCAGAACACTTCAGAATCAAAACAGGAGTTGCACAAATTTCATTAAGACAAATGAAGAAGGTTTTTTGAGTCAAGCCATTACAGTGCAGGATCCACTGCCATTTTTTTTCCAGCTGCAACAGACCACATGGCTGCTGAAAATGACTGCTTTCTGTTTCTTTCAGCTACATGTGGAGCATGGAGAGGCAGCTATGCACCCGTTTCCCTGTGATCCTTGCCAGTTGAGCCAATCAGAACAGAAGAAAGCCATGACGTGTCATTTAGCTGATTTGGGCTTCCATTTTTTCCTGTTGTGAGGCGAGCAGTCTTCTGAGAGAGACAGACTGGTGATCTAAATTCTCAGTGCTGCTTGCAGTTCCACGTGGTTTGGCTTGCTTTTTTAAATCAGCAGTTTACTTTCTACACACTTAAGAAACCGCCACCAATAGTATCCTTTGCACCCTTCAAATGTGTGGTAGAGGATGTATTTCTAAGACTGCCATAAAATGAGGAGTTAATGAGGAGTTAATTTATATATTTTTTAAAGAATGGCTAATGCTCCTTCAGGTGGTGTGGCTCCCATTGAAGTAAGTGTTTAAAAAGGGTGTCACCCTTAACTCAGCTTCATTGAAAGGGTGTTGAGGGCAATCACATAAAGGGGAGGTTCTTAAGTCTGATGCCTTTTACCCAGATCTTATTGAAGATATAAGAAGAAAGGATCCCAGAAAGAGTGATTTAGTCTGATGGAAAGTGGAGCCTCGTAAGTTCCCCATTGCGGCCAATGGGCTGGATCTTCCTGGATCTTTCAGCTAACAGATCAAAAACTAATTTTTTTCCTGACCGAATTCGAGAAAAACAGATATAGGGGTTCACCGAAACCTGGACACTGAAAACAGAATGGGGTTTAACCGACTTGCACACTCGTATCATGCACACCCCTATTAATTAAGTTTCACTTGTAGGTTTGGGGGTGCGGGATAATAAAAATTGGCATCATTTGTGTTAAGAATGATACTCCAAAATGATCCTTTGGGTTCTGGGGCCTGGGAGCTGAAAAAAAAGTCTACCCTTATGAGTTTGCTCTCCCTTATGAAGTTCTGGGGCTTGCCAGGATGGAGGAGGTTGGGTCTCATTCTGCCTTCCAAAATGCAACCCTCTTGGTAAGCAACCCATAAGACTAGAATGCCTGCAGGGTTAGGTGTTTTTGCAAGTGGAAACTGGGGAGGTTTGTCACATGTAGAAACCAGCTTTAGTTAAGACCTCAACCAGACTGCTATTCCTCTCTATCAAGTTTTCTTGGTTTTAATCTTAAATTGTTAATAGGTCAAAAATTGTGGCCCTTGTTTCAACCAATTGCACGAGTCTGATGTTGTTATTTTGGGGTGATTGTCAAACACTTTGCCATATACATAGAGATAACATAAATCACTTTAGGTTGACCAATATTTTATTTCAGGTCTAGTTAGCACACATCTCCATGCAACTCTTCAGCATTCAATGGCAAAGTAATGCAACTGAATGCACTACTTAATGAACATTCCCCAGTACTTGCATATATCCACGTCACTTATGCAAGTCATTTTATGCAAAATTGAATTAAATTAAGATATTCCACATCTACAAAAGGTTTAATCAACATTTGTATGGGAACTTATAAGTATACAAGGTACAAACAAAATTGTGAGGAAGATGAGATATATTCACATAAGTATCTGAATTAGCCCATATGTTCCAATTCTAAGAGGTATTCTGGGGAGCATTGCACAGCCCTACACTAGTTGTATGAATAATGTATTTTCCATGAATTTCCATCATTACTTATTAATCTATTTTGTATGTATGGGACCATTCATTTTTTCCAGTGTATAGATAGCATCAATGGTAAGACACATAAAGGCAAAATATATCTACACAAATTCTAGTATGGTAGATTTAAATAATGGGAGAGTGACATACTTCATCCAGTACCATCCAGAAAATACAATGATTGACAAGATGTTGAACATAACTGAAATGAAATTAAAAATTGGATATAGACAAGTGTTTTCAAGTTGATTGTATTTTGATCCCTTCTTCCAATTAATTCATGAGAATTACACAACATTGGACTAATTATATTTATAATATTTCAAGAGAAACTAGAACCTTACAGAGAATGTGCGACCCACAAAATAACCCATCAGAATAGTCCATTAAATATCTAAGAGGAAGTACACCCCATTGAATTCAATGAGTTTTTATTCTCGGATTGTATCTTAATTTCTGATGCAGTCCACACCCAATTTTACTTTTATGAGTTATCTAGATTTTTAAAAAGGTAATTACTTGGGATCCAAACATTCCTTAATTTCTACTGTTTGTAAATTTTTTAAAAAGCTTATACACTACAGCAAAAAATGCACAGGTGACAACTGCCACCTGTTCTTTCAAGTGATGTGTGAAGTAACACCTATGATGGGGAAAACACACTAGATTGCTATCTAGAAAATACGTGTATACAGTGCCAAGTAGATTAATGTATTCTCTGCCTCCTGGCTTTTTGATAGATCTATTTAGCTTTAACAATATTAGATTTAGCCAGCACATTTTGAAATATTCTGAAATTTGCTATCCTGTTTTTTAAGGCTTTCTTCACCTCCTTGTTTCTAAGGCAATATATGATAGGATTAACTAGAGGTGGAAGGATTGTGTACAAAAGAGAAAAAAACTTATTCATGGTAGAGGAGGGTGGTAAGAGATATACAATTATTACAGATCCATAATAAATCGAAACCACACTGAGATGAGAAGAACATGTGGAAAAAGTATTTTGTCGTCCACTCAAGGATGGGATTCGTAAGATGGTCCTTATTATATATATATAGGATGCTACAGTTATGATAAATGGAGGCATAGTGTAAATAAATAACAAGATTAAGTTAACATGTTCCACCATATCAGTGTTACTACATGAAAGCTTTTTAAGTGGAACAGAATCACAGAAATAATGATCAATTTCATTGGGTCCACAATATGTTAACTGAAGCATTGCAACCATTATTATGGAAATACCCATAAAGCCATTTGTCCAAGAAACAGCTGCTAACTGGATACACTTTCTGGTGTGCATAGTTGTTGCATAGTGTAATGGTTTGCACACTGCTAGATATCTGTCGTAGGACATCACAGACAGCAAATAGCATTCAGCACCCAGACAATAACCAAAGAAAAATAATTGCAAGAAACACCCGCTGAACGTGATGGCCTTTCCATTTGTCAGGAAGGTACTTAACAAGAGGGGGTTCAAAGTTGAGCTGTAGCAGATCTCCAAGCAAGACAGGTTACCAAGAAAGAAGTACATTGGAGTGTGAAGATGCCGATCACTCACCACAAGCACAATAATAAGGAGATTCCCTGCCATTGTTGTGATATAAATAACAAAGAACACAAGAAAAAGAAGGATCTGTAGATTCTTCAAATCTTGGAAGCCAAGGAGGATGAATTGAGTGACCCGAGTTTGATTTTCTTGTTCTTCCATTCATTTGACTTCCTTTTTCTTATTACTTCATTGTTAAAGATGATCAATGTGCTGCAGAAACATTTAAAAAGCAGAAACACTGACACATTTTGATAGGTGCTATCATTAAGAAATTGTGACTAAGTGTAAGGAAAATGAAGAGAATTAAAAGCAAAATTCATTTTGTTTCTTGCTCCATATCTTCATGATATCCTTACACCAAAACATTTCTATATCAGATGCATTGCATTTTTATCATTCCTTGGTTATCCAACATAAACTGTCCAGCAGAACGTTGGATAAGCAAAAATGTTGGATAATAAGGAGAGATTAAGGAAAAGCCCATTAAATGTCAAATTACATTATGAGTTTACAAATTAAGAACCAAAACATCATGTTTTACAACAAATCAACAAAAAAACCCCCAGTTCAATACACCGTAACGTTATATAGTAATTACTACACCAAGACATCACAATGTATTGAAACAGCTCTGGATCCAGGTGGGATAATACTGCGTTGGATAATACAGAATGCTGCATGAGTGAAGGTTGGATAAGCGAGACTCTTCTATACTGGAAGAAAATTGGCAATACCTTTAAAAGTACATAGATGTGTACAAATCAGCAGGTGAACATTTTTTGGACTCAAGATAAACATCTGGTGTAAAAGATATAGCTCTTATTGGTTATTAAATCACAGGCAACCCTAAAAGTATTGTACTTATTCTAACTTACATGATCTTGATTTTTTCTGGGAAAAATAAGTTACTCATTTTCAGGATTATGGGTGACTTATAAATCTTCCTTTCTCCAATTAGTTGCTGTGATTAGATACGTACTCCTTCATAAGTAAGTTGTTTGACAATTTGGAATGTTAGTTTTCTTGCTATTTCACCTTTAGGTGTGAACATTGCTTTTGACAGCATGGAGTTATTTAAACAAGAAATTTAGCTATGAGATGGATATTTACATTCCACAAAAAATTCAGTGATATTTCTACAATCACTAGCTATTTGTTTGACAATCACGGAATACCTCTCATTGCATATATGTCCTGGATGAAGCTATTTGGAGACCATTTCTATTCCTACTAGGAAAAATTCTCACATAGAACAGATTAAGGATGGTGACCAGAAGGAATGTAAGAACATCTAGCAAATGTTCTATTAACAAAAAGGATTGTAGCAAGTTGTGTACGCTCCGCAGAAGGATGCTCACTTTCTGAATTTCTGTCAAATCTATGAAAAGAAATGAACTCTTGAAGGAGGGAGAATTACATCCCATCTTCAATTTTATGAACACATACTGAATTTGAACTTGTCAGAGAAGCATATGAACTGGAATGAAGTTATCACTTGGCATTTGGACATTTAGAATTTTTCATTGAAGCTTCTAAAATACGATTTCACTTTTTATATTAGAAAAAGGTGAGCATAAAATGTGTATATGTACAAATGGAAAAAACGTAAAATAAAACTGAAAAAAATGAGATGATATGCACAAAAGAGGCAAAAGTGCATACACACAAATTTTGGTTTCTTTAAAGTCAAAAACTGATTCAGAAACAAGATAGAAATGAGTGAATATTTGAAGTACAGAAACCTAGATAAACACAAATGAGAAGATTCTTCTATCTCTGAGCAAAGATTTCTAGTTAAACTTACCTGATGTCATGTTCTATCTTCATGAGGCAAGAAGTAGATCAATAAAACCCCTGAATCTGAAATTTAAAACATTTCTTCATAACTTTCATGGATTGTGTATAAATCATTTAGGTCTCCATTGTATTAACCTTATTGCAGAATGTGTAAGTAATCTAGTAGAAAATGATCTAGTAGAACATCTCACATGGATCATTATTTATCATGCATATCTTTTTAAATATAGAATGAGACCTCTCAAGAGACAATTATTAGCAAACAGTGGAATACCAATAGGAACAACTTTTTGATTTAAGTTTCAGACAGTTACTGGCTGAGTAATATAAATGAATTATGATCAATCCCAAAATATATTATTTATTTATTTATTTAAAATATTTTTATTCCACCCTTCTCACACTGAAGGGGATTCAGGGCGGAGCACAGCATATATACGGCAAACATTCAATGCTTATTTGACCCATTGAAGACCAAAAACATGGTGTAATTGCCTTCATGCTCCCAGGAGTCAGAGGGATAAACAAAAATCATCAACATTGGAGGAGGATGTGGCTTGGGATCCACTTTGGGTTACAGTATTCATGGTGGCCTCGTAACTCTTAGCAATCATTCATCTTTGATGCACAGACAGGCTGGGAAACTATGGAGGGGGAAGGATCTTGCTCATCCATGCTTTCCTCAATACATGTCAAGGTCACATTTCATCATGATGACTTCTCCTCTAGAATTCACATTCTTGTGTTTAGAACTTGCTTCGAGCCATCCTCGCCCCCACCCCAAAGCCCTCCTCATCAGATTTGCTACTACAAAAGGAATTCTTCGCAGTTTATGAGATGCTGTCCATCTGTAGCCAGCAGTATTCTATTTAAGACATTAGGACCATGTTCAGAGAAGCCAAACCTCTCTCATCTATGTAGTCAGCCATTCAATTATGTGTGTCCTTATTCCCATTTAGTTCTCTAATGGCAGAATAGGCAAGGATATAACCAGCACTGTCTTCCCAGAGTTTCATAGTCATATGTGGTAGTCCTGTAAATTTATTTTAAAAATTTGGAAAAGGCATTTAAAGAAATAAGGGCAACAATAAAAATAGAGCTAAAAATACACCAGAAATAGCATTGTTATCGATATATAATGATACTATCACAAGAAGAGAAAGAATTGACCTCTAGTTTATTAATGACTGCAAGATTGATAGTGGCAAAGAATTGGAAAGATAAAAGAGAAATCCATTTAGAAGAATGACATAGAGAAATTTGGAATATAACAATCAATGATAAACTGACTTATGACATTAAAGTTAAAAAGGGTATATAGAAACAACCAGGTTTCTGGGACATGTGGGGTAAATTTATTGAGTTTATATTCATTGAAGGAAAGGGGAACATACCTGCAATAGAAACAATGAAACATTGGAATTAAAAGATAAGATGAGTTGGTCCAGGAAGATGCATTAGTAACAGAGCAGCTAATCTGCACAACAAACGCAAGGGGAAGCCAGAAGATAAGAGATAGCAATGCATGGGTCTGCAACATGGGGTGAAAGGTTGTTATTAGGCCTGTGCGATTTGGTTCGTTAATTCGTTAATTCGTTAATAATTCGTTAATTTTACCATTTCCGAAGCGATATTGAAACAAATCTCCAAACCCGGAAGGGTTTATAAATATCGAACCAGCAGCCCCCATAGTTTTAACGAGCCTCCGCTCGTTTCGTTAATGGGGTGGAGGCTGCTGGAGTGCTGGTGCATGGGAGCCAATCCGGCGCTCCCAAGCAGTGCACCATGGGTCCGTGGCTGTCTCTTTTTGATTGGCCGGCGAGCCCTTTCAAAGCGGCTCCGCGCGGCCCGTAGCTTGGTGCAGAGGCGAGGGCGAGGGAGTTTGCATTGGGTTGGCTTGGCAATGGCTGCCTGCTAGCAACGAACTGGGATTGGATTCATTCCTTGCTGCTGTGAGTGCTGCTTGCTTCATTTGCTGTCTCTTGCCTGTGTTTGGTCCACATTTGGGCCATTTTTTGGTTAATTGTCCATTTTAAAATATTTTTAATATTATTTTTTAATATTATTTTTAATATTATTTTTTAATATTATTCTTAAAAAATATTCTAAAAAAGAAAAGACTCTTCTGTTGGTGTGTGCTCTCATTTGCTGTATCCTGCCTGTGTTTGGTCATTTTTTGGTTAATTTTCCATTTTAAAATATTTTTTAATATTATTTTAATATTATTTTTTAATATTATTTTTTACTATTATTTTTAAAAAATATTCTAAAAAAGAAAAGACTCTTCTGTTGGTGTGTGCTCTCATTTGCTGTATCCTGCCTGTGTTTGGTCCACATTTGGGCCATTTTTTGGTTAATTTTCCATTTTAAAATATTTTAAATATTATTTTAATATTATTTTTTAATATTATTTTAATATTATTCTTAAAAAATATTCTAAAAAAGAAAAGACTCTTCTGTTGGTGTGTGCTCTCATTTGCTGTATCGTGCCTGTGTTTGGTCCACATTTGGGCCATTTTTTGGTTAATTTTCCATTTTAAAATATTTTTTAATATTATTTTAATATTATTCTTAAGAAATACCAAAAATATTCTAAAAATTCGTTAATATTTACAAAATTTCTTAAATACCAAAACTTTTTTTGGAAAGTTTTGTAATTATTTTAAATATCGAAACAAAAAAACACCCCAATTACAAATCGATTTTAGAAACAAATTTTTTCTTGATCAAACAGGCCTAGTTGTTATTACTGCTTGCTTGTTTTTTTTTACCATGAATACTAGTCTAAAGGAAATAATAATCAACTGAGAAAGCATGCTTACTTATTTATGTAACTAATAAAATATAAAATCATTTTATGGTCTATATAATAACTATTTCAGCCATAACAGTGTTATTGATGAAATATGCTTGAAAGATATAGAGAAAGTTTGAATATCTTTGAGAAGGTTGCTTCCAACACTCAGAGAGAAGTCAAATGACCCTTCCAGGCAGTGCTAAATTCCAAAAGACAGGGCTAAATTCTCCTGGGATGTTAAATTCTAGTTTCTCCCAGGATTTAGTCCAAATACCAACCACAAACCCCAGGATTTTGCAGGGGTGTGTGGGTGTCTACATTCCTTCCTGTACCGATCCCAGATCAGCCCAAGGAGGGCAGGGACACTGCGAGCCTCATTCTCTGTGTCCTCCATTTCCCCGTCCTCTTAAAAGAGGAAGCCTCCAATTGAAGCCTGAAGCCCTTTTTCCCCTCTCCTTTGTCCCTTGGAAGAGCCAACAAAGGACTTTGGGGAGGGGAGGGAGATTCCACCTCAAAGGTCCACTGTTGGCTGTTCAAGGCCAACCCCCTGCCAAGAAGCATTAGG